TAAAACGTGTTAATTTAGTGAGTTAAATCAACACGTATTAAGCGTGTTCCAATTTTAAACACTAAGAAACGTATTAAAAGTGACTTCAATAAAAACACACGTCAAGTGTGTTAAATTAACACACTTGGATTTGCAGTGTACCTAGATATATAATCCGCAAATTTATCACTTGATGCATTAAGAATAATCACATCTTACGTGTGACTGCATTAAGCTCTTATTTCGATGATGGATGCGAGCATCGAAACCGCCAGTGCCACAGCGCGGCAGAAAATCTCAATCTCACGTCTTCAGGAAATTGCACAATAATCGTTTAGTTACATGAGTTCGGAATAGATAATAATGCGGTTGTTCTCCTTCGGAGAGAGCGTCTTCGTGTTTCTCCAGAAATTTCCTCAGATTATTAACCGAGTTGCACTTCATTCGCAAATCGTTATCTCGCTAAAAATATATTAATATAATCTCTAATATAATTCTTAATATAATTAGAACGAGATCGCGTCGATTCGAGGAAAAAAAATCGACGAAGAGAGATCTTCAAAAAGACAGAAAAGTGTATGATACATTTTTCTTGATTTAAAATTACAAATAATTACAAGCTGTCTAAAACTACTTTTATTATGAATTTGGATTGATTAATTGCAGTAATTACTACGAGAGCTACTTCTTGACGAAAATGGACGAAAAAACTCAAACTCAAAATATTTCTATAACGAAGATAAGTCGATAAAGTGAGCCGTTGTGCAGCTGTTTGACGTACTACCCTTTAAAGCCTGATGCCCGGCAGAAAATGTATTCTAATGTGTTTTCCAACGCAGTGTTGTATCACGGCCTGTGTTATCTGAAAACTTTACACGGCACACAGCGTTGCATGATATTGTTTTCCTGGCTCTTATGTTTCATACATGGCCGCACCTGTTTGTATACGTGCAACGCGCACGGATTTAATAACTCGATTTGTACGTAGCCTCCCTCCGTCCGCTTGCTAATCAAAGCTGCCTAACATTCGAATTAAAGATGTGCAAATTTTCGTAGTCGCGCGAAACGTGTTTATTGCGTGTTCTTCGCGCTGCCTCGCATTTTCCGCATAAATCTTCGAACATGCTCGAAAAGACGTTACGAGAAATTGCGCGAAGTACAGAGTAATTTTCTTCCGGCTCGCAATAATTTCACTTTGCAAGCTGGAAAATGTCACAAGAAAGAAGAAACGAATCTGTTTTCTTCTTATGACAGGCGACACTTAAACAAAAACTTCTCCGGCGAACTGTTCAACTCCCATTTTCAGTCTGTAGAAAATTGTCGGCTCAGGGAACCGACAATGCGTTTGAAAACGCGTTCAAACAGCGAAATTTTATGGGACGCTTGTAACGCCGTTATTTTTCGCGTGCATCGGCAGCGCGATATGCGTGTACAAGCTTATGAAATTTTTTATTCGCTGGTTCGTGCGATGAATTTTGTGCGTGCAATCGGTCCGGACGAAATTTCGTTGTTTCGATAGTTTTGGGAAAAGAAAACTGTCAGCCACCAGTAACGGATGTTTGTGTTTGTCTCTCTCTCTCTCTCTCTCTCCTTTCTCACGAACGGTTTTTACCTGACCAAAACTGTGACACCCCGACGGCTCGAGCGGCTCCAGAGGCACGTTTTTCTTCCTCAGAGTGGCCGCGCAGGGCGCGCCACCGCCCGGTTTCCCCCACGGCGAGTAAGTGGCCAGAATTTCCTGCAGCTGCAAGAAAAAAAAATTAAAAAAACAAATAAAAATAAAAAAATATGAAGTTCCACTGCCACGCGCGTCAACTGCAAAATATCTAGCCCGCAGGTTGTCGTCGTTCGCGTGCGAGTCATATACACATGTATGTGTACATTCGACTGCGCACTTTTGTTGAATTCCTTGTGTTGCATAAAACAAAAGCCGTGTCCGTATAAAAGCGAGAATTTTTTTTTTTTTTTTTTTTTTTTTTAATTCAAATTTTTGGTAGCTTCCTCTCTTGCGAGAATTTCTATTATATAGACAAAAAATTACGAGAATTACATTTAGAGAAGAAAACGCGCGCGCAAATACGTCTATATACAATAAATTAAAAGTATCTATCAAATAAAACAGTCGCTTTAGTTTTTTTTCTAAATTAATTTAGAAAAAAGCTTGCGTTTGCGTATATGTATGTTTGCAACGCGCGGATCCTGCGGGCAGGATTAACCGGCCCCGAGCGTATCAGCGCTCCTTGGCCGGGCGCGCTGCCGGCTAATGCACTTGCAGCGGACCGCGTTCTCGAGTAATAAGAGGAAAGGCTCTCGCGAGTAATAATCCCTCACCTAACTTTATTAGCATATACTGGGTTATAAGATAAATCCCGCGTCGCGCGGTAAATATAATTTAATGCTGTCGACGTGTGTATTAGCGATACAAAATAATCATCGCGGCGATAATTAGGCGCGGAGTTTCACATCCGCGCCTAATTTCGCGATGTGTTATATTTTGAGTGATTGGCAAAACGTGGCGAAACATCACGGACGAAGCCATACGTCGAATACCGCGCGCGCGCGCGCGCATATATATTTTTTTACAATATATTCCGTGCGGCAATGATTGTTATTTTCGCCAGGAATGTAATGAACAAAACGAACGTTATATATGTTGCGCAAATATTTAGAATCTATTCTCCTCTTGTCGATGATTGCGCATATCGTATCGTTTGCATTCCGCATCAGTATGCAAAATATAAAATAAAAGGTAACGAAAATCGGATAGTGAGAATTTAAACGCTGAATATAATCGTATTTAACGGACGGTTCGTAAACCAAAAAAAAAAAAAAAAAAATATTTCGAGAGACGTACGTGTTCTCTTTGTGTATTTACCGTGAAATTACAAAAAAATTCGACGAAACTAATTCCCAAAAATTGTTAAATTTTGAGAGCAAAACTCACACGAATCGTTTTGAAACTTCAATCGCGCCCGGCAAATTGCCCGCACAGTTTATTTGTATGTTTGTACGCTCTTTAATTGTTCGGAGATAAATGATACTTTGCTTCAATCGTCCGATCTCTCCGTGTTCTTGCAATTCTGTGATCGGAATTATAACGTGACCTCGATGCGCGTCTTAACGGATTGCCGCGCAAACGTTTGTTCTAACAAGTTCGTAACAAGCGGACGCGGCGGAGACGCGAGGCGTGCGGCTTATGTAAAGCGCAACTGAGTAGACACTGTGATAGATTATTGGGTTATCTTTTGCGGGGTTGTTTCTTGGGGTAGTTAGGCGCGCGGTGATTATGCAAATTCACTTTAATGGGACACTCGTAGCTTTATTACCGTTTGTTTACACGTAATTTGCTCGCTCCGAATTCAACGATACGCGCCGTGTGAAACGTACAAAATAGACGGCGCAACTGGGTCAGAAAATCCGAATGACATTTCCACACAAAAGACGTATCTCATTTATCTCTCTAGCAAAAGTGGAACATTTAATATTCTTCTTAAATTAATATCCCTCAAATAGCTCTTTCAGTTGGCGCTAAATAATCATTTCCGCTAAACTGTGTCAACTGCCATTGGCGTTTTCATCGTCACTTATTTTCTCAATCTCTTGAATAAAATGATTGACTTTTGTTGAGCAATTTTTTTTTTTTTTTCCATCATTTTGCGAATAACCATTAGATTTTTTGACGAGTCGAGGTTTTGGGATCAGAAATCACGAGACCTTTTCTTCACGTTCGGATATCTCGAAGATTCGCGAAAAAGATCGGTTTCCCAAAATCCTTGGCGCTAATGGCGTTCCGGTTCAGCGAATACACATCTCGGGGCTGTATCTCTCACACTTGACCTTTATCCGATCGGTGACAATGGCAAACCGAGACAATGACGTTAAGAGACGGCCGGCGGCGGTAGCCGCGGCACAAAACGACGACGGACGGGCAAAATGTGACCGGGGCAAGAGACGCGTCCCATTCACGACACATACTTCACGTTGTTCGCGGTGCTTTTGACGTTGCAACTCCTCCTTCCGCCGCCTCCATAACGCCGTGCCCTCCTGAACGACCCGACGCTCGCGCTTCCGCCTCGCGTCCTCTTCGACTTCCGGCTCGTACGTTGTCTCAGGAATTTCCTGCGCCATTTATGTGCCGTGGCCCGGGGCTTTCTGAAAATCAGGGAGAAAAGAAGGAGAGAAACAAAGGCGCGGCCGTATCGCGATCACGACAATGGCGATATCCCAGTAGCGGGTCGAACGCCTTAAACATGTCAGTTCAAATATCGGATGCAAATAAAATACGCGGCGCGAGGGAGAGGTGAACGAGAGAGAAAGAAAGAGAAAGAAAGAGAGAGAGAGAGAGAGAGAGAGAGAGAGAGAGAGAGAGAGAAAGGAGAGGGAGATAAAAAGGCGGAGGAACGACTTGGTACAAGTCGCATGCCGTGGCACGTGCTTCTGTCATCATTCGTTATCGATTTAACAGGATATTGCTCTTCCCTCGGGAGGTACGACGCGCTGTTCTGCGCTAGTCGACAAGTGTAATGGGAGTGCCAATGCTAGAGACACCAGTGCTGTAATCGAGACATCCGGAGGGTTTTATATATCGTTTCCCGATATAAAAACGAGCGTGCCTCCCGGCTACTGTGTACGTACGTCGCACGTCGAGCTTTGTTCATTCATTCATTCATTCGCGGTGATTTTATTTCGCCGTTTCTCTCTCTCTCTCACTCTCTCTCTCTCTTTTCCACTCTCTCGCGTATATTGTGCCTTAATAAAATGCTGACATTTGCAAATCGTCACGTTATTTGTAGATACTAAACGGGACGTTTATATGTTCAATAGAGTTTTCTCTCGTTTGTCTCTCAAGATTGAAAATTATATATTACAACTATACTTGCTAAATTATATTACAATAGAGTTCTTCGAATTTAAAAAAAGGATGCAAGTCGCGCAGAGAGGAAACGCGCCATTAAAACAAACGAACACTATTGAATCTGTTTGTTGTAAATAATTCTCGACGACTTTAAATCCAGATCACGTTTAATAAATCACTTTTGCCTGTCACGCGACAGAACAACTGCTGTGTGTTGCATTACTTCTATTGTTACAATATATATTTTATTGCCTTGTCGTGCGTCAGATTGCTATCTACGTCGTGGGAAAACTGTAAAACGTATTCCTTTATACATGTATATATATGTATATATATGTATTTGTGCTTTCTTAAATAAGGCTTCGTTTCTGCAGCTTGAAATACGAAAAGTCACTGCGTCGATACATATTTCATAGAAAATACATATTTCGTGTTCGCATTGTTACGCTCCAAGTTAAATTGTGTAAATAACGAACTCTCGATAAAACGCAAATTTCCATGAGCGACGTGTTTACAAAATGTTTATTATTTTAAATGTCAATAGAATAATAAATAATAAAATATGATATAAAATTATTAAAATAAATTAAAATAAAACGATATTTGCCACATCTGTTATAATTAATTAAAATGTCATTACAACGAGATATGTAGTCTGAGTCGAACGAGCGACTGTTGTGCACAAGCTCGGGATTTTGACAATATCCTCGGTATTATGTTCGAACATATTGAGGATACGTACACCTACTTGGTGTGGAACCCGAATAAGCTTTGTTTTGCGTATCCGCGCACATTCAGATCGCGATACAGGTTTACGAACAAGCGCGATGCACCACACGATGCCTCCCACGGTCCATAAATAAGCCGCGGAATACACTCAACGGTGCAATTGACCATAAAGCCCCCGATTCCACAGATGCGAAGCCCCCGAGTATTGTTCGAGTCGCATTGGAGAGCGCCGTTAGTAGTGAAATAAAAAAAAAAAGCTCGAAGAAATGAAAAACAAAAGTTGTTCCTCCGCAAATAGCGCTATTACATCGACAACGATGCGACATATTTTCTCTATATTGCTTCCGGCCGCTCGTACATTACGCATCCGCATGCACGTTGTGTTGTACCCCGTTGTTCCCGAGTTCGCAGCTTCTCGGCTTATCACTTCGCGCGCCTATCACCTTTCGATAAGTGAAAAGCGATTTTGTTTCAGTTCAGACAAACCGCAAATTTGCAACGCTATTTTTTCGCAGCTGCTAAATGTAGATCGAATCGGTTTTGTTTTTTCTAAATAAAACTCTGGGTCAGTTAGCGAAGCTAACGGAAGGCGAGATTTTTTGTTTCTCTGCAACGTGTGGCAATTCACTCTCTTTGTTCGCGTACAGAAAACGTACAGAGAAACGCACAATTAAAAATGCAAAGCGGAAAACTTGCTACAAATTTGCTAAAACGTTTAGCTCATCAAATTGCGCGTATTGTTCTTACGCGTTTGCGCGCGAATGCCGTTTCATCGAACAGATTATTACACGACATTTTCTTGAAATTTGATTTTCAACAAATTGTACGGAAATAAAATCGCGAGCGAGAGGGAGAGACAGATGAAGGATTCGTCATCGGGTTCACGTAACGATTGGATATAAATTTTGCATCGCGGCAGCTTTCGCAGTCAGAAAAAGAGAGAGAGAGAGAGAGAGAGAGAGAGAGAAAAAAGCTGGAAAGCGAAACTGCGGGTCGAAAAACCGATCGCGCGGACTATCGATTTTGCAAAGGCAGATTCGCCGCCGAGCGCGAATTCGATACGGTGCATGTCACTCGAGGAAAAAGCCGATCAATATCCCCGTCTTACGGTCAATAACGACCGTAAACTGAACGGGGCACAAAATATATCGAACCCGAAATAAACCCGCAGCGGTTGAGATACGCGCGAATAGCTACAGCGGGATAGAATCGATTCTCCCGTTTACGGGCGATCGACAAACGTCGCGTCTCCAAACATCTCCAACGGCATTTTTCTCGTTTACACGCCGAATATAGACAAGAAGTGGCTCTCAGCTCTGTCTTGTCGCATGCGAATTGAACGCCATATACTCACGATGTTACGGCTTCTCGCGTGCCATCACGCGCGAGACGATGATCCGTGGAACGTTTACGGGCGATAAATACTTTTCCCGATTGGATTCCTGTGCGGCAGCGTCGGTGCCGCGACGCCGAGTGGCTTCACCGTCGACGATCGGGAACACGCGACTGCCCGACCGTCCTCGTGAATCCCGCGCGGTCGAGCGCTCTTCACAGGGGGTTGCGGTAGCCGCCGACGTCCCGACGTTCGTCCGACATGCCGGCACACAATTTTCTCCACATAACTGCCTATGTGCATGCAGATTGTGTGTGTGTGTGCGTCTGTGTGCGCGCGGTGTTGTTATCTATACCCTTCAACCTTCGACTTTTGAGCCTCCAATCAGGAGCGTAGATATCTCTCACGGTTACCCCCGAACAATTGACTCCAGTCTGAATCGGAAGTCCTTCTCGCTGCGCAAGAGGGTTGAAGCGTGATCGTTCAAGCGGATATCAGAATTGAAATGCAAGTCACAGTATTGTGTTGAATATTTATGTCTCTTTTATACACATACACACACACACATATATGTATATATATGTTAAATGTCTTAAAGTTATTGCGCGCACACACACAGGATGAAAAGTAAAAATAAAATATTTTTCAAAAAAAAAGATACAGGAGGGAGATTTCAGATGGATTAACGGAGTACTCAATTTTATATTTATCGATACCAGTGGTATAAAAAAAAAAAACAACCATCCATGAAAAAAAAATATTGACAGTTTTTTTGATTTGCTATAAAAATATCTTTTTGCAATCGATAAGCACGTCTATTTGAACGTACGTTGTTTAAGAAATTATTCAAAAATTCGGGAACAGTTATGTATATCGTTGTAAAAATTTTGTGATCTGTGAAATGAAAGTTTATATTAAATGAAAAGAGATTGCTATGGACACGAACCATTTTTTCACATTTACATTTCTCTCCCGGCAGCCAACAAAATCCCACAAAAACGAGATGGTTATCGAAATCTATTGACTACATATCATTGGTGCAACGCTTTTTTCATATCAAAAATTCATCGGACTATTGATTCATCAGCATACAAAAAACGTTAAACGCAGCTGCGTTAAATGTCACGTACTATTTTTCAATTTTATTAATTTTTCAATCCGCAAAAAAATCCGATCCACTTTTTTTCAACCGTATATTTCGTTCGCCATCAATTTGCTATTTATATAACTATAATATAAACAATAGTATAATTCTATCGTTTTTCTCATACACATACAAATTCTATATATAATCAAAATATACATTACATATAAAAACAAATTCTATATGTTATTATTATAGTATCGTTTAATTTTTTAATACCAAATTCCTTACAAAATGCTCTAGAATGTATAAAATTATTAAAAAGATGTTGAATAATTGCTTTTTGGTTTTATATAAAGCGCTTTAATCGTATTAAAATATTCAACGATGTTTCTCTCTTAAAGTAAACCGCCGCTCGCAATATGGCTGCCGTTCGTGCACGACTGACAGATGGAGTTTCCTTCTCCAAGTTTCCGATCATTTATTCCATGCCTATACACGAACCAAGTTTGACGTGTACAGAGAGAGGTTGCCGGTGAAATACATTTCATGTGTTGTCAACCTCCTTACGCGAATTAGTGATGTTACGACTGGTGTTTCTGGTCGCGATATGCGTCTTTTCCAGCGCGCAAGCTGGAGATCTTGAAACGGTAAACGATGAGGAATTGCTGAATCTCATAAAAACTGAAAATTACGTCGTCGTTCTATTCAGTGAGTTGGATTTCTTCTCTTCGATCATAATTCGTCTGGAAAAGCAATAAAAACAATATTAATATTAAAGAATCTAATAATAATAATGTAAAACAACACTATATTTTATACGTTCGTGCTTACTAATAATAACGATAATTTTACAGCGAAGAAGGACTGTCCGGAATGCGAGAATTACGAGAACACATTGATTCAATTGCGTGAGGACTTGGTCGACTCCTTGTCCGCGTGGATCGTCAAGACTTTCGACAGCCAATTGCTCCAGTTGTACAGCACCGATAAAGAGCCGGTCTTGTTGTTCTTCCGACATGGTCTTCCTCTTTTGTATGATGGTATGGGTGGTATGGATTATGGTATGGGCAATTAATGACGCGCAATAATATCGATGTTGATCATTTAATTGTTCTGCGATAATACACAACATACCGTTACTCTGTGATATGTCGCTAAATATAGTTTTGCTTTGAGACGTGCTTGTAAATTTATATATATATATATAGTTGTACTATAGAGCTGCGGTGCTTCTTGTGTCTAGGATCCTTGAACGAGGAGATGATATTAACCATGTTCGCGGAGAATAAACTACCGGGAGTGAAGGAACTTACTGATGATACGTTTGAGCATTTGACTCAAGCAAGCAGCGGCGCCACGACTGGCGACTGGTTTATTATGTTGTGAGTTGCTTACTTCTACTTATGTATATATATAATCTTATTACATGTATATAATCTATAGCGACGATTCTTCTTACAAGTAACGGCAGTACGGTTTTAATTGTGTGCAAAAAAAATCAGTTACAGCACAGACTGTGCACAGTGTTTGCGCATGATCGCGAGATGGGAAACGGTCGCCGCAAAGCTCAGACAGACGGTGAACGTAGCGCTTATCAATAAGTCCACGACTGGGGCTTACACAGCCAGAAGATTTCACGTCTACGACACTCCGCAATTTATATTGTAAGCACGCATAAATACTAGTCAGTGTTCTTGATATGTGTCTCTCACATATGAGTAATACATCAATAAACGTACGCAAAGATACATGTATAAAACGCAAGAGATAAAAAAAAAATAACATAGATGTATAAACGTATTTACTTTGTACTTGTACAGATTCAGACATGGAAAGATGTATCGGTACGATACAGATAAGTACGACATCAAGTCTCTCGTGTCATTTGCCAAGGAATGGTACAGAAATGTGAAAGCGGAGAAAGTGCCCGTGCCTCAAAGTCCTTTGTAAGTTTCAAGAGATGCATGATGTGTAAAATTATTTCAAGATATTTATTTTAACCCACACGCAACGTGCTAAAGTTTGTACATTAATGTATTATTTGTTTTTGTAGCGATGATCTCACGCAAAGAATCGCAAACTTTATTCGCGACAATCCGTGGATACTCAAGCTGAGTAGTATTTGCATCGGGATCCTAGTTGTGATTACAGCCGTGTCTAAACTGAAGCAGAAGCCCGAAACGCCGCAGAAGAAGGATAAATAAGTCGATCGTAAATTTGATCCGCCAATGAGATATCGCGAACGTTTCTCTGCACCATTTAACAGCGTTAAAACCGAGTTTTGAGCTCATTAAATTTATTGAAGTTACTTAACAAACACACCGACAGGTGCTTCGTCGAGAAAAGACTTATTGTCCAGCTATTGCATACAATATGCATTCCGTCAATTAAATATTATATGATATTACATGTTTACTGTTCCCGATTTTATTGCTACTTTCTTACTCGACCTCTTTTGTACAAGCAATTTGTAAATAGTTTATCTTTCAGTAAACATAACGCTATTCGAAAAACATCTAATACTGAAGAGGATATAGAGCAATAAGAATCTTCTATGTGTATAGATTTTTTACAAAGAAATATACCTTTGATGCAAAAACATATGTGACTTTAGCCTTCAAATAAGATTCCAACACTTTTTTTAGACCGTGTCCTATTCAACGTACGCTAAGTCATCAGTCACAATATGTGCAATAAATTTACACGAAGTGATAAAATCATATTACATTCTTACAATACAATGATCTTTTATCTTTTTCTTATAGGTTTTACAATATAAATATTCTGAATATAAATATATATATATATATTTGTTATCCGAATTATTAAAAACCTAAAATTTGCGAGGCACAATTTTGACAATGCTCATAAAAGTATGTAGTCAATAGTTTTACATATTTTCAAAGTTTGAAGCTGATAGTTTTTTTTCCGTATAATTGCACTCATACTTTTGTTTATACAAAACATAAACGTTCGTATGTTATTAAAGCGAAAGTATCATACCACAGAATGCAAACCATGCTTCAGTTTTGAAACCACGTTCAAAAATGAATACACAGTAATGGCACATAAAAATATGTGTAAATATGTGTAATAGACATAAATGTTTAGCGAACACAATTAGAAGTAATTCGGTTTTCGATAATCCATACATATAGGCACGTAAGTATCATCAGGGACATTTCACGGTGTTTTAAGATTCAAACTCTTCGTTACAGTACACGTCGGCAGATCCACTGAAGATATTTAAAGATTTCAACAACAATTACTTAAATTAAAGTGTGTATATAGCAGATCTACTCTTTTACATTTAACAACTAAATAAATACAAAATTTGCAAAACAATTGTATTCTAGCACTTCTTTGTTGCAAATGTGGCCTAGCTAGACTTAATATAAACTACTGACAGAGTTACGAAGAGACAAAAACTAAAAAAACTTGTGTAGCTATCTAAATTTACAACAAAAAAAGATTATAATAGAACAAATGGCATAAAAATTTCAATTATACTACTAACAAGCAGAAGTCTCTATGATAAATCTTGAAACTTATCTAGCAATCACCCATACACAAATGCAATTTTTAATATCACAACAAAGAGTTAGCATTGTGAAAATACACATTCAAAAGATAAGTCTTTTCTAGCCCGAAACTTGTACTCATTTTGTTTATAGCCCTTTTGGTCTTGCGTTTTACGTGTAAGAAGGCATTTGTATATTTGTATTAAATATTGTCAACTGCCACATTTATCCTAAGAATAGTCGATGGATTGGCCAGCGACATTCTGATGCTGTTCTCGAACTTCTCCTGTATCGACGAGAACTCCATCATGTTGCTGGGTTTGGACTCGATCCAGAACCCGTCGAATTCGTAAAACAGGTAACAGTAGAACTGATGAAAGGCACGAATTGTCGGCAGAGACTTTGAGGAATTATATATGTGAGTCTTAGCGCTGCCGTCTCTCAGTAACTTGAGAGCCATGCTTGTGAGATTTATACCGACAATAGCGAATCCGTAGCCGTAGCGCGGATGATTCGAATGAGATAACACGTGCGTGGCGGTGCTGGGGTATTCTTGAGCAAAGTAAATAAGATTCTCCAATCCTAGGATTCCCATACCGCGAAAATCGGTTTTCGGATCGTCTCCTTGGAAGCCGATTTCCTGCCACTGCTTGGTCACTCGCGCTTCCAGAGGCTCGTACGGCATCAGCAGATTCCACAGCTTCAGCAGGAGCTGCTCGTGGTTTGGATTGTCCGAACTGTATGGCGTCTTGCGCAGCTCCTCGCATTCTACGCACAGCTGACGGTAGCCCCAGATCAGCTCCACGCACCTGCCGAACGATCGAGCAAAGTCCGGGTGCGCTTGGGGATTGATCTGCTTCGTCATCAGCACGGTTCTGATGGCGTCCTCCAGAATCTTGCACTCCGTGGCTTTATTTATTCCTCGGTGATCCGCGATGTCGTTAAGATACGCGATGAGGGTCCTGATGTTGGCGTCGCGCGAGTACTTCAGAGACTTCTCAACGGCGAACGCCCGCGGCGCCCCAGACGGTTGCCCGTAGCAGATCCTCTGGAGCTCGCACATCTTCGTGGTGCGACGCAGAAACCATTTTATCAGAGGTCTGAAGTACCAATATACTACGCTCCAGATATACCTGAACATGCTTGGCCCGCCTTCTTAGGGTTACGGTGTTGACGGTTCTGTCAAAGCTCGTTTGACAGAGAGATCAGACGCGAGTAACGCGCGCGTGAATTTTAATTAAGACAGACACCACCACGTCGCTTGTTGTCCGGCGGTTGTCATGCCCGGTGGTTGATTTTCATTATGAGTCTCATCAAACAATGTCCGGTTAACCTTGTTGTCAACTTCGTTACGACCCCCGCACACTTCCAGCGAATACTGCGAATACACACAAATGCTACAAGTGCACAGTAATTCACACTGCGCGTCTAATTCGCAAATCAAACAGTAAACTTAAAGCCATGTTTTCATGGCTGCGGTCCGTTTCATACTTAATCGCGCATTTATCTGTAGTATATGTCACGTATACTATAGATAAAAATGTGCGCTTAAGCATGAAACGGACCACAGCCCGTGTAAGCGCGTTTGTCAAACATCAAACAGATCTTTATTTAGGCAGAAAAAAGAATGAAAAGAGATTTTCGCGTGTTTTGCTCAAATTAGCATAATTGAAAAATTGTTCGAATCGTGAAAATGACCCCATGGTTCGACGCGTCTTGATGAGCTCAAAAAGAAACCAATTTTACTTTTTAGATATTTTGCGTAAAACGCGAGACTTTTGCGTTTTTCACAAGTCAGAGAGCATATGGTAGACCGAATAAGTAGGAAAAAATCAAAATGTCAAATTAGGATCAAGGTTGTTATGCAGCCTTAATCCTAATTAATAACGCTAGTAACGTTTAAAATATGTCAGATGTCTAAGATAGGTAGGTAGGTAAATAGGTAGGATTATATATAACTATATATTTATATTATATTGTATAATATTGCATTATATTGTATTATATTGTATGTTATATGTAATAAATGTGTAATAGAATTGTATTCTATTGTACGCGGTATAAAAAAATTGTAAAATAAAACTTGGAAATAGAAAACACACTGATAAAGAGTTTTAAATAAAAAAGCAAAAGCTATATTTCTTGGAATTGCAACTTTTCAGACATTATATTTGTGTACCTTTGTATAATTTACATGGTTTTTTGTGTATTTTGTATATATATATATGTAGTATTTTTAAGAAAATAAAATAAAATTTATAAAGCACAGAGCAGCAAATGATGATGTAAAAGGAGATGATATTTGACTACACTCCGCGAATTCTGATGTTGCTCGCTATAAAATAAGATTCTTTTCTCGACTATCACATCTTTTCTGGTATATCACATTTATGTTGTACGAAAAGTTGCAATGGGTTTTCTTATCCTTTTCTGTTTTCCTTTCTCATCTTCTCATCACGAGATCGGTCATTTTAAATTTCAAAAAAAATCAAATTCACGCTCTCGAATATACTCACACACTTAAAGAAAGTGACCATTTAAACTCGTGCACATAGCACAGAATACAACCGCATGCTGTGGACATAGCGTACCGACGTGTCGCTCGTGGACTGTTTGCGTAGTTCCAATGTGTACCACTCTCGTGGACGTGCGCTAGTTTACGGGGCGAAAAAGTGATTACACATTCTCTTATGGGCCTGGTCGCTCTCAGGCTTCTCTCTGATTTAGGTTACTATTTGTGTCTAATGATCATTGGCTCTCGTGTCCACGTGTGAGTCCAGAAATTGTGATACCGGAATTATGTAGTTTATGGTCAAAAGTTCGGTTCAACCATGAAAATCGGACCAAACGTCAAAAAACAATATTGACAGATTTCAGGATAGGTTATGTTATTTAAAAAATAACATGTTTTTGCGTGATCAATGCAAGTAGGAAATAAGCAATTGAAAAACAATGAGTAAAAATTTTCGTGATACGACACCAGGTGATGGTCTGCGATCATTGCGAAGCACTGCTCTATTCCGCGCTGTCAATTTCGAGCTATACGTCAAACCAGTAAGATTTGATCTGTTTTGTCTCCGCGCGAAGAACTTAATTGAAAATATTATTAAAATTAAATTGAATTATTCGATTGTTTTTTTATACTTACAGAACAAAACTGTCATGTTGCTCGGTTTACTGACGATGTTGGGTTGCTCAGGATACATGTTTTATATGAACATCGGTGAAAAAAGAAATGATTATCAAACCTTGGTCAGATCAGACGATACGGTGGTAATAGTAAAGAAAACGTCTAAATGGGCGGATTAAATAAACAATTCTTAAGAAAAGTATTGTATACGTACTCTGTAATTACTTTTAGTCAAATGTGTGTTCTGACAATATAATGTATATACAATTTATATAACGTAAATATTTATTTATATATAATGTATATAATTTAAGTTTAAAGAACTCAGGATAATATCAAAGTAAGTATAGCAAAAATATCTGGGCAACTTTCTTTATTTTTGTTTTAATTACGTGCTTTTTCATCATGGTTTTAAGAGAAATTTAAAATTTGACGAGAGTTACTCAAAACTGCTACAAAGATATTAATAATTGTAGTAATTGTTATATATACATATCAATCTTTTTATCACATATTTTGTTCAAGACATCCCGCTAATTACTCTTTACACTACATGTATTATATTGTTAGAACATTGTTGGTATTCTTGTAACTTTGCATATTGCCAAGTAACATTTATTATGAAAAATAATATTGTTAGAGCATATACACACATTTCAGAGAAAAAACAAATTTAAACTTGATGTAGTTGTGAATTTTAAATGCCTTTGTCACCTAAATGCATCATCTTTGATATTTTTTCAAAAATATAATATTAACTAGTAATTGTCATTTATACAATTTTATACAATTTTATACAGAGTAACTTTGTATAACTTTTGTGCAAATATTATACTTACTGAGATACATTTTTATAATGTGCAATACTAAATTTTATAGTAAAAATAAGATACATACATTGTAGTCTTATGCTAAACGATTCTATATCACACAAAGATTCTAAATGTAGCACAATTACGGGTTAACATACATATACTTGTATGTACATAATCTTTTACAGAGAGAAAAAGTTTTTGATTTTACAAAATATCAATATTTATAATTGCATGTATAAATTTGTACAAATTCTATTGGCATAAAGTGGCAGTACAGAATGCGTTTCTTTTCAATCAGGTATGTGTATTTTGTTTTTCGTAATTATCGGTTAGGAGTAATATAGAAGTGGTCCTGATTTTTTGAACAAAATATTTACCATAAAAATATATTCATTGTTTTCTCGTACATATAGTTTCTCTTAGTGTTCAACTTATTAACCCGATTTGTCAACGTATTTTAATAAAATTTCAACACGATATGTATAAATCTCTGATTCTCACATATGTAGTCTTAACAGATAAAGGAAGCCCACATTTTCTAACACATTGGAGGAACACTGAATATCGCTAACAGCAAAGTGTTATATCTCGCTAGAGATTTTGTAACGCCAACAAATTTTAACATCTACAAACATTGATCATTTTCTTCTCTTTTTTTTCAAAAATTGATGATTTAATATAGAGCACGCAAAGAACACCACTTTTTATACGAAAATAAAATTTGCAAATTGTTTTACTATAATTTTTCAATCATTTCAACATTTACTAAAACATAGCAAAATTATTATTGAGATATGAAAAACTACATATCTTGCACTTTGCCTTGGTGACACACGTAACTTTTTTTGCAAGCTACACTTTTTTTTTAATCTTTCTTAACACAATCCTATTTAATTTCTACCGACTCATGTTTTTTTTCTACGTAAAATATACGTATCTACGTTTGAGAGTATTCGTTTATAAAGCACTCAACGTTTAAAGCACTCAACAGTGTGTTTTCACGACGTATTTCTTTATAAAGTAGCAAATATCTTTTGGTTTTAATAGCGAATTACAATTACGTTACATGTCACAAAAAAAAGTCTTGGGAAAAAAGGACACAATTACGTAGAAAAATTTGGCATCTTGTAATACTCTGCAACAATTTGTACTTTTATCTCGTGAACTGTTGTAGAAAAAGAAAAAAAATCGATTTTTTTTATAGGAAGAATAATCGTATCAAATAGTTGGTCTCAAAACAGGATATGAAGACGGAAAAACAATGTACGATCTCTCTTTCTCTCTCTCTCTCTTTCTCTTATATGTAATAAAACTTCAAATATTCACCCGAAAATAATCGTTCTTTTCTGAGCATCAATTTTGGGCTGAAATTTCGTTATGTACAAAATATTGCCATATATTCAACGTTTGAGGTTTGACCGTTTAATTTTGTACTTGTGATGTAGTCTTTTTTTTCCTCTAACACTCGTTTTGCGTTTCCGGAAACATCTTTATCGTTTCGTTGAACGCGTCTGCTACATAGTCTAAATTGGATTCGTTGAGTCCGCACATATTTATACGCCCACTACGCAACATATAGATGTGATAATGCTCTCTCAGATGCTGCACTTGCCTCTCTAAAAAAAAACAAATTTACAACACAGATTGTTTTTTCTCGATCATTTTTCTACACATTCAACATAACTGTAAAAAATCAAGCACATTTTATTAAAAAACTAACCAGTAAGTCCTGTGTAGGAAAACATTCCAATCTGTTGGGTAATATGATCCCAAGTACCAGGAGTGCCTAACTTAAGCAATCTCTCTCTCAAACCTTGTCTCATATCTCTAATTCTACTGGACATTGTTCTAATATGGCCTTTCCTAAAATATCGAACAATTTAAGAGGATTGTTTTTTTTTTTTTTTCGTAAGTAATATCTTATATTTGTATCTTATAGAAACCAGTACCATTCCTCAAACAACTCCGGATTCCTCAGTACCGTCGCGACAATTCGAGCGCCGTGATTAGGAGGATTGCTGTACATTCCTCGAACAATCAGAGTCAATTGCGACTTAGCTTGAACCAGCTCCTTTATGTCAGACATCACGAAGACTAAGTTACCGATTCTCTCATTGTACAATCCGAAATTTTTCGCAAAGCTCTGCGTGGCGACGAACTCGATCCCGCGCTCGGCAAACATACGCACGGCGTACGCATCTTTATCTAAATCACCGCTTGCAAAACCCTATTAAAGTATTAACGTTAACATGTTTATCTGAGTATCATAATGCGAGGGCAATAGCGATATCTGAATAACTGTGATATTTGGATTAATCTAATCGCTCTTATCGGACCTGATATGCACTGTCGAACAGCGGGAAGAGCCGTTTCTCCTGTATCACGTCGGCGATTTTGGCCCATTGCTCTGGCGTTGGATCGCATCCGGTTGGATTATGCGCGCATGCATGCAGAATAATAACGGCGTTTTCTGGAGCGTTTCTTAAATCGTTGAGCATTCCATCTAGATTGATACCACGAGTATTTTCGTCCCAATATGTGTATTGGCAAGCGTTTTTAAATCCCCCATTGGTAAAGACCAGATTGTGATTCTCTGCCAGCAACAAAAATCTCGCGATACATGAACAATTCTTGCTCCAGCAAACAGGGAGATGTATATTTCTCCCTCTCTCTCTCTTCCCTTGAATCTACTTACCCCAGGAAGGTATGCTGTAGTAGAAGGTGTCGTAGTGCAGAATACGACTCAGAAATTCAGCAGCGACACGCAGCGCTCCGGTGCCCGAAAGCGTCTGAACGCCAAAGGCACGCCCTTGAGCGATAACAGGAGAATCCGGACCGAGTAGCATACTTGTAGCGGCTTCGCTAAATGCGTCCAACCCAAGAACTGGCAAATACTCATGATTTTGCAGATCATCATCAGCGAGTGACTTTTCAACTTTTTTTACAACAGGCAGAACCCATGGCTTACCCTCGCTAGTGCGGTAAGCTGAAAAGGACCCATGTAAATAATGGTTTCATGTGGATAATTACAGTGCAATATCACAGGCATGTGAGAGTTAGTTATTATCCATGTAAATCCATGCAACATGCTACGTGCATCCACAAAGAGGAATACAAACTAGTCCTTGAGTAGCTTATCAAACTTATGTATTTCATGAAATATACATAGAGCTAAATATATCCTATATATACAATACTTGAAAAATTACAGTTTTTATGTGTGTGTATATATATATAAGAGAGTAAATATAAAAAACGTAAGTTCTTGATAAAATCAAAATTAGAAATTGCTGTGTGTATTCTATTCATAGTCACGGTGTGTTATTTTTGAGTTGACTTTGTTCTCTATTTAACGATTTCTTAAAATAACAATGAATGAGATCTATATCTTTATATTACACACTTTATATATACATCTGTACAAGTCATAAAAAGCGTTATGTAATCGCTTTAAAGGTGACCCAAGATACTATTACAAAGTACTAAACTATATCGCAATTGCACTACTTTGTTGCGTACATCACGTGAGTGTAAGCTTATTACTTGCTCGAAACTACGCTAATTTGCGATGGAATGAGTCACAATTTTTTTTTTTTTTTAAAGAAGCGTACTATAGATCTAAACGCAACAGTCAGCTGAGTCTTCCTAAAATCAAAAAGAAAAGGGAAAAAGAGAAATAATATCTACCGTAGCAACAAAACGAGAAACTACCGCGTACCGCGGAAATTGATATGAGGGGAAAAAAAAAATAAAATTAAAACACACATACCTCCTACACTGAGATTAGCTTTTTTCGGGTGGGGATCGTCCGTGAAGGCTTTTACCACCGCAAAAACCTCGATGGGGGGTCCTAGTTTTATCCCCGTGAATCTAGTGCTCATCCTGTCGACACAAACGGCAAAAACAGCGCGATACGCGACGTCAACTGAAACGAAATGATTAACAACTTCCGCGAGTTCCCGACCGTACCCTTAAATACTCGTAAATACCGCAGGAGCGTGTTGTACGCGAGGCGCAACATGAAAACGTGCGCGCGCGACAATTATTCTGTCGCTTCTGGCTACGCGCTTGACTATATATACATCTTCCGATTTTTGCCAATTGACACGAATGACGTAAGTGGTTATATTGTGCGACGATCATACTTTTTCACTTTCATACATTTCGCGTGTGACGTAGCAATTGCCATTCCGTCGCAAAATCAGATGTGACCAAAAAAAAAAAGTCTACTGTGAATCAAATTGTTGCGTGTGTCGTTTAAAAATATTTTTATTTTAAAAATCTCTCGTTCTTGTATCATTTATCTCGCTTCTGATTCTCTTCTCTCGCCTCCATTCGAGGTGTACAAAATTGCACGTGCATCTCGCGACAAGAGATCAGATATATCGCGTGCGAACACGCTTCATGCGATTTGTGCAGCGTCTAGAACAAAAAAAAAAGATGATCCAATCGTGTGCGCTGCACGGTGGAGTAAACAGAAAAATTGACGAATCACATGCCCGGGAACGAAGCGCGTAGCGATATATGGCTGGCACTTGCGCTACGCGTCCGATTGGTCGTTATTTCTCGGCGCGTGCGCGTTAACGCGGTCGAATAGATTTTGAAAATGAAGTAGCATATACTTTGTCCGTGATCGGCGCTACGATAGTATATTGCCAACTGCATCAGGTTTGCATACTTTGCTGCGTGGGTGCGCGTACGTACATACGCGATTACGAAAGTCGACGAAAGTACTATGTGTAGCAACGGTGTGCTCTGATATTTTTTTTTTCGCGTAAAACATAAATATACATAGCTTCCCGGAATCACCGAGATTTCGAAGGCTTGCTTTTGCGAGGCTTGTTCGTGCGAGAATCGTGCGAGAGTCGCGTTGTTCGCTCAAAGGACGGTGAATGTCGACTCGCGCACAACGTATCTTCCTTCGCACCAACTACGAGAGACTTAAATGAGTTTGCAAGACAGTCTGTTTTCGGAGGATGTCGAAGATGACATAAGCGTCTTCGTCAAGAACAAAACACGCAAAAGGTACGATCGGGAGGAAACGGATCCCGTGTATGAACGCGACGCCGACGTCGGCACCGGCGTCGAATCGCTCAACGCGACCGAATCACACGTTGCAGGTTAGCTTCTTCGGCGGCGATGGTGATGTTGATATCGGCCGCTGAAGGAAGAACTCACTTTCGATATTTTTAGTTTCTTTTTTTTTTTTTTCTAGCGACAAAGTACTTTTATTTTAGCTGTGCGCCGTGTGACAAAATTGAGCTCGTGTATTATTTGGGAAAATTGAGCGATATTTTCTTTTCTTTTCTTTCTCCTCTTTCTCATCTCTCTTTTCTCTCTCCTCTTTCTCATCTCTCTTTTCTCTTTCGATATAGAATTTATATAAATAGAGCAGAGACACGCCGCATCTTTGTTACAGCGGGCAAAACTACTAAATAAAGATACGGAACAGTGTTCTGTTTATCTTTTCTTCTTATTGTGCACATTCTCTCTTGTTTATTTACACGTTTAAATGCACCTAAATAAACGCAATTTCATCATATCGTCTTGTTTTGATAAATTTTAATGATAATTTTTTGACAATTTTTTTGTTAAACAGCCTCGGCGCATCGGGCAAATCGTTCAAAGATAAACGACAAACGATATTTTATCGAGTCCGCGATTTTCTGCTTACTTGCTGTCCGTCCTGATTAAATGGGATTGTCAAGTGGAATTGTCAAATGGGATTAGCAAGCACGTGATCATCGCTTCGATCGTCGTTTTCGAGTAACACAACTTGTCGACTCCGGACACGTACGTGCTCGCACGTGGGTGGGCGCGCATCGTACAACTTATTCAATCGCACGCACGTGGATTACATGAAACTGCGTAACCACGTGTCTATACGTGACAAGGGAGCACACTTTGTTTCTTTTCTCGAGAAATTTTCAAGTACACGCGCCGCGAGATTAGAGATGCACGCGATCGCAACTGGTTTCGCGCTCTCGCTCGATCACACGCTGTTTGAACGAACAAGTTGTACGTAAAACGAATAAAACTTGCACTTTCCCTTGTATCCTCGCGATCGCAAACAACGCAACAATCGCAATCGTACGATGCACCACGTCGATTATCGTCTCTTTCAAAAAACAAAAAAAAAACTGCGAGAGAAAGTTGTTTTTATCAACGATAACAAGTTTATACGCGCTGATGCGTTCTCGCTACGTGAATTCCCGCGGACGAACGAACGAAGGAGAAAGTGAAACGGGTTACGTAAAACGTTAGCTGGCGTATTTGTGTCCTCGTTTCTCTCTCTCTGATCCCCTCCTCACTGTTCTCATCTCTCTTCGGATCAACGTCGTAAGACCGTTACGTTTCACTTAAAAAAAAAAAAAGAAAAAAGAAAAAAAAGAAAAGAAAAGGCTTCGGCAAGGCGATCGGTCGATGCGACCGATGCTCTCAAACAACGGTTCAGTCCGTCCTCAGTCTCACTTTCAATGAGAAACGCGTTCCCTGTTTTCGCTTTTGCAGAGCTCTTGTCTTCCCGCCGGTCAACAATTATCGTCGGTACATAATACACCAGCTGGTGCAAGACCGTTTCCCGGATCTGCTGCAGACCTTCTCGATCGGTCAGGGCTCGGCCAGGCGTACCGTGGTATGCTTCAAGAGCGACGTAAGAAGGTACACAGAAGTGTTGGCAGATTTTTTCCTCCCAGTTGTTCCGGCAAGCGTCAGAAGAATTCGCTTACTTCCTCGCGCGTCCCTCGTAAAACATATTTACAGCCGTCAATATTCAAACAACGTTCGTAATATAGCACATTTTTTATTATATAAATTTGCAAGTAAAAACAAAAGCAATATAGATTGATACACTTGACTGGTTCAATCAAGGTCATCATTCTATTCCGTCGTAGTAGTAATTCGACTAGCGATCGCAATCTCTCGATCGAGATTGACGATGCGCGAACGACGATTTCTTTATCGTTTGTTTTGTTTTTGTATTAAAGAGATTGGGAACCGAAATCGAATGCTCCTGACTGGAAAACAAGTCTCGCATTTAAACAAAGAGACACGAATCGCGGGATGGGTGTAGAAGGACGACGGTCGCCCTCAAGTTCCCCAGAATACAAACCAACGCAACGACAAGGTAAATTATAAATGTGAAGTGACCGAACAATGGATGGACAAAACGCGATGGATACGTTTCAAAACTTCTGACTTCTTCTCTTTTCTCTCAAAGCCAAATCAACACCGTCAGTTGAGATCTATAGACCACCGGCGGCTAGGAGAGCTGCCAACAATTGTTCGCAAACAAGTGGCACACAAATACAAACACAACAGTCGACCACAGACTCTCCTTCGGTCAAGTAAGGCCTAGTAAATTATTTAATTGTCGTTTAACACACGTTTAGTGATCGATGTTCTCTGTTTAAGTTTTAAATACGTTGCGGTATTTTATACCGCCGGTTCCATAATTGATCTTCAGAATGTATGTTGAGTTACTTATATGCGTATTATTTAGAAATGTTCGACAAAGACGTCCCGATCGAGCGGTTTACGTGCCCAGGCACCGAAGAAGTTTGGAAATTGAGGAAAAGAAGCCGCAAAATTCAAAAGCTCCTCTCGCAACTCCCATAAGCGCATTGAACGAGGATTCGAATACAAATAACAATTCTAAGCTGCAAGATGTTTGTTGTGCGCAACGGAATATCGGCGACTCGAGTTCGAGCAGTCAACTTTCCGACGGTCTTAACGTGGAAATTGAAGATAGTCGAGAGAATTTAAAGAATATAGCTTCGTCAGATTCTGAGATAACTTTTGACGCTCAGAGTAACGCCAAGCCGATAGAAAAGGAAAATGCGCCAACTTCTGTGAAAGAGAAAGAAACGAGTAGTGATCATAACGAAAATAGTGCTGATATCAGTCTCGAACCATTCGTCGAAAGTAAAGAGCAATTGAAATCGACGCAAGAGACTGCGAAGGAAAACCAATCAGCGGAAAATTTAAATTGCAGTGATATAACAGATTGTGAGAGCAAAGCAGATGAACAAGATCAGACGTCGAACGTTTTGGTAATCTCTGATGTCACTAAAAACCAATCGAATCAGTTCGATCAAGTCTCACCGGTTCACGCGATACCGCCTGAGAAGAAAGCGAAAAAGATAGAAAGGCAAAAGAGCAAACCGGTGCCACCACCTTCTCCGCCTATAAAAATAAATAGAGACGAATGCGATTGGGACAGTCTGTTCGATGATAACGGCGACTGCCTAGATCCAACACTGATAGACGAAGTATGTTATAATAACACATTAGTGTTTAGACGTTTAATAATAAGGTTATACACAAGATGATAATCGATTATCTGTTTATGTTTAGCTTACGTCAGCAGTAGGCGAAGTAGTGATAGAACAACCAAAGAATGATTATAAGGCGTATAGCAAACAAGTCGAGGTGTCTAGCGACGAGTTTGCGCACGTAGTAGAAATTTATAATTTCCCTTCCGAGTTTAAAACTAGCGATTTAGCAGCTGTATTTAGTTCTTTCAAAAATGGCGGTTTCGAACTGAAGTGGGTGGACGATACTCACTGTTTAGGAGTTTTTAGCAGTCCTCTTGTTGGTACGCACATGTTTAATACTTTACAGTAATTTTAACTAGTGACGTATAAATTTATGTCTCATCATCGAAAAACTAGAGATTAAGAATTTCAATAAGGAAGTTATAATCGATAAACTATCCTTCGTCTGTGTTTCTTTTAAGCTGCCGAAGTGTTAGCGTCGAATCATCCGTTTGTAAAAACGAGACCGCTTAGTCAGGCCACCGCTTTGAGCAAAACGAAAGCGAGAAGAAGCGCGGAATTCCTCCAACCCTATCGAAATCGTCCCGAAACGTGCTCCGCCCTGGCCAAGAGATTGGTCACAGGTGCACTGGGTGTGAGGCTTGCTACAGCTAGTCAGGAACGCGAGCGCGAAAAGAACATACTGCGCGAGGCAAAAGGTACTTTGAAATTCGATTCTGTGTGTCTCTCTCGTTTGTGCGATAAAAAATTTAAAGAGCTGCAGTTTTTTTTCCTGAAAACGAATGTTAAACAGACAGATTTCTGTGTTGCAGAAAAAAAGCGGTTAGCCAACAAACAACGAGAGGATGCCTGGGAAGGCATAATACCGACAAAGTAATATTACGTGCCCTTAAAAACACTGGTATTTATAGCACTTGTTTGTACCTCATGTTATACATGCGCTCGCATTAACCTCGTGGATCTACGTGACGTAGTTTCACCACGACACTTGCATGACGTTTACATGTATATATATACATATATGCTTGCGTTGATGTACGAAAGTTGAAATTTTATCATGAGAGAGAAATCGGCGCTTCCGTGGCGCGCCTTACATATATTTGTGTGTGCCTTACTCATCTATCTTTCATATTGATAACTAAGCAAATATTTCGAACAAGACATATGTGTATACGTTTTTCCACTTGCTTTTGTCCGCGCAACTTTGTTACAGAAATATATATATATATATATATTTGTGTGTGTATATATATATATGTATATGTATATATATACGATATTATTTTTGTGTCACAGTAGATGAGTTCGGCGTGCAAATATTGCGAATGGTAAAATATCTGACGTAAATCGGATAATTATTTTTTGAAAACTGTCGAGACAATATGTAAAGTTATTTTACATATGTGCTAACGAAATTTGTATAGAAAAATGTAAAATATAGAATACGCGCATCTTTTTGAGAGATGCAAAAATGTGCAATTTGTTTTTGTTTTTTTTTAATGAATAGAGCGACGTCTCTTTCGTTGAAAAATTTATGTAAAACTTACATACACGTAAAGCGTATGGCTCTTCACACTTGCATTGTCACACAAAAATGTACATAAATATCGATATTTTATAATACCTTGAATACGCGAAACAATTGTCACTGTTATAAGTTTATACACAAGCAACAGTTGATAGCGCGTAGTACAGTTTGATCGTAAGACAATAAGTTGCCGTTCTTTCATACACATCGACATTTCATGTTACAGCGATACATCAAAATATATAAATATATATATCTTTACAAAATTTTATAAAATTCCCCGATGTGAAACAATTGATAGTTGTGTGTGGCATTGAAATAACACTCTATCTCTCATTCTCTGAAGAAAAACCATTTTATAATTCTGACTTTGTCACTGATACATACATATGTCTGTTATATATACAAATGTTACAAACCAACGCACAATCACATTGTCTATTCATATTGCAGAGTTGCCGAGTGAACGTGAACAGATTGTATTTTTATATATATAGACTTGTTACCGAAATTCGAAAAATAAAGAAATGTGTATTACCCTAGTCAATATTACGTATGAAAGAGATATATGTTACCCGTGCACGTGATTGATTTATGACCCAAAGTTGAGACCCTAGCAGAATCTTTTGTGAGAAATAAAAATTATTTTCTACACCATAATCACCTGTCTTTGCTTATAAATTGTCTGTATAAGTATCTTTTTCAGTTATTTTTTCAACGAATTGCCAGTGAGTTTGTGATGAAGTATAAAAAAAGAAATCTTAAAATATGACAAAGGAAAAAGAATTGAGATAAGATCAATTTACATGCAGGCGTACAGAGAAATTAAACAAATGAAAATTAACCATAAGTTTGGTTAACACGTAAAATGTGTTATATTATATTTTTTATTATATATTATTATATTTTAGTACTTATGGCAGTATTGCGTTTCACAAAATACAGCTACATAGTAGCAAATCCAATTATTTTTTTAGTTTGTTTCTCGACGTGGTTTTTTTTTGCTCGACTAGGCGCAATATGTACTACGTAGTATGCAATCTAATTTGTATATCAAAAGAGAAGAGAACGTGCATTTAATGGAATGAAAACCGAAGTCGTTACCACTTGCTACCCTTCTTCTTCTTCTTCTGTTGAACCTTTCGTTGTTGCTGGCGTGGTCCGGAAGTTTCCACCGCGGGACTATGACGAGGATTCGGAGAAGGTTTCGTGCTCATTTTAGTGATATCACTGCAATGCGAGATACAGTATTTTTGTTTAAACAATTAATTCTCATATCGTGCGTATTTGTTGTCATGAGTTATTTAAATATACGTACTAAAGATCACTAGCTCCCGCAGCAGCTCCTTGTGTTCCCTTTAGAGTGGCGTCTCTGTTTCTTCTGTCCCGTTTCTTACGGAATCCGCTACGTTCGTGTCTCGGCAACCATCGCTCCGGATCCGGCGGTACGTTCGGATCGTAATTCTTCGGGAGTTTGCCTTTGCGTTTACGTTTCTTCTGCTTCTTTTTACTCACTTCCGACGCTAATTTACTGAGAAACAACACGCATGTTTATTAAAATATTCAATGCGACACCAAAGAAATATGTTTACGAAGTAAATATGTTTACCCGGGAGAAGGTTCAATTTTTTTCTTTGCTGTTTTAGCTCCGATAACCCAACTGCTGTTCTCCAGTGCGTCAACGTCAATATTTTCAGCGAGATCGTGAAGCGGCGGTAATCTTTTTGCTAACGCTTTCGCTTTCTCGGGGCAAAACTCTACGTAAGCGACTACCAGCTGAGCCAAGGTCTTGACATCGGACGGCGAGGAATCCACCAATTCTTGCAGAATGTCAGTAGCAATTTCGAGTTCTCCACCGCGCAGATAAAAGTTCGCGGCTTGTCGCCATAATTCTCCAAGATTCTCGGTAGTTCCCTGAAAATAAAGTGTGCGCATAGTTTAATTTACGAGCAAGAGACACAATCATCTCCTATATAAGGAATGTATATATACTTTATTTTTCTTGTAGTAGGCAACTGCATTCTTCAGAGCGGTCGATGCCTTTTCTCGATCGTCATCGGCCATATGCAGCGTTACGAGTGCGCTCACTATTCCAGGCAGCGATCTGTCCTTTTCGTTCAAATTCTCGAGAATATCGATCGCGTCTTTCCTTTCGTCATGGCTCAAGAGTATTTGCACGCTAGCAAGTTTCATAGGCAACTCGTAATCGCCAACCGCGTGTTCGGTCAATAGTTTCGCAGCTTCTTTCGGTTTACCTTCCTTACTAAGCTGTACAGCTTTTATAAACATTGCATCTGCCTCAAGCGAAGGATAATCTTTCGCGAGATTATTGCACAGTTGGTGACATTGTTCCCCCTGAAAATTTGTAACGTGTGTGGATGTAAATGTTTATAAATTGCGAAAATACTTTTTGAGCCAAGTCACACCTGTTGCGAAATAATAAAACTTACCTGATCGGTGTAAAGTGCTAATAAACACTGATTGTACGCGATATTTTTTCTTTGTCTGGAAGTTAATTTGTGTTCTAGACTTTCGTGGGTAGCGGTTTTCATTCTCCTTTTGCTGTCGAAAACATTTTGGTCTTTGTTCAGACATACTAGATTATTGTTCGCCACGGCAATTAACGCGATGTCGTCAGGCTTCGCCTTCAGAACATTGGTGTACAACGCCTGCGCTTCTTTATCCCGACCTTGCAATTGCAAACAATAACCAAGCTGCACTCGGATTATACCCAATTCGTTTTCTATCTCCTCCTCGGACGCTCCGTCTTCCTCCAAACCCTCCTTACACATTTTTTCAGCGGTTCTCAGTTTCTTTTCCGCTTCTGCTAGGATAGTTTTGTGAGTATGAATTCCCTGCGCGAGCAAACGGCACGCCACGTTGTAGATCAATTCGTACGTGTGTTCACGTAACGAAGGAACTTCCAGATTCTAGAATTTTTTTTTTTTTATATAAAATATCGATGTTGATTTGTTACATATTTTAATAAAATATTTTTAATTTTTAATAACATTTATAAAAACACTGCAAGTTTTTTTAAATACGCTGTGATGCTTACACAACCCTCAATTGCTAAATTAGCAAGAACAGCTGAAAGATTCGTTTCTCGTTCCTCTTCATATTCATCATTATAATTTTTAAATATGTCTCTGTATATGTCATAACATTGTTCATATTCCCCAGAACGATACAGTATCTGAGCTTTCAATTCCTTATCTTTCAGAGATGGATTTTGCACACTGTCTGTCACTTTCGACGCCTCGGAGGATTTGTTCAAACGATAGAGACAGTATGTTTTTTCATGTTCCAAATTTCTAAGTAAAAAACAAAATAAATCTGTTACATATAAAAATTGTGCTGCATAATTTGTATAAAAAATATCATTATTAAACATCGTTTTTATCGTACACTGCCAATTTGGGAGATTTTTCAATAGTTTGTAGCGCCTCATTAAACTTGGACAAATGGATGAGGCAAATGATCTTGCATTGAAACGCCACACCTTCATCCTGAGAGATGGATAAAACTAAAAACAAGAAAAATGTAAGTCACACTTTAGTTTCAAATAGCGGCTTTTTGTTGAAAGAACATATACCTACATCTACGGAATCTGAACTACTTTTACTATGGGGAACCAGATGTTCCAAAAATACTTGAGGGGTAAAACAGCACTACAGTAGTGAGCAAGACACCAATTATTGTCACTACCGGTTTTGTTTTATTTCGAAAAATAATATAAGTTCAGCTCGACTTACTTCTATTTGCAACTTTTAAAGCCCTCTCGTAGTCCGCGATTTGCCCCAATTTGCTTAATTCTGCGTACAATGCAGGAAGGTTACTTTCCTTCGAAGCCATATTTTTCTCAACTCACACAAGCTGGCACGTGAACGTGTCAACGTGGAATCACGGTCGGGTACGTATGCTCGAAGACAAATTATTAGCAAATATAAAAAATTCAAGAGTGTTGGATAATACTATTTAGTCAATGTAATATACAGCGTTTCCTTTTGTTATCTATATATTATTCCTTTTCACGAGCTAAACTATCTCGCTTGGCTCGGTCACGCGCGGTTCCGATATATTTACTATCGGTATTGCAAATCTCTATCGGTACGTGTGACTTGAAGTAGATTTGAAATATTAACAGTAGATCGCGCGGAGAACGCAGCATTAGTATATCAAGAGAGGAACTCTGCTGCTTTCTGTCTTCACTCTGATAAAAAAGACCTTACTTCAAAAAGAGCAGAACTGGTGATCGTGAGACTGGGGAAGTAATAATAAATATATAAATTGTAATTAATATAGAACAATTTGATCTTTAATGTTACAGGTCAGTTTTTTTATAAATATTTATAATTAACAATATGCTCGACATTTGTACACAAATCGAACACTCGCTCATTTTTGTAGCAAACATGAAACATAGAACATATAAAAATATACAATGTGAAAGAAGTAAAAAGTAATGTCTTATTTTTAAATATTTTATTTTATTGTTCAATATACATTACATATTCGTGCACACATATCTATATATTGCGAAAAGTAATATAAAAGTTGTATGTTTTATTGGTGTCAGGATGAAAAATCAACGCATTTGTTTTAAGTAAGAAGAAAATCTAATTTATTTTTTTTTTTTTTCATTGACATAAACATTATTTAAACGTGTAAAAGTAAGATATCTTAGTGTTAACTAAATTAGATACTAAAAAAACGTATATGCAGATTTTAATTGAGTTTTTTGTTTGCCATGTTCGGGATGATAAGCTTACGATAAAACGTTAAATTTCTTATTCTGCAAGAAACACTTCATGATGTTTCCTCCTTTTTCACAACCGGTTCCAGCTGAAAAAGTAATATATTTATAGTAACATAGTGAGCTTAGTTCTGCTTTTCTACACAAATCGACGTCAAATTGATAAATTACCATCAGAAAAAGCAAAAATAGATTTGTCTCATTGAGCTAATATTTTACTTACAAACGTCTCGGCACTTAGCGATTACATCCTCGATTTCTTCCTGTGGCACGTTTTTCGGTGCATGTGCGCGTAAAAAGTCCACGTTTAGAGTATCATCCTCATTCAACTAGAAAATACCAAAAAAAGAAAAATTTAATTATGTTGTTTGTTAATTATTATACATTGAGAGACGAAATTTTTACACTTACAACGTGGATTTTCTTTAAGAGGCATTGAGAGAAGCAGGCGAGTTTTTCGCTCTCAACTGGTTCTCCACGAATTACACTTTGTATAGCAGCTGAAAAGAGTCAAAATTGTTGTATAATGTATATGTAATTATGTATATTACATAATTTATTATATTTATTTATATATTTCTTATCTATTTATTTATATTCGATTGCTTGAAATAATGTGGGCGTTCTCTAATATTAAATCTTCAAGAAGAAATGTAACAGTGTGGCAAATAAGAGCCAAACGTTGGATATATACGTGGAATATATTGAAGTAAGATTAGTTATATAAAGTTGTTCAAGTTCTTTTTAACGTTTAAAGCGTGCAATGTTCTTTGCCTTACCTGCATCTGCGCCAGTTTCAGCAATACAAATTTCTTTGGCCCGTGCTAATTTTGCTTTTTGCTCATCTGTAATTTGAGCAGAACCCTGAAATCACATAATACATTTGTGCGTCAATATTTTTGTAGTTTTAACATCTACAATGTGATAATTATTAATAACATTTTAACAATAATTTAAAAAAACATCTGTTTCTAAGAAGAAGTAATTAATCAAGTTTAAATATTTTGAACAATAAGTTTACTAACAAATGTTAGAAATAAAAGAAAAGAATATGATGATACTTAACGCATCACAGGATTTTTAAACTACAAAACTTCAGCATAAATAAATAAATAAAACTTTGGTATAATTGAAGTACGACAAAAAACTCTGATCATTTTAAAACTAAAACAATTGCATTATATAGAAACAAATCTCACTGTTTAAAAGAATTAAATATTATTTTTGAAAAATAAAATGTATCAGAAAGAAGAAAAAGGAAATAGAAAAAAAAAAATGATATACCAATGCGGCAACGAGGAAAACAGTAAATGCAATGACGATTGCCTTCATCTTCGGTTTCTGCTTTCGACAGGATCCAACTTCGTGATCAAAGTGTTACTAAGCCTACGATCTACTAAGCCTGAGTTTTTATAGCTTGAATCTGAAGACACCTTTACCTTGACAACACGAGTGGGAGAATATTTAAGTGTTACACGATCTTTGGAACGAGACATGTATACGCATAAGAATACAAGGAAAAAATTAATGAGCGCTTCATGTTCTTCACGTGTTTAAAAAATCGTTGATTTTCGAATAGCAAAAAAACAATATGAAACAAACGCTTACGGCATTTTTTTTTTGGCACAAAATTGAATGCGTGTGAGCTATTAATCTTCTTAAAAAAAAAGTTCATCGACCGCTAGTCAGGGTCGCGAGAGATCATGCTTTTTCTTCGACGTTCTGTATCAGTTGTATGCGTTATATCGTTACATTTAACCATTTTTTTCTTTTTTAAATATTCGGACATTATTTCTTATAAGTTTGATGTGTGATGAGGTGTCCTCTGGTTCGTGAACAATAAAATTTAAATTCGAAGAGAGTAGAGTAACGGGCTTGTCGAGCCGATTGCAGGTTTTGCATTAAAATCAATAGTATTAATAGTATTAATAGTATTAATAGTATTAATGATCCATACGTTTTGACTTTATTGTTTTAAGTCATCTTCAATAGTTTGTAAGTCGTACAACATTTCTTGATACAACGATATTTTTAGAAATAGATGTAAATCGAGTGTGTATGCTATTGCTTATCGTCACGACAGTTGTGTAAATCGGGTGTATATGCTATTGCTTTATCGTCACGACTGTCGTGACGACTGTCGTGACGATAAAGCAATAGCATACACACCCAATTTACACCGACTTCTATAATATCGTCATATCAAGAAATGTTGTTGCGAATTACAAATTTGGTGAAGATGACTTAAAACAATAAAGTCGAAACGTATGGATCATTGATACTGTTGATTTTAGTGCAAAACACTCTGCAACCCTGTTCAACAAGCCCGCGTTACTCTATTTTGAATTTAAATAGTATATCTTATAGTAACGTAGAACAGCAGTTGCGGGACAAAAGAGCAAAAGAAATTAAAAAAAAAAAAAAAAAAAAAAGAACGCAAGAGGAAGGTCAAATATACATGTATATTAGGGAAATCCATAAACAGACGAATCATTAACGACTGCTGATTGTGATTGTTTAGTTACACAATGATGCGGCGGTATAACAATAAAAAAAAGCAATATAAATTTCATTTAATGACAGCGATCAAGACGCAATGTCGGACGTTATTATATACATATACTTGTACAATAATTATATCTTATTGTTTCAATGCATGACGTGCCTACAAAACTTACTGACTCGTAAGTATGTTTCAATTGGAAACTTACTTATATGTTGCGTATTTCGAAAATTATTGAGCAAGCAGGTGTTCTTTCTAAAAAACAATTTTGAACTTTGATATTTGGTACTTTGTACTGAACTAAACAGAAAATCACAATTTACAATTATAACCAATGATCTAAAGACGAGAACGTTTTCTGAAAAAAGAAAAGAAATAAATATCCGGGTATTCTCAACATTATGTTATGTGTCGCGCCGATATTGTTCCCTTCCTAGACATGATATATAATCACATTTCCTTAAATCTCATATTAGCATATCATATGTTACATCATCACGACGATTTATAGATGATTATCTTTTATATAATGAGATTATTTACGTAGCAGTTGAGGTAGGTGTGTTTTTTCAATTTTTTTTTTTAAGTCGGCGCTACAGTCTCTACACTTTATTTCTTCGTGTTGTGTTTAAATGTAATTGCTTTTTGCTATATTTAGAACTCAAATCTGGGTGAAGGTAAACGTGCATTAATACGTAGACATATTTCCCTTTGAATTGAGCAGTAAAAGTAAAGTATCACATTATTTTCTAAAGATATTTAAAATTTTGTCGCACAAAAATTACGCGTAAAGTTTTGTATACTGCAATGTATAACACTATAGCATGTATGTATGTTTTTTTATATCTCTTGTATACTTCCTCTAGCCAATATATATATATANATATATATATATATATATGTATATACATATGATTTATAATGTTCACATTATTTATAACAACAGATGTTAAAAACATGTGTTTTGGAGAAATGTTATCTTACATTATGGCTGTTTTTTTATAGTCGAATCTCATGTTTAAGATCTCGGACTCTGTGAGTATATTCTACCAGAAGTGTTATGTGGATTAAACCTGTTTGTATGTAAGATCTGATAAGAAAATGATTCAAAACAGGTTTTCTACTGTGGGAAAATCTTTATTCGGCTTAAATTGAAGAGAGCGTTATTGACTTTATCAGTTTTAGTTTTTTCTCACTTCCATAACAGAGCGATTCAGATATCTTATTTAAAATATATCATAGTATTATGTCTAAGATAAATCTCTCCGAGAGAGAGAGAGAGAGAGAGAGAGAGAGAGGGAGAGAGAGAGAGAGAGACGAATGAATACGTGTATAATTACTTCCGTAATGGAATATTTTTTTGTTCGTAATAACGTGAGAATTGTTTTATGCTAATCGCGTAATTTTCAGTTCAACGTGCAAGAAACTTGAAGTTTTGATTCGCACAGAAGTATTAAAAACTTAGATTACTTTTAGAAAATATTTAAAGTATGTATTTTGAAATATCTCTCGTGTTTTTTTCCTATCTCAGAATAAAATTGATATCTTCTTTTGATAAAATATTATGTTAAGATATAGTAATTAAATTGCGCAGTTAAAATGCGCGTTTCGAGGAATGTTTACTTTTGAAGTTTTTTATTTAAAACTAAAAACGAAGTACGTGATTTTATTTTGCTGTTTACCGGTTTATTATACATACGTGACTTTTTACGCCTGCTACTTAACATCTATCTTTTCAAATGTTCTATCTCCTGTACGTTCATTATCTAGTCTCTTTTATTTTTCGTAAAAAAAAATCGTTTCGTGCATAGTATTTTAATTTTTCTGAATCCAAACTTTTTCTTTCTTATTTCTACTATCGAGAAGAAAACAATAAGAAAAAAAAATAAAGATATCTAATGATATATATATATATATATATATATATATTATACAAGTTTTAATCAAGCTCCATACTAAATATTCTTATCGCGATGATCTAAAACTTTTCTGTTATATAATTTAAAACAAAAAAACTGTAATTTGTTTATAAGTAATACTATCTAAACTTTCGTTGTATGTTTTTTCTTGTATATTCTGCTTTTTTTTTACTTCTCTTTTCTTTTCGACGATTTGTTTCTTTTTTGTGTAACAATAGCTAATTATCGCGCGTTTGCACCAAATAAATATAAAACATGATTATCTCTATAAAGAATATCGACTCTGAAGAATAGAATTTTATTTGAGCGGTTTCTTCTCTGTTTCTTTATAGAAAAACTTTTGAACTATTTTTGTGATGTAAAAACTTGTAGATTATACATATTTAAAGTTTAGACACTTCTATACATAATTCCTAAGAAAACCCGTGTTTCTGTTTAAAGTTGTGTTTCTTCTGTCATAGAATCTGTAAACCGATTTATACTTGAATTTAGCGCGGAATATCCTGCTTAAGTCACGTGCGAAAGTTAGTACTTCAAAACAGAACTTGGCGGCGTCGAAGTTTCTTCCTGGACATTTTCAGACAAAAAGGAGTGTCTATCTAATAGGATTTGTGTTTCCTCGCCATGTACGTGAAACACGCACACACGTAATACATACAATACAGTAGCATACTATTTTACATTATAGAAGCTTTGCTGTGAGGCTTGGCGGCATATACGCGTCGGTCTGAAATTTCTCAATCATTGCAAGTCAATTGAAGCGAAAGGATTTTTGCAGAAACAATAATTACATTTTTCACAAGTCTGAATCGTTCGTGAGGTGAATTTCTTGTATGCGGGGATGATGTTAATAAAAGGTGAGTGAATTTATGTGTTCTTTTAACGCTACGCGCGTCCACAAATGACGCAAACACGTTGGGTTGAGAGCACGCGATGGTTCGTTTTTAAATAGGTAATTTTTTTCCGCATTCACACAATTACACAAAACTATAATCACGATTTTTTACATCAAAATTATAATCAATCTTCACGAGATTATAAGAACGAAAATACATGAGAGAATATATGCAAGATATATGTATTATTTATGCAGAAAATTGTGTTGGGAAAAAATAAGTTATATTTAGTTAAATGTATAGTTCGATGCAATTATTCGCATCGAAATTCGATTTTTTGTGCACGGTTTAACTTTATTCCAAATTTGCAGATTGTTTTCCATGTAGAATCAATCTACAATGCCAGGTTGTTCAGCTATAGGATGCAACAACCGCAGTGAAAGAGGCTATGTTATGAAATGTTTTCCTCGTGAACCAAAATTAAGGCAACTCTGGAAAGAGCGTGTAAATAGAGCTGATTGGGAACCATCCAACAATTCCTTTCTCTGTCACATGCACTTTGAACCTAACCAATGGATAATAACGGAAAATGGTAAAATTAGATTAAAAAAAGATGCTGTTCCGTCTATTTTTAAGATAACCAAATATAAGAGATCCCACAAAAAAGCTATAAAAATTGATGATGACTGCGAGTATAATTTTATAAAAGAACATTCAGAAAGTGAAGTTGGACAGTTGTCTCCAAAATCTGGTAATTTTGAAGATAAAGACTCAGATTCACAAGATATTGATCCATTACACTTGTTTTTGTATCCTCGAGAAGATCAATCATCAAAAATGACAGAAGATTTGCAAGAGTCTAACAGACAGTCTGTGGACACACCAAGCAATCTTCAAGATGTTATTGTAATTTCAGATGATGAAATTAAGATAGAAACAAATAACAGCATAGAAAAATGTCAGACTGAGAAACAAGCTGATAATAAGAAATCAGCTGATAACCAGGATGAAGTTGTTAAATCAGAAAGCGATCTGAAAAGTGAGCAAATCACAAGTAATGATAGTTATGACGAAATAGAAGAGAAACTAAAGCAAATTTGTGATGGAGATCGTGACGAGAATGTTTCTAACAATAAGGAACAAAATACGATTTCTAATGACCAGAAAAAAGATTTAGTGACAAAAGTATCGTTTTATGAAAATGTAGATAGTAAATATTCGTCGAACACTGGAATCAAAGATACACTTGCTAACGATACGGAGAATGTAGCGACAATTTTTGGTAGTGAAAGCGGAGAGGAATGTGGACGTGTTTCTAATGGTACATCTCATAGTAACAACACAATCAATGAAATTGATACATCAGATAATATTAATAATAAAGATGAGAAACTTGAAGATCTTGAGAAATCGCCACATGATGATAATTCGCATGTCAAGGCACACGAAAAGATTGCTACGAAACGTAAAATGAGCGTAGAAATTGTAACACCTGCAAAAAAATTGAATCAGTCCGTTTCCTCCCAAGATGCAAATTCTACGAGCAATAACAACATTTCAGATAACATTGCCAAAGCAAATAACGAGATGGAAGTGGAACTGAATACCTCGTTATACATGGAATCGAAGAAGGAGAATTCTATGATGCTGCAGTTGTCGTCTACGCCAAAGTTCACGATAAAGGTAACTGGTGACCGTGACAGTGTAAGTGATATAATGCAAGATGTATTTAAAGATAAGAACAATATTACCATCCAGGAACACACAGATGCACATCAAGGAAACAGTAACGCACTCGTTACATCTGTTATAATGATGGACGACGAACTGACAGAAGCGAATGTGAGAGCTGAACACAACTACGAAGGTTTGCGCATCGCATCAACGGGCAATGATCAGATGCCGTCTTTAAAAGATGACAGATATCCGAGATCGACGTCTCCGCACTTTGACGAGGAGACGAACGATATAGACATGAGTAGCGAGTGTTTAACGCCGGACATCAACCGTATACTCGAACAGCCGATGGTCGATCATACTATCAAATACGAATATCGAAGATTACAACAAAAAGTGAAGATACAAGAGGATGTTATCAAAGAGCTGACCACTCAGCTTATCAAGTACAAGGACACAGAAAAGGATCTGCGAAATAAGAAGTACTTGCTGGACGTGAAGTTGAAGAAGCTGAGGAATATGATATCTGCGTATGACGGAGGCACGGACAGCGCGTCATCCGTAACGAGCGACAAGAAAACTGTGAGTTTGCAGAAAAAGGTTTTTGAGGATTTATCGTTCACGGCAACTTACGTTGAAGAGGCAAATAAACGATTACGAGAACGCCTAAATGTAGAAACTGAAAAGAAAAAACAGCTGGAGAGTCAAGTCAAACAGAAAGACACCAAAATGAAAGAACTCAATTGGAAATTAGAGAAAGCTTCGAAGTATCTCGAACGAGCTGAGAAAAACACACACAAGTACAAAAGGAAGATGCTGAATATGCAGAGTTTCTTGAAAAGGAAAAAGTTGGCGGATCAAGAGATAAGCAAATTAGGTATAGTGATGCTGGACAATAGAAAGGGGCACCGTTCCAAAGAAAGTTTGGAAATATTGATGGAATTTAAAAAGATTTGCGGTGAAAAGGGATACGAACTGTTACGGATCCATGGGTTTCCATTTCCAGAGTTATCGGCTTTGAAAATCTCTTCAAAAGATTCTTTAAAGTCCAACGAAAGCGGTAAGAAGATTCCTCAAGAAATATCGTTGGATATCAAGAATGACAATGTGCGACATGTAACAAACAACAAACTACAATCCGACGTAAATGTTGATTTAATTCAAAAGACGGATCACAAAGAAGTCAAGTTCAGTCCAGAAATAATAATGGGCACGGTTCAGGATATTTTTGAAGAAAATAACGATATAGATGATTTCAGTACAGATGAAATAAAAGAAGAATTTATTTTACAATTGGACTCAAATGTAATTGCTGATTAGTGGTGTACATATCTCTAAGAATATAATATCTTATCTTTTTTCGAAGTATCCATTGAAATATGACGAAATATATACTGCACTCAATTTATTATCACATTTTTAATATACAGCTTTGTCATTTGCAAAACTGAATCACAATACCTGTTTCTATTGTTTCTATTTCCCTTTCCTTTCCTTCACACCTACACACAAAAACAAGAGAGCTTGTTGCACTCCTGTTATTACAGGATGTTTTCTATTTTGAACTTAGTATATCTTAGTATGTAGAAACTTTTGTGATTCTAACATTACAAAGAAGTTTATTTACGATATTTCTACCATAAAAAAAAAAAGAAATAGAACCTTAAATATAAACAAATAGAAACAATTTTTAAAAAGTAGTGCGTCAGTGGACGCACAGCTGCCTAAAGCCGAATCCACAATCCAAAAATTGCAAGTTTGCAATTGCAAAATTTCTAGAAATGCCAATTCTATTGGACTATTCTGGATAATATTCAAATCTCTACTTACTTGTTGAGCGGAGTGTTTATCGACCAATCAGAATCAAAGAGAAGTCTTTGCTCCTTTTTTTTCTCCCGATTGATCAATCAAATACTTCTCTGTTTCGGCCGTCGTTTGAGTTCTTTTGAACACAGCTCAAGACGGAGCTATAAATGTAATAATTATCCAAATATAATACATATCGAAAATTCACAAAAAATTATGTAAATTTGCGCAAAAGTATAAACTGGTATACTTTTGCACATTTTCGTTATTAATCACGTATAATTTTTATATTTAGATACTTCACAGTGCATATGCGCTCCCGCATGTGGCAACACAATATAGTCAATCAACGCATTTTGTTTTTTCAAAATTAAATAACAAAGGTAAAAATTATAATGAACAGTATCATAAACTTTATATTATTAATCTTTATTTCACCGTTTTATACGTATTGCTTTACAGTAAAATCATTTAGAAAATGTCGTTAATAAACTTAACTAGCATCATATAAATCATAATGTTATATACAAAAACTTTAACTCACTACAAAGTGTTTGACAGAAATTTTTTAATATTGATATCAAAATACTATATTGTATGCAAAACTAAACTGACACATCTCAATTGTATGAACATATATTACACAATAATATGTATAACAATTGCATAAATTAAATTACATAAATTAAATTCATTAAAACTTTCAGATGTGAAAAAAACAAAACAATATATTAACAAACATAAACAAAATATTCAATTACAAATTAAAAAACAAAGAACTGATATATATTATAAAAATAAAAACTTGTCTAACAAACTAATTTCTGGATTATCGTTACATTGTAATACTTCGTTTATTTCAATCAAAAGTTGTTCATCTGACAGATTATATTTGGTTTCTACGTCATACGCATTTGTGTTACACTGAAGATATGTTTCATCTGTATTTGAACTTTGATGATGTGCGATATAAGTATTTAATGGTTTTTCACTTTCTACATTTTCGGTCAAATAATTCACATCAATGTTTGTAATAGAATCATTGGTCTGCAATACCGCTTGATCACTTCCGTTTGAGTTTTGATATTCTAAATTATAAATGTCTTTTTCTGATTGAAATGATTCCAATTTATATTGTTCACACTTGTCAGATACACAAACTTTTGGATGGAAATGATTCTTATCCTTTTGTAAATCATCTGTTCTTTTAAAAGATTTATTATTGTCGTTACATACATATGTTTTCAATGTTGCATGAAAGATTCTGTTGTGTCTATTTAAGTGGTCTTTGCATTTAAAATACTTGTCACATGTATCACATGCATTTGGTCTCAATGTTGAATGAATTTTTTTGTGTCTAATTAAATTACTTTTAAATTTAAAAGACTTATCACAATTGTCACATGTGTATGATGTCAATGTTGAATGACCTTTTTTGTGTGTAAGTAAATTATATTTATATTTAAAAGATTTGTCACATTTGTCACATGCATATAGTTTTAATGTTGAATGAGAGTATTTTTTGTGTATATTTAATAGGTCTTTGCGTTTAAAAGACTTGTCACAATTGTCACATGTGTATGATGTCAATGTTGAATGATTTTTTTGGTGTCTAATCAAATTCGGTTTAACTTTAAAAGATTTGTCACATTTGTCACATGCATATAGTTTTAATGTTGAATGAAAGTATTTTTTGTGTATATTTAAGTAGTCTTTGCGTTTAAAAGATTTGTCACATTTGTCACATGCATATAGTTTTAATGTTGAATGAAAGTGTTTTTTGTGCATATTTAATAGGTCTTTGCGTTTAAAAGACTTGTCGCAATTGTCACATGTGTATGATGTCAATGTTGAATGATTTTTTTTGTGTCTAATCAAATTCTGTTTAACTTTAAAAGATTTGTCACATTTGTCACATGTAAATGGTCTCAATGTTGAGCAAACATTTTTCTGATTGAGTGAGGTAGATTCAACAGACTTATCATAGTTGTTATCTACATATGATACTTCACAAGATTTGTCATATATCTTAAACAAATATGTTATATAATATATTATATGTTACATTATTATTTATACCATATAATAAAAGCAATATTTTTATTATAAATATTTATATATTTTTCTGAAATAGACTACTTACATTGCTTTGATAACATGTGCTCTTATGAATAGTAGCATTCAGTATTTCCTGATCAGATATAAGTTTATCAGTTGTTTTACAATCTTTACATATATATGTTTTCGATATTTCTAGTGTTTCAATTGCTTTTCCACACATGTGACATGAACATCCTATAGACATTGAACTGCACTCTTCACTATTAATTAAAGCAGCTATATGTGTTGCCATTTTTTTTTTTAGTATAATTGTTCCAGAAAAAGTTTATGTTTCCTTGTTTTTCATTCAAAGATATGGACGATGTATATATTCTTATAAAAACATAAAAATAATTGTATAAAACATAGTAAATATTTTTTATATATTTGTATAAATTTTGTCTATTAAATGTGCTTACTCAGATATTGCAAAATAATATAGAAACATAGATCAAATAATATGAATTGTATAACATAAATTGTATGAATTGTAGGTCAATATTCTTGTTGTTTGTTTCCTCTTATATACAAAATAACTGAAAGTAACAGTGAGATAATTTATAAGCCAAAACTACTGAATATCTCAAATACTTGGTTTGTTTCGGTTTTGTAACGGTTCTGTTTATCAAATAGTTAAAAGTTTCGATCGGTACGTATCGGCATTAAAACTAATATGTAAACATGATATGTATGTAGCAAATATATATGTTTATTTATGTTGCGTGAAATGTGACCTTTTTTCCGTTGTTACGTTTGTTACAACAGTTTATATGCCGTATATAAAGTACACCAGAGATATTGACATACATACATGTGAGATAAAAAATATAAATAATTATAAATATAATTATAAACATTTTAGAGTACGTACGTAAGCACTTGTTTCAAACTTGACTGCAACTATTTAAACGCGCGCCACGATCGGAGCGCTCTACTTTTAGTTCTCTGCATCACTGACTTCTGTCAGTTGTATTCCGTGAAATTACCCGCTGTCGCCATCTTCAATGATCATATCCGTTTTAACAGATACTTTGTTCCTTCGAGCATCGCCACCAGAAAGGAGAACTGGACTATCGTCCAATCTTTTCCTCCGAAATCACTCGGGGGTACATTCTTAAATTTGTTTAAAAAAATTATTTTATATAAATACATAAAATATACAGAGAGTGTAACTCTTTTCTGAATAGTAACAACTTTTTATTTTTAGCGGTCATTTGATTAATCCCGCGTTTTCGCCGTCATCTCGCGTCTCTCATGAAAACTAAGCCGCTATTCTGTTGTCCATTTCCACTGACGTCGCGATGACGGCGATTGGTGATGGTGGCTGCACTGACTTGCTGCGTGACGAACGAGACGATGAGCGACGACGCAGTTTGCCGTGTATACGCGTTGCGTTCGTTCGTGGATTATTCGCGTGGTTCTCGACGAGCAACGTGATCGGTGGTTCGTCGACGTGATGACGTCAGATCTCGAAGCGTAAGACCCGAGAACGCGTTTGAAGCCCGTGAGAGAGCAGGGCGTGAAAAATCGCTGCGCGTACCTTCGCCTCGTCGGATGGAGAAGTATGCGCGAGTAACGGCGCGCGCGTGTCCGCTTTGTCCACGGGGATGATCGTGCTGGGTGCTGTTTCGACGTGATCCTTGACCAAGTGAACCCAAGCGTGTGTGTATGTTACCATGTTCCGCTGCATTCCGATTTTTAAAGGGTGTAACAGGCAGGTGGAATCCCTTGACAAGCGTCACTGCTCCCTGTACTACGTGCCCGATGATATCGTGCGCTACGCCAGAAGCCTCGAGGAGCTTCTGCTGGACGCGAATCACATTCGTGATCTACCGAAGGTGAGCGATGATTAATATCGCTATTTCGCCTATTCGCGAAAAACTTCTTTTTTTTTCCCCACCGCATGGAATTTCCTTTAAACGCGAAGAACACGCGTGGCAAAGTCGCGCAGCAGAATTATCGAAAATAACATTTTTCTCTTTGTGTATATTACCGCGCCTCTTCCCGCTCCATTTTCTCTTGACCGAGCTCGCGAAAGCCGATAACGTACAAGTAAAACTATTGCCGCGTACACCTTCGTCCAATATATCGCGTTTCGTGTGCTCGTTTCAGAACTTCTTCCGACTTCAGAGGCTACGGAAACTCAGCCTGAGCGACAATGAGCTGCACCGTTTGCCGCCCGATATCCAGAATTTCGAGAATCTCGTGGAGTTGGACATCTCCAGAAATGGTGAGAATTGTTTATTATTATTATTTCTCTGTCGCGTGTTTTTCTCACGCTATAAAAAATTACATATATAGCTACGTACACGGGTTTTCCGATGCGTTTTATTTACACGCGAGATAACTTGGTGCTCGAACACCAACACGTATAAACACACAACGGGAAAGATCTGAGCAATTAACTGTAATTGATCTTATTATGTGTTTGTTATAATGATATTTCTGTGAGACGCGCGTGTGTGACAGCTTTGTGCCGCGCGCGAGGCGAAACGGCGTTACGGTAACACGCGTACAAAAGGACTATTTAGCATTGAAAAGGATCACCGGAGTCACCCCGCGCGATTATCATCCGGTCGGATATTCCGGGAGCGAAGAGAACGCAGCCATATAGAAGGATGTTTTCCTGGTAGAGTCCTGCTTCCTGAAAATTCGATGCGGCGAGCGTTGACGAGGCGCTTTCTAACGAGACGAGCGTATAACGGTGCATCTTCCTTCGTGTTTCCTCTCGACGCCTTCCCGTCGTCCACCATAAGCGCGTCACCGCATCGGCGAGCGGAGTCGAGCGTAGCCGAGCCGCGGCCACGTTGCCCCGCCTGTCACTGGCGCCTATCATAAATATTTCTGTCTGCGATATCGGTTTTTCTTTTTTCGTCCTACCTGTTGCAACAAGCCGCATCCGCCAAATTGAATCGAACCGTCAAACGACGCAACTTGGAAAGGATGCAAAACTTGGCGAGTCGATGGATCTACCCTTTTGGGTCGCGCCAGACAGAAATGTCAATTTGTGCGCATGTATTGTGTGTACAGTACAGGAGAAAGAAAGATTCTGAGTTAACATGATTGTAAACTCGAAGATGCAGAGTTAGTAATTATGCACACACACACACATATGTTTCTAAAGTTGAAAGTTTTTTTTTAAAGCAAATTAACGACATCGATAAAAACTTTATATTTCGTAATTAATGTATTTCTTGTTTATTTCCGCGTTAAAGTTGCTTGAGAAAAAACTTCTCGCTAAAGAAATCGCACGCGGAAATGTGTTTTGTCGACTTGATCTTTCTGCGTTATTTCCGCGTTCAAAGAGCGCGCAAGTAGATCGGTCCGATGAGGTTTCCGCCTGATCTGTTTGTCGCGTTGAACCACGAGACCGAAGTCTCGCGCACTTCTCATATTCGTGTAAATGTCAACCTTTTTCTGGATTAAATTCTCGGTGCACTCTGACGAAAGATTCTCATATTAGATTACTTCTGTGGTCGACCGAGAAAATATAACGGGGATTTATTGACAGCACGGTCGAGCGTGTTGCTGTATTGTTGTGTGCGCATTTTTATTCTCAAGTACGTCGAACAAACTCTGTCGAACAACAAAATTTCATTCTTTTCTTTATTTTTTTTTTCTTTTACATTGTCAAAATTATCTCTTTGACAAGTATTGCGCGTGCGAGAAAGAGAGAGAGAGAGAGAAATAAAATAGAATTTAATTTACAATTAAAAATTCATTTGACGTCGCCTAATTAAAAAGAGCCGATACCTTTGTCGTTAGGTTTTTATTGTCCAACCACATTTATCGCGGCCGTGTTTATCGGCGTCGCATTGAGAAAATAATCGATGAGGCCAAGAGACACGTGTAATTATTGTAACTACATCGGAGCACACACGTATCGTTTGCAAACACATTTGTTCTCCCCCTCTTTCGATAATAGTTCGATACGGCGTCGTTTCACGTCACGCGGAACATTGTCGGGTACATGTCGCCGAGACCCATTATTGCGTTTGGAATGTTACGTATTTTGATTCCGTTTACAATATCCGCGGCATTCGTTCACACTGACTCATCCGGGAGAATCGCTCGGTTGCAAAACAGCGCAGTTAAACACAGGCGCGATGTGACACGCAACAACAACAACAACAGAATTCCAAGTCCGCTCGAATGCGCAAAGACGAGCGCAAATTGCGCAATCGCAACAGGTTTCAGATCAAAGAGATTGATTGAAAGAGGAGAAATATATATTACGTATACAATCGCTTACATATACACGTACGCGCACACATATGTACGCACCATATTACGTGCGTACTCTCTGGAGTGCGCGTTTAATTTTGTTCGTCTCTCTTATTACACACCAGTTCGTTTGTATGTATTCAAAACTTTCTTATGAATTACATCATTTTCGTTCGTACCGGGACGAGATGTAATTTCATATTGAAAAGGACGAAGGATGTCGCGTTTCTCTCTAAAAGAGAATATCTCTCGGGAACGCTAATTTGATATTTAAAATATCCGCGCACAATCAGTTTAGTACAAAGGGAGAGAGTTGCAGTTTTTAATATTCAAACGGGTGCTCTTTTCTTTACAACAAAAAATCAGAGTTATTAAACTTCCTTTGGGATTACGACCGAACGCTCCAATTGTAAGCGGCGGACGTGTGACGATCGTTTCGCGACGATCGGCGAGTCGCGGCGGCATTTTATTACCGCCTTGTTATCCACCGGCTTTATTCGAACGCGAATCGCGAGCCAGCTTTTCCTTTCGCCGTCTCTTTAACGTCGATTCGCGACGTAAAAACGCGCAATAGAGCAACCTGTCGTCGTTGTCGTCGTCGTCCTCGTCGTCGTCCTCGTCGTCCTCGTCCTCGTCGTTGTCGTCTCTTCCTCTCCTCCTCCTTCCGTCTCTCTTCGAGGTAAATTACAAAGGCCGAGGGTGGACGTTTCATGCTATTTATAATGTTTATTGCGGTTGCATCAAAAGGGGCCGTCGACTAACCGCGGTGCCATGGCATCTGAAAATTGACGGCGCTTTCGTATGGAAAAAAGGGCATGTAACATACACCCCTCGCGGGTCCGATCCCTATAACCGGGTCGTCGCGCGTCTCTATTCAACCGTAGATTCTTTGTCTATGAAATCGACCTTTTCTCTCTCACTGAGCGGATTGATCGCGGAGAGTGTACGACTCGGCGAACTCTCCTCCAATTTCAATATCAAATCTCTCTTCTTTTTTTCTTTTGGTTTTTAGTTTTTTTTCATCAATTTTTTTTACGAAAAGAATGTCAACGTTGTTTTCTTAATGCAGATGAGTTTGTATTTTCATGTCTCTCTTCGTGCTCCACCTGGTTTGTTCCCATCTTATGTTCAATTAAAACACTGACAGTTTTACGCAAAGCTACGTTCCAGTTCGATGTTTCTACTCGTTTTTTTTTTCAACTTTTTTTTTTTTTGAAGAGAAGCTATTCCTCGCAAGAGCGATTAATACGTCTTCGCGTAATGAAAAAGAGAGTCGACGACGAATGAGAAAGGCTGTCGCAGCGCGTATTTTTTTCCTAGCGGAATCACGCTTTGCTGTAATTTCCTCTCGTCAGTGTCGCGGTTTTTTTGCTCTCGCTTATACGGGACAGAAGCATTCTACTTCGTGAAGCGAAACACACACGAGCAACGAGCCGAGTAGCCCCCTACCTTTTCAATAAGAGAGAGAAAATTTAATTGAAATTTTGAAAAAGCACACACGCGAAAAAAAAACAGTCGCTCCGGCATTTTTCACAAATATATTCCGTGGAGCTGTGTGTGTAAATATCCAGCTATGCAAAAATGTAATTTCGGATCGGTCGGTCTGTTTCCTTTCTTTGTGAATGTTTAAAATCGACAAACGCGTGCGATATTGTTTGCGTCGTATTTTTAGACGATCTTATTTCGGAATTGGTATCGAGAAAGAGAGAAAGAGAAAGAGAAAGAGAGAGGCTTAAATTATTGATGTATTTTGGTGAAACAATGCTTATCTTATTTCTTACAGATATCCCGGACATTCCCGAAAACATCAAGAATTTACAAGCGCTACAGGTGGCGGACTTCAGTAGTAATCCTATTCCAAGGTTATTCAATTATTTTTCTTATATTTTTAATATCGGTTTATACATAGTATACTTTGCATCATTCATGTTCGTGTTCTCGTCGGTCCGGATACAAATTCAAAATATTGTAAATTTCACGTTATTTCAGGCTCCCACCAGGATTCGTGCAGTTGAGAAATTTAACCATACTCGGACTGAACGATTTGTCTCTCACGATCTTGCCACCTGATTTCGGAAGGTAATATATCGAATTTGTGGGAAGAGGGGCCAATACGAGCAAACCTGTATCTTGATGAATATACTTATTCATTTGCTTTGGTTTTGCTTGGTGAATATATTATTCATTTGATGAATACTGTATTCAGATTGTCACTGAAGAAGATCCTAAAGTGGATCGTAACGTTTGAAAAATTGATTAATAAATATATTCACGAAGAACATTCAGATTTGCTCATATTGGCCCTTCTTCTCGCTTTGAAATTTTCACAAGTGGAATAGTAATACACCGAGGTGTATTTGTAAGAAACTAAAATCTATAGTGTTCAAGTGTATTGTGTTATTGTACATGCTGTATTTTTTTTTTTTTTTTTTTTTTTTTTTTTTTGTAGTTTGGAAGCGTTAAAATCACTGGAGTTAAGAGAAAATTTGCTCAAATCCTTGCCCGAATCGATCTCCAAACTTTACAACCTCGAACGATTGGATCTCGGTGACAATGAGATCGAGGAATTGGTAAGTTCCATTCGAGATGTTCATCACGAGATTAGTGAGAATGGGAACGAATGTTTTTACAAAAAATTTTTTTTTCCTCCAAAGCCTGCACATATAGGAAAATTACCAGTGCTACAGGAATTGTGGCTTGATCATAATCAGTTGCAACACTTGCCGCCTGAAATAGGCGAACTCAAAACTCTAGCGTGTTTGGACGTCTCGGAGAATCGTCTGGAGGACATTCCCGATGAAATTCGCGGTCTTGAGTCGTTAACGGATTTGCATTTGTCGCAGAACGTTCTTGAAAAGTTACCAGACGGAATTGGCGAACTGAAGAAGTTAACTATCCTCAAAGTAGATCAAAACAGAATTAACACTCTAAATCCGTGCATAGGAAGGTAAGTGCGCGATATTTTGTGTTGCGAATCAAATTATTAGGAAAACCTGATGAATAAGCCTTATGAGAAACAAAAATAAAAAAATAAAAACTCGCTTATTTTTTACGTGTTTCAGGTGTGAGAATTTGCAAGAGCTAATTCTTACAGAGAATTTTCTTTTAGACCTACCAGTGTCTATAGGCAATCTTCATAATTTAAATAATTTAAATGTTGATAGAAACGGCTTGAGATCTCTACCGGTAGAAATTGGTAAGACACACTATAAAAAAACCTGATTTTTTCTTTATTAAATTTAGTTTTAATCTATATAACATAAAGAAATTTATGTTAAAAGATATAAAAAAGATTGGTAATTTAAATAAATTTATTTGTTCTTTCACTTTTGTAGGAAATCTAAAAGAATTAGGTGTATTGTCTTTAAGAGACAATAAGTTGCAATATCTCCCGGGTGAAGTAGGACAATGTACTTCTCTTCACGTCCTAGATGTATCTGGGAACAGGTATGTATAACTTCTACGAATCATGTGATCATCAATTATTGGAACAAGAGATAACGTTTAAAAATCATTTGAGAAGACATTTTACACATTTATTTTAATTAATTAAAACATAATATTATAAACATTATTGTTATACAAATATCGTGAATATTATTGTTATACAGATTACAATTTTTACCATATTCCTTACTCAACTTGGACTTGAAAGCGGTATGGTTGAGCGAAAACCAGGCGCAACCGATGCTAACGTTTCAGACGGACATTGACGAAGAAACGGGGCAAGAAGTATTAACGTGTTTTCTCTTACCACAGCTAGTGTTTCGTCCTGACGGTTAGTAATTACAAGTGATTAGCTCTTTTTTATTGAAATTTTATCTGGAATTTTCTATGAAATTTGTCTAAATTGTTCAATATATACACGCAGCTTAATTATTCTAAAGTTTTTATAGTTTCAACTAGTTTCAAGTTTACAACTAGCGATCTCTTCTTCTTCTAGATTCAGTCAGACTGGATATGATGGTCGGTATGAGAAACGTTCAGGGTGAAATGCGCGAGCTGACAAGTAGCGATGATGAAGGTTGGCAAGAGAAAGAGGCATCGAGAACGCACTCGGTAAAGTTTACTGACGAGCCGCCACATGCCGATAAAGAGGTAGGTTTTATCTGATTCTTATATAAATCAGGTTTTCGTATTTTATCTTCTTTTTTTCACTCTTATTTCTTTTTTTTTTTGTTTTTGCGCAGACTCCATTTATACGTCAAAACACACCACATCCTAAGGAGTTAAAAGCTAAGGCACACAAACTGTTGAGCAAAGCGAGAAGCGAAAGTCGATCGGCATCGACAGAGGAACAGGTAAGTCTTGTGGTCAACTTGTTTTCTTCTATATTTTCAGCTCTCATTATAAGTTAGTAATTAAATTCTTAAAATAATTCTTTTGATAAGTTCTTAATGAAACCTGTTTTTGTGTTATTTTATGTAAGATAATATGATTGAAATTTTTCTCAGGATGTTTCTCAAACTTTCGGATTGGATAAAACCGAATCGGAAATGTCGGAAAAGCCCGAAGACATGCCACATGAACAAGACGAAATAGAGTGCAATACCGTGCAAAACGATCACAAGATTTCGGAACCTGGCGTCGAAACAGACGCCCAACTTAACAAAGAAACAGATAGTTCCGTTAAAGACGCTGCAGAATTTCAAACGGTAATTAACTTTTCGTCGTATTAATTAAATCTTAGTTTTTTTCCATAAAAATTTTTCATACTCGAGCATTTTCTTGTACTTCAAGTGTCTCATTTCACAGAATGCAATAGCTGATGAGTGTGTCCCGGAATCGAAAGAGGAAGACTCCGAAGACGAGGAAATGCATAAGCATGTCGAATTTGCGGAGGACACGACTAACGAAGACAAGCCCAATAAACTTCAACGTAGAGACACCCCACATCATTTGAAAAACAAACGTATTGACACGATTGATAAAGAGAAAGCTGCTAATCTTATTGCGCAGGTTGATATAATTACTTAATCATAAGAAGTTTAAATATTGATTTGAAACAATCTCTCTCTCTCTTTTTTCTCATAAAAATACTTTAAAAAGTTTTTCAATGTTTTTAATGTGTCGATATCATTTTATATGTTCATAGGTTATGAAGAAAGCTGAAGAGACTCCACAACCACAAGAACCTGCAGAAACGTTCGAGATGCAGAGTCAAGGTAAGTTTAAGAAAAGAATCGTAAGCTTAAAATTAAAGTATAAAACCTAAGTATATTAATTAAAATTTGGCGCTAAAAATTTTAATTATGTACATGTTATATACACACATGTATAGAATAGAAACTGAAACTTTTTGACACAGCCAAAGTGTAAAAGTAGATTGACTCAACAGAAAAATCATGTACAATTTTGTAAAATTTTCAATAGTTTAAGTCTCAGTGTCAAGTCTAATTTGATAGTGGCGATATCGCCGTAACGAAAACTGATAGCACGAGATCTTTCGTGTTGTTTATACTTTACACTTAGATTAAGATACGTACGTATATTTCTACGTTCAGAGTGTTAAAAAGTTTCAGACATTCTATTCATTTATCTACAAAATGAGTTTAAATGATAAAGACCGTTTTATTAAACAGCAGTGAGGAAGAATTCGTAAGACTCTTTATGTAGTTTCATATCGCGGTTTACATTTATCGTGTAGTAGGGAAACCTCTGATAAGATAAATCTCTTACTCCATCTCCGTGAATCTTATCATTAATCCATTTATCAATGAGTATTTCGATGGCGCGAGTCACGGAAAGTGACTAATTGCGAGACATTTTATTGAACGCGTGTGGTGTGCATATATAAACAAAATAGGAAATTATATTTGACACAGTCACAAATTATTTTTAGTATAATGCCTAAAAGATACAAATGTTACATTAGAAAAAAGAGCGTCAAACAAGGTTAAACCAGACATTTATTCATCAGAGAATAGCGCGATTTTATTTATTAAGCTAACCGAAAGTTTTCTGAATAAAAAGATTTGTATATTATTTCAGATGTGGAACCGACATTAGAGGTGCGAGAAGAGCAATATGAAATTCACATAGAAAGAACGACCGGCGGACTAGGTCTGTCGATAGCTGGTGGCATCGGGTCAACGCCTTTCAAAGGCGACGACGAAGGCATCTTTATTTCAAGAGTTACTGAAGGTAGGTAAAAATAGCTTCATTAGTGAGGAAAGATAAATATTTTTATCGAAAACAGTAATGTGTCAAGTTAGCGTATTTCTTCGTGTATTTTTAGGTGGTCCTGCTGACTTGGCTGGGCTGAGGGTAGGCGACAAAGTAATATCTGTAAATGGAGTATCAGTAGTAAATGTAGATCATTACGATGCCGTAGAAGTGTTGAAAGCTTGTGGACGTGTTCTTGTGTTAGTCATCATAAGAGAAGTCACAAGGATAGTTCCACCGTATGAACATGTATGTACAACAGCCGTTTCTTTTTATTTAGAGAGAAATATTAAATTGCACTTTTTTAATTTGATTAAGATAAACAAAAAAAAATCTTTGGTGGTTATTGTGTTCAGGTCTTGAGAAAAGATTCCGTGTGCTCCAGCTTAAGCACAAGTAGAGCACCGAGCGCGACATCTTATGTTTCATCCACAGCATTGTCGCATACTTTAGAGAATGGCGACACAACTCACGAAACGACAAAGGTAACGTCTCCACTTTATATATTTTGACAAATGATAAATTTACAAATGAAAATAAAGAGTTAAATTTGATATAATTGCAGACGAAAAAGATTCCCGAACCTATAGCTTCAGTAAAAACGACTAGTAGTGAACCTATGGTACCCGTTCTCTTTCACACGACGTTAATACGAGATCAAAATGGACTTGGGTTTAGCATTGCTGGCGGAGAAGGTTCGCAATCGTTTAAAGATAACAGTGATGTGAGTTTTTTTGTAAAACTGAATATTTTTCAAATTTGTTTGTTAAAGTTAGCGAATATTAATTATTATATGTTATCTCTACAGGCAATATATATTTCGAGAATCACGGATGGCGGAGTCGCCCAAAAGGACGGCAAATTATTGGTTGGAGACAAAGTAATGTCTGTAAGTATATATATTTTTATCAGATTTGAAACGAATTTTTATTGGATGAATACTAGCTAAGATGTTTTTGCGTTATTTTTGTAACTTGCAGATTAACGGAGTAGATATGAGAGGAGCAAAACACGAACAAGCGGTGGCTTTGCTCACTGGCTTGGAAAGATTCGTACGATTAGTGGTCGAACGGGAAATACCGCTTTCTCAAGTTAACAGCGTCGCAACTCCCTCCGAAAAATCGCCGCGCGTTATAGGCACGCCGAAACCTTACACAGGTCTGTACAATGCCAACAGCTACATAGCGAACAAGCCCACATACGCTGGCTATCGTCGCTCTATGGATGTTGACAAAGCGCTCTCGCCGAGTCCCACTTCGAAAACGCCGCCGCCGTTACCGGCGTTGCCCCCGAAAACCGATGTTGTCAACGGAACCGCTAAGATGAACGGCGTGACCGATCCAGGAAACACTCTGAAAAGCGTTTCACCGGTGTCTCCCAGTCCGACGGCTAATCAAGCTTATCCGCAACCAGCTCCCAGGCATAGTGTCACCCAAACGACGAGTGCACCCACGAATAATACTGCCCCCACCGCAGCCACTACTCCTCAAGGAGAGCCTCGACCGGCGTCTCCACAGGAGGATATACAGGTACCGAAGCCAATCACCAACGAGGAATTTCAAGCTATGATCCCCGCTCATTTCCTTCGACCTCCAACATCCTCGCCTTCGCCAGACTCCCATCAGGGCCCCATTGTGACAGTGACGATAAAGCAGCCCGATACATTACCCAGCGATGTTAACTTTCCTCCGGCTCCCACCACACTTGGTAAAGTTACTGAAACCATCACAAAGAGCACACTCACCGAGACCGTCGTAACTAGAGTGACTGACAACAATTTGGTGCAACCGCTTATCATCGAGGTATGTGCTCGCTACTTAGACAAGCATCAAATTACATTGCACATGTAGTTAAATAAAACCGTCAGCGCAGTTTTTACTCCTCTGTAGAAGCTTTATTCGTATCCTACTACTTCCTTCTTTATCCGTTTTCGTCTTTCTCTATGTCTTTTCGAACTCTTATTCCGATCAGTCGACACCAAAAAAATGAAATAAATATTTATGTAAATTTACATTTGAAGTATACAACTAATTTAGCGCATCGTTATTTAGGACGTTGTTCTTGTAAAAGAAGGTTCTCTGGGGTTCAGTATTATAGGAGGAACTGATCATTCCTGCACACCATTCGGAGCGAAAGAACCTGGAATTTTTATATCTCACGTAAGTCTCTCTCGTTTTGATTCAATATTATTTTTTATCTTCTTTTATGTCTTTACTTATTTGTTTCTATTGAAATGTTTTCAGGTTGTTCCCGGTGGCATAGCGGCCAAATCCGGGAAACTGAGAATGGGTGATAGGATATTGAAAGTAAATGGTACGGATGTGACCAAAGCAACGCATCAGGAAGCGGTGATGGAACTTCTGAGACCAGGGGAGCAGATTGTGCTCACCATCCAACACGACCCACTTCCAGAAAGTTATCAGGTAAATAACGCGTAATTTGTGATTGCTCTCAATTGCTTTTAATCTTTAGATTAGCAACATTTAGATTAGCGATGCTTATAGAGCAACAAGTCCACAAAGTAAATATAACTTCATAGAGTTATATATAGTGCAAAATTTTACACATATATGCACTGGCTCTGTCACTTATAACACCGATAAATACGCACATTTGAGAGATTGTGTCTTGAAAAAAAAAAAAGATACGACTACAGTTACGCTTAGAAACTATAGGCACTCTATTCACTAAATAAATTGCTCTTCGAAAACATTTCTGTTTTTGTTTTGTTAACGTCTCCAAGGGAGTGCTTGTTAGAGAGTGCAAGCAGCGGATCTCGGTGCTTTAGCGTGTGACTATTTCTTTTTATCTAATGCATCGTTTTTTCTTTATAATTTGCCCCCACAAGCTGGTCGAAATAGAGTACATCCCTGTGACAGTAAGTACTCGATGCATTTTGACCCGAAACTTCACGTTCTTCACCGTACGCTTTATCTCACCATGGCTCCAAACTTCACTATTTACATCTATTATGAATGACTTGCTTCTTGCTTATGCTGAGTTTTGTTTTACGGAAACTTATCTTACGTTCAAGCGCTTTTTATGCTTTGCGTCTCACGCCATTTATACTTAATATTATTAAGTGAATAAAACCGAGATGGTTTTAACTGTATATAAAACTTTGGTTCTATGTAAAACTTTGTTCTTGTATTTTTTCTGATGTCCAATATTTGAGTCATTGTTCCTTGCAAGTTTCCAATTATTAAATCTATTTGAATCTGAATACAATAAATATAAATATCACTTGATGGTGATTATAGTTAAACAATTTATTATACATGTATAATTTGAAGTAAAATATTTGTTCTCTCCCAGTTCAGTTAAAATATAACAGTAATGTACAGTTGTGTAATATTCATTTTTGTAACTTTATGTAATACTTCTTTGACAAAAGAAGAATTATTTTTATTAACGGAATTAACGTAACCTGTTTTAGGAATTAGTGATAACAAAGGAAGCAGGCGAGAAGCTTGGCATGCACATCAAAGGAGGTCGAAAAGGACAGAAAGGCAATCCTTTCGATCATACCGATGAAGGCGTTTTTATATCAAAAATTAATTCGGGTGGTGCGGCCAAGAGAGACGGACGATTAAAGGCAAGTGTATTATTTTTGGGACTTGCGTCCATTTTTTTCTATTTTATTCTTTTTCTATTTTTCTATTTTAATATTAATTTGTACTTGAACGCGTTTTTATATTTTACAACAGGTTGGAATGAGGTTACTCGAAGTTAACGGAACGTCATTGCTCGGTGCTACTCATCAAGAAGCCGTCAATATTCTCCGGTGCTCAGGAAATACGATTACACTGATCGTGTGCAAAGGTTACGACAAAAGCGAGATCGACCCGATAATAATGTTGTCCGACAGTAAAGATTCCAAGGGTGCTAGAGCGCCGCACGAATCCAAGGATCCGGCTGCTGACGGTATTAAATCCTTGTCGCAAAGTGTTTCCAGTTTAGATCGTGACGACGAGGAAGCCGCGATACTCAGACAAGAACAAGAAATGAAAGCTGAGCTTGTTGCGTGGGAAGAAGAGGAGCGAGAACGCGCGCTTATAGAAAACAGGGAGAAATCCACACCCGAAAAAGTAAGATTTGTTTATACACGATAAAGTTATATGTTTCTTTCTAGTTTTTGGGGTTTTGCGATCTTATTAAAAAAAATTTTTATTAGAAAAACTGTAGATGAAGTCAAAGTTTCTTTTTTGTCAAGTTTCATTCGGACAAATATACGTTTTTGTAAAACAAATGTAATTTTTAATTAGTTTGTTATTTTTTATAAATTCTACGTGTAACAATTCATTTCATTTGTGCGTTTCTCGATTTCGACACAGGTATTAGATGTTGTACGAGCAGCGGAATCCTTAGTGAGCAAATCGAGTAGTCCTGTAGATATGGTTGTACCACCAAAGTCACCCGGGGGTACCAAGGATCTCAAAACTACCACGATTGTTATGAGTAAACACACGCTAGCACCTCAAAATCCTAATAATGTGAGTACACATTGAGTATCACATTGATAACTTCGATTGTGATAACTTATATTTTCTACATATAGTTTATATTGCCAAACATCTCTAATAAATTGCTCGAACTTGTACATTGTAATCTTGTACACGTAGCATATCTTGAAATTAGAATTGTTTCTTTTGATTTATAGATTAGAAAATAACATTTCCTTAAAAAAGTTTTAACATCACTTCTCTTAGTAACTTATCTTTTTCAAGTAACATTTTGATTTGTTTTTTTTAACTTGGAATGATATTTTAATTTAACCCTTTCGCTTTGGCAAAATCTAATGCAGAGTGCACGTGAAAAACGGCGAAACTTTTTGTTGGCGCGCAAAAACTTGTATAAAAAATATAAGTGTCGAAACACACACATTGAATTACATTTGCATTTAATATAAAAATATATAAGTACTGAACGCATATATGCGCTTATAGCATATTTTTTCGAAGTGCATATATGCGCCTACAGCAGTGAAAGGATTAACAAACAAAACCTACGTCATATTCGTTATTGCGTTATTTACGAATATTGTATTATAACGAGTGTTGCATGCGATAATTTGAATAATAGTCTTTTACCCAGCCATTGATACAATAATGTATGCACTTTTATCTTACCACCGAGGATGTTGCCTTTGCTCGCTTCGCATGGTTTTCAAATTGAAAGTATTAAACATTTTGCATGTCTCTTTTTTCATTCGAAACGATGTTGTTACTGATCCACAGAGAAAGATGTGCATTCGTTCTTCTTTAGGTTTTAAAACCCCCCTTTCAAAACGACACGATCAATATATATATATACATATATACATATATATATATGTACAAAAAGACTGTGAAACATTCCTTCCGTTAGGCGTCAGTTAAGTTATTCGTTCCGAACTCTAGACAAGAGTTCCAATAGTAGACATCTATCAGCTGATGTAAATACGATCTCTGTATACGCGATATTATTAGGTAAATGGCGCATGAAATGTTGTCGATGTCTTTTTAGCGTCGCATGCTCATCTGAGCGCCAAAAAGAGAGATATTTCCCATGTTTACAGACAGTGGAAGATGATAGTGCTACTTTGGCTGCCCACTAACAGGAGTGAGTCGTTCGTCTTTCTACTCATTTTTCCCCGTGTCTGCGTCCATTGCCTCTGATACTACAGGATACCTTACCGTGACAAAAGATTCTCTAAGATTCTCACATGGCATTGACTCGCGTATCATAATTTATTGCGTTTTCGTGCGTCCGCAAATGTCACGTATGCACATACGTATATAGCAAAGCTATTGTTACACTATTCGTTGCTGATACTGCCATTACTGATATTAAGTATTATTGGAAGAATATGCGAATAACTGGATTAAGTCTGTAATTTAATTTTTTGCTTCGATGAACAAGAAATAAGGTGAAATTTTCACATGATGACATATAAGTGTGATATCTGATACTCTCGAGACTAAAAGTGTGTCATATACACATACATAATGTATATACATCGAGTTATACATAGATCATGTATATAACTCGCATATGTTTATAAATGTTGAATAACAGAGGAGTATATTTCTGTGATAGATAGACAGAAGTTGTGTGTAGCAAAGCATTTCTTCGGTGTACTTGAAAGAACTTTTTAATTAAGATTTTCACACTGATTCTCAACTATTGTTTGCAATGATGACTTCGGTAACGTGCAACACACGCACATGTATAAGACGAGAGTGTTACAGAAAAGAAGAGAACCAAAACTCTCGATTAATCATTACGTGATTTTTTCTTAACTAATGAATAATCGCTGAAAACAAAAACAATTTGTGATACGTAATTAGAGGTTTTCGCAATTAGCATAAAAGCTTCTAGAAACCTTTGTCGTTTCTTTTTTCAGTAGATCTTTGACATATTGCCGTCTGATGTGCTGATTGTAGACGTCGATTCATATCTCCGATCGGCAATATATATTAATTAACGAGATATTGCAATACGATTTTTAATTATGTGAACTACAGGGACACACTCTACATATCTACTGTTTATGTTTTCTAATAGAATACTGAAAGTATATGTTATCATTTTTGTTGATAACGATTGTCAGCGGTTTTTATATAAAAGAGACGTTATAAGATCTAACTGAACTGCAAGTATCACTCTGTGTTTCACATTTGACTAAATAATTTAAAAAAAAAAAAAAAAAAACTATTTTCTACGTAGGAAAGAGCCAAAGAAAAAAGAGAGAAAAGAATAGAGAGAGAAATTCTTTACTAATAATGACGTGTTTATAAGAAATAATATTTTGACTATTTTACTGATCACATGCAAAATATTCTTCACTACATTTATATAAAAATGCCGATAATTGTTTTATACCTCGCTGGTAAAACATGAATATATAAAAAAAAAAAAAATTGAATTGATCTTAGCAATGCATTGTATTATACCGCGTTATATAGAAGAGAATATGATAGAGATATAATAAAAAAAATAAATATTATATATGAATAATTATATATATACATATATATATATATATAAATAATGCCATATTTCCTAGTTGAACTATCATCTATGTAAATATATATATCATCATATTAGTTTGAAAAACATATATGAGCATTACATTTTACATTATTCATTCAGTATGGCGCAAGTTTTTAATTTTTAATAAGCATTTCTGCAACAGACTTTGTCCTCAACCATTTCTCTTCATCATACTTAACCCGAAATTTTGCCGAAGGGCGAAATTGTAATTAAGAACGTAATCTGTAATGTTCTAACCAAGATTGTTCAGTGTGAGACAGGAAAAGTTGGAAAAGCAATTAAAGTTTATGTAATCAATACTTATCGTTGATACATGTAAAAAAAAAAGATACAATCTTTTGGAGAGAGATATATATTTAATGCAAACGCACGATTGATTCCATCTTAGGAAGCACTGTTATCAATCTGCTTTTGTTGCAAACCAACCAAGAAATAAAAAATCTTAATTTGTTGAAAATAACATCGTTGTATCGGACATATTTTTAAATATTGGCCTTTGCCTAAGTTAGATCTACTAACGATCTTAAAGCACTTGATACGTTTTAATACTGCAATTGAATCATATCATTATTGAAAATCAATGTATCTACATATTTTCTATAAGCAGTATAATGTTCACACATAATTCTAATGGACCAGATGTTTATATATATACATGTATATGTATATATGTAATATATAACATATATATTACATATATATATGTATATATTACTACACTATTAAATAAGCTGATATTTATTTAAGAAAGAAGAGAAAAATCTTAATGAAAGGTGTGTTAATGTTAAAGTTCCAGTTGATCGGCATAGGGGTAAAAATGTGGATGTTTTTAAGATACTCCGCCTCATGCATAGAAGTTTTCTGAAAGTCGTTACAGTTGTCCCTGTTGTAAAATATATATTTAAAATGGAGATACTTTTTCATAATCAGACTTAGATAGGAAGAAAAAATATAATTGAAGGATATTATTTTACTGAGTAATATAGTTTTTACAGCTGATTTTTATCGTGTTGTTTCATATGAGATCTTACAGTAGAGGAGACTGTTCACACATTATGAAACAATTTTTGTGACGTTTTAATTCGATAAACGCAAATAAATAAATTGAGATCTTGTTAACGAACGAGAGATAACTTATATAAATTAACTTACTTATATAAATATTTTTATTAGCTTTTTGAATTGTGTGTGATTGAAGATTGTTTCAAAATAAATACTCGCGTACCTGCTTGTTTTATTTACAAAACAAAAAAACATTTATAGGTTTACACCTCTTTCTAACTTCTACAAAAATAATACAAATATACAGCAATAAAAAAAATAAATAAAATATATACTTCTTATATTTAATGTAATGTGTTTGTGAATGTGTGTTACGTTACGAATGAAATATATTCAAGAATTTGCTATTCCTGTGAGAAATAAAAACTAGAGTATTCATTAATTTATATATTTTACAAACTGCATAATATAAAACTGCAAAACAGGGAAGGAAAAAGAAGGTAAAGTAGAACAATAAAGTAGAACTTGCTGACAAAGTGTTCCAAGGTACTCGAGATATATATATATACACGTGTGTGTGTATATATATACATATATACAATACGTACGACAGTCTCCACTACATCGATACACGTATGATGCGTATAGGGTACAAATATAGAAATACCTTTATAAAATGAGAGAGAATGTATCGGTTATACGTTTATAAATTAAATTATGCGAATGTTGTGCATGATTTATTGCAATAATAGTACAATTGAGAGATATACTATTGAATGTACATATACGATCACGAAGAAGAAAATGGACGCGCGCAATCGGACAAATAAGTTTGAGAAATTCTTATTTGAATTCTACATAGATTTTGTATGACGTGTAGCATTCAAAATAAATCTGTTTTAAATTATAGTTATATAAATTTTACGAAGACACCGATATTTTTAACGATCCAAATTAGAGATCTTAATGTTTGATTTTTGTTTTTTTACACTACACACAGTTTGTTTTTCTCACAGAAGTTTTTATATAGATTAATGTAATGAAGTAAAAAAAAAAACATATACTTCGTATTGTTTCTCTCCTATTTTGTTACAAATTTACATTAGTTGAGTTTGTATGCTGTTGGTCGCTTCGCATGTAATTAATTCCTTTATTATGATGAATCACTCCGATTTATTTCACTCGATCTTATCTTCTATTCCTGTATATGTACTGACTACTAAAGAACTAATACGATTTTCCATGTTATTTATCCAGTCAAGAACGAATGAGACAACTGGAACTTCAAAGGATCTTTCTTCGTCCAAGTCATCTGCGATTCCCGATCTTTCTAAGACTACGAATTTCGATCGTTCCACCTCTATGCACACCTTACCTTCCCCGACGAAGAAAAAATCTTTGCCAAAACGTAGCATCACGTTTGCCGATCTACCGCCGTCTTTAAAAAAGAGTGCGGACTGCATCGCTTATCTGTCTCGTGACAAACTATCCGCGACACCCGCAACCGAACAACCAATTCGGTCGTCCCAAGAAACACTCGACTCCCATCCGCGAGTAACATCCTCTCAAATGCACGCACGTTTCCAACTTCCTCCAACTCCTCTAACCAATCCTGAACGCTGGGAAAATCTTGACACTTCAACTCCTCTTAGAAAGCAACAGATAGCACGCTCTGTTGGTGGAAATGTTGGTGAGGTGGGTTTTAGAAGCATATGTAACTACGTACACACTAACATATAATACGTATTATTATACTTGCACTTTGGACGTTCTGTTAAAAATGAAATTCTTTTTTTTTCTCTTTCTCTCTTTTCGTTCTTTCATGAACATTGCGAATGATGATTATTTGTGTAAATGTTATTTAATACAGCAATCTCCCACTTCATCTCCAACACCACCATTGACGAAAATGTCAGTTAGCGACAAAAAGAAGCTATTTGAAAGTGCCATGGAAGAACATTTAAAACCCTCTCCCAAATCAGGTAAGACAACATAATTTTTATCTTATACAATTGTGATACAAAATATGTAGATAAATCAATATTCGATTTTTCGATGATTGTGTTACAGATAAGATATTTAGCTTTTTGAGTCAGGATGAGGTGGAAAAAATGAGACAAGAAGAAGGTAAACAATTATTTACATATGTTACATAGTTTTGCAAGTTTTATATATTTGTTTTGATATATTGGAGTTGAAAAAATCTGTATATATATTTTATAGAGAAAAAGATTGCAACTTTGACGCGAGACGAGCTCAAATCGTGGGCGCAACTTGATGAAAATGAAGGTCTTGAAGATTTAGACACAATGGAAGATCAGGATAATGGACGACCTAAGTAAGTCTCTAATACAAAATAAATTTATATATATATATATATATATATATATATATATATATATTATGTTGCTGTATATTTACTATATCCATTACATTGTGATTGTGTATATTTTTGTATTGACCTGAGTTGCAATATTTTCTTTTAGTAGTCGATTAAGTTCACGAACTTCAATTCCTCTAATCCCGAATCTCCCCACTAGTGTGAGAACAGCGAAAGCAGAACGTCGTTTGAAAGAACGATTGAAACAAGAGGTAATTATTTTAACAATTATGTTGATTTACATTATTTCAATATCCTAAATAAAAAGAAATAAACATCTAATATTTAAAGTGAGATAATAGCGATCTATTTATTACTGTACAGGGTCTTATTTCGGACGAAGACGACGAACATCTTCTAAGTCCTGCTGAACAGCGAGTACTTAGAGCAGAGAAACGAGCCGCTTGGAGACAAGCGCGTCTCAAGTCTCTCGAACAAGTAAAGCTACAATTTCTTACAACCGTAATAGTGTTACTTTCCTTTATAGCACGTCTTGAGTGTTTGTTTTTTGTGTTTAGGATGCGCTTCAGGCACAGATGGTAATTAAAAAGATGAGCGAAATAATGGACACCAATAAAAATGAAGACGCCCGCGACGCGACTGATCTTTGCAAAAACGAAGATGCATGTGATGCGACCGAACAGCGTTCTCCCGACCCAGAAAAACCAGTCGAAGTAAGCATTTGCGAAATGGCATTTCACTTAGAGATAACTCAATTTTTACAATTATTTAACATACGTAACAAAGACTTTTTATTTTTTTTCCGAAAGATATAATTGACCTGTGCAAGCTTGATTGATTTTTCGAATTTGTGTGTTTTAACCCTGATCGTTTACTAATCGCTGTCTTGCTCGCCTGAACTAACACACCATTCATTAAGTAAAAAAAAAAAAAAGAAAAAGAAGAGGAAGAGATTCATGTTACTACAACCGTTCCCCGTTTTGTCTCTTTTGCTATCTTAGTTTGCTACATTACGGCCGTCTAGCGCTGATTTCCCTAAGCTCGCTGTGCGCAGTAAAGTGGGTCCCCCTAAAGAGATACGCGAATCCGAGAAAGTAGTGGATGAGAAGGTCACTCGGCGTACCGAGGAATATCTAGATGAGGTAACGGGCGAACGTCGTGTACGAACAGTCGAATACGTCGAGAAGCTCATTGAGCGTCAGGTATTACATTAATAAAAGCTAAGACTTGCACCAGCGTTCAAGTATATCATACACACCTGTCGTATTCGATGAGGGGGAGGAAACAGCACAGTTGCGAATCATTATTGTTGCAACGATTGTCTATGGACTGCACCGCATTCACCCGAGAACGTTCTGTTTTTTGTATTTTTTTTATTGTTTTTATTTTTTAGTAATATACACAGATGAGTCATTTTTACGCCAGATCATCATAAACATATCAGAAAATTCGTGAACTTGTATTTGTATTATTCGTGAAACTTTGATAATCCCTTGTGTCGAGTTTTAATAACTAGTAAATTCAAAAGAGATTAATCGACATTAATGAACTTAATATGCTAAACATTAACATACTAAAAAAAAGGGAGTAAAGTATGCCACGCCTATTCAACTTAATTTAATTTTACTTACACATTACATAGGAGAAAATGTTATATTGTTTTTTGCTCTTTCTTATAATTCGCATAACATCTGTGTATTGTTCGTTCAATCGTTATATTATGTTTATTGTGTTTCAAGACTCCTCCATCGCTTCCATCAATGGTACCTTACGCACCATCTTGAACTATGAATGTCACTTCTACTGATCCTACTAACAACTATTTTCCTGAACTATCGGTAATTTGGTTTTATATCTTATTTATATGTACATTTTTAAGCTTGTTTATCAGAGCTATCTGCACGTAACATATGCATGATTAATTGTTTTTTTTTTTTTTTCGTGTTGTCTTACACACTATACAAATACGCTTATTTATACATGCAGAAATAAACTGCAGTTTTAAAAAATTAAAAATATCTAATATGCTTACGTTCCGCGAAGGATATTGCGAAATTTTCAAAAATTATTGCTATACTGCAAGCTGTGTGAAAAGCACTTTTAAACTGCGTCGCCAATCAATTTGTAACGCCAGAACGCAATGCGCAAAATTGGTCACAATTGATACATTACGAAATTTATACATTTCCGTGATTAGGTGGAAACTCTGCGAGAGAAAATTATATCCTTGGAATTGAGCAACGCCGAGGACGATGTAGAAAGTATAACCGGTACCGGAGCGAGCGACGGCGAGAGCGAAAGCGAAGACACCGCGGGACAAAATACAACGACTGTTGTGGAAGAGAAAACGGATTCTCAAGATGTGACTGACGCGACTGATGTTACCCCCGCTAAAACAGCTAAAACGGACGTCACACCCACGAAAAAGAAAAAACGCAAGCGGTCGAAGAAAGGTCGTCACTGATGAAAAATTGTGCTTTTTAACAAGAGTAGGTATGAAACATTTAATGTGTGTTAAATGTAATTCGAATCGGCAGAGAGAGATTTTATTATATTGCGATATTTTATTATTATACAAATTTGTTGTGTATGTCACCGCGTTCTATATGTAAATCGGTACCATTTATACACTGCATATACATACATATATATATATATATATAAAGAGCATATATATATATATATAGATTAAATCATTACATACGTGTAATACACGTGCACATTCAAGAATATGAAATTGCTTTTGACTTTAATTTCTGATGCAACGGTGCGTAAAACAAACGGACCTGTGTTCTTTTTTTTTTTTTATTCTCCTTCACAAATAATGTAACAAAAACAAATATCTAATCCTGTAGTTATATATATTATATTAAGTAAACAAAAAAAAATATTAGATATTTACGAAAACTTTCAATGAGTATAATACGTCCATCTAAACAGACTTGTAACATCGTTTGTTACATTCTGTGTGCGTACGATGTGTGTATATAACACAGTTTTACGATACGTATACATACATTGTACAAATTGCAGTGTTCTATTTTAATAATTGCAGCGCGAGATCTGATGTATATGACATACACGCCAGATTATTTGGTATTTTACATCTTTCAATGTTGAATGCCGCGCTACTGCAGTTTCATAAACGTATACATTCTTATTAATACATATATATTATATATATATATATATTTATATATATATTTTACATACATATCTCGTGTTTAATAATATAACGGAAATCTGACTAAGTTAAAACTTTACGAGTTTAAGATAATGAAATTTTAGCAAAAAAAAAAAAAAAAAAAAAAAATCCCGTAAGATTAAAGATACAAGAAATAGGTAAAAAGTTTTTTAGTAACTAATTGTAGAGCACGAAATGAATATAACGTTTATACATATAATAACACTTGTTATTATTTTCCAATTATTTTTATATACTCTGATTTTATATATGATTATTACATTCGATAAATATAATTTTTGCTACACACTTTTTCCCCGCATGCCAGGATGATGTGTACATGCAGCAAAACCGAAAATCTTGCGATAAAAAGACACAAACGATCGCCGAACGCGATTGCATTTCTACACGCATGAGAATCATGCGCACTTCCAATTTTGCATGTAAATCCTTCGAGAAAATTTACAATGATTTCTTTATAAAAAAAATGTTGAAGATGTGATACAATCCTATAAACAGTTGTAAAACTGTTAGATATATATGTTTTATACTTGTGTGTGCGCATTGTAGCATTTTATAAAACGTCCATTCTCTTATACTGATTGTTTATATTTATCGGAGCATCGGTAAATAAAAAAAACGAGTATTTTAAAATTGTTATTTTTATCAATATTAATTTGATATGATGCGTAACGTGTAAAGTACATTTATAAATAATTAAATAACGTTGAGAGAGACACAATGATAAGTTGTAGACTTTAGTGGATTGGCAAATAGCCTTTCTCAATTTTTTTTTTGTAGAATATTTTATTTATTTGATTTATTATACATATCTGTGTTTTTCACGCGAAAGTATTCTGATCTATTAATTTAGATCACATGAATAAAAAATTTAATTTAGTTTTTTTGCACATTATTAACATTGTGGAGCCAGTAAGCTCGTGCAAAATGTAGACCATCGCAGATATTTGATGATTTTATTCAACAGAAAAAATATATCTCGAGTCTGTACGCATACATATTTAATGTCTAAGAATGTATTTTTTATAGTTGTACGTGCAAGATAGTTCGGTTATATATATATATATATGCAAGAGAGACTCTGAATTATTTAATTAAGACATCACAATATTCACACTTAATTTGTTATCTATATGATATATATTCGTATTATTGTTTACCTTACATATTTAAGTATTATTTTATACCGAGTATTACACATACACACACAAACATAACATTATTTTTTAATCCGGAACGGTTATGATGCATATTTATTCGACAAATGATGTGAATAGAAACGTGAACTTTCCATGTAAATGTAAATAATAAGCAAAATTGAACAAAATTGCGATTTAAAGTGCGGTTTAAAGTGCGATTAAGAACGAGGGACCAATGAAGAAAATCCAAGCCAGCACGTCAACTTTCCTATATGTCTTTAATGAAGGCACACTCTTAAAAAGCATCGTGTTTTATCGATATATATATATTATATATATGAGGAGTTGGGTGTTGGGAAGTTGTCTATATATATGCGCACGGAAAAACAACAAAAACAACAAAAGATTATGTTTCATATTAAACCCAGCTACCCAGCATCCAAAGTAGTTGTTGATATCATAAATGTTCAATGGCAAAATCAACAACAATATTCAATTATCAATATTGTATGAGGATTAGAAGTGCCAATTCATACATACACATACATATATATATTACTTATTAGTGACTGTTATCATACAGAATATATGCCGTATTTTATGTTTTCGCTGCCTCTTCTCTTAATTTTGTCTTTGCAATATATTTTTGCGGTATAACAGCGAAATCATCACTTCGAAAGCATTTGTAACGTACCGTTATTTACGCGCGTATATACATCATTAATAATCTTCCAATCCGAATCCGCTAGTAAAACTTTTACTGATTTAGGGTGGTTAAAGTACAATAATGTATCTTTAGACTATTTCGCCAAATTTGAAGTTGAAAAAGAAAAGATAAAGTAAGATAGTTTATATGTAAAGATAAAATCGATTGTGCGCATTTTTGCAATAAAACATTATTAGTTTATCTACAGAATGTGCATTTATTTGGAATTTTATATGGGTGTGTTGTTTCTTATTCCTATTCAAACACATTTATATACTTTGCGACAAGATTTGCTGATTCATTTTTAATTATTGAACAATTGTATAAGAATACACACACACACATACATATTGATAAATGTAATTCACCACGTAAACCTGTTTTTTTTTTTTTTCCTATTTTTTAGGCGCTATAATACCTTCCAACTGAGTCTGAAAATTACAATTTTACTATTACATATTGTTTCAAACAAGAAGACGCTTTTTCCTCTTACCTTTAATTGCAAATTTGTTTTTTTGAGAAATTGCACTTCTTCCATGTGTTTCTTCTCCTCCGCCTCCCGCATTTCGGCCGCTCTCTTCTCCAAACAATCATACTTGAGTTTCAATTCCGCAACTGTTCTTTCTAATTCAGCTTTCTGCGCTTGTAATTCTTCAACTGTGTGAATCAGATCTTCTTTTCCTTGTTCGGACTGTAAAGGTAAACCATAAAATTGAGTTGCATTTCAAATATATTTTTTAATTTACATCCAGATGTAACGTACCTGCAGCGCCTTACGCATCCCGAAGGCAATACTGCTCTGATACAATGTCTGATACGCAGCCAGTGTCATTTTAAGTTCGTCTCTTATCCTCAATAAAAGTAATCCACGTTCCGCGCAATTTACAGTCACTTGTCGTATTAACTCATCTAAAATAGACAAGAGTGATGATTGTTACTAATCAAGCTACGAGTTTTATAAATTATTTTATCCATTATGAAGAATTAACATTCGCACCGAAACATTGTGTATAAAGCTGCCTACGAACTGGACAAATACCCGTCTCCCTGGCTTGTCTCTGCTGCAGTCGCATGTCAAGTTGCTCTTGCAAATTGATCACGTCCAATCTTGTTGCAGGAGTACTCGACAGCTGAGTAACACATTTTATACACGGATTATTATCTACATCTAATAAACACTTGTGCAGAAAATTTTTGAGAATTAATTTTATTACATGTTGAGCCCATATCTGGCCGTCCTCTTCCCATTCTTTTGGCGGCAGAATTCTATTTAGAATTTCGAAAGTTTCTCGCCGCACATCAACCAAGGGTGCGGCAGTTTGGATTTTGCAAGCGGACACGCCGATTCTGGTAACCGGTTCCTTGCGTGGCTGTTTTGGAAAATGAAATTTATATTATGTGTTAACACATCAACAAGCAAACACAAAATCTCACTTTTAAAATTCATAATTCAAGAAAAAAGGATAATGTTTCAATGACGTGTTGAAGTAATTTATTTGAAATTTATTGCACCTTCTCTGGATGAGTTGTAATCAGAACTGGAGTATCATATTTGACAAGCGTATCCAAGGAAGGAATTGTGCGTTGTTCTTTGATCGCGGTCGCCATTTTTTTTTTTTCAAATACACGTAGAAGATTTACGTAAAATATATTTTTAAAGAATGTACAACCGCTGAGAAGAGTAAGTATTATATGCGCAATAGTTCAAACTGCAGAAAAGAATTCGAATAATCGCGAAGGTTTTCGTTCGAAAACTGAGGTAATTGAACAAGCAAGAAAAAGATCACCATGGAAACACAGTGGGAATCGATCATTAATCTATTTTAACAAGTGGTTTTTGATATACCGAGAATAAAATTGAAAATTGGAAAAAACCTCTTACACAAGCGTTCATGTTTACACAAGGTAAAATCTATGTAATAAAAAAATTTATACAATGTTATTCTCTTTCTTCCTAAAAAAAATCAAATGTTTTCTAAATAACGTACAAAACTCGGAAAAAGTTTCGCGAAGTTTTTTCGAAAATTTTAGAGAAGTAGTTGAGGATAATAATAGTTGTAAAAATTGAAAAATCAGAAAAAACGAACAGAACAGAATCAAATACCATTGTGGATATACCGCTTTTTCTTTTGAATTGGTTCATGAGTTACGTAGTTCCCAACTGTTCGTAAATGCGCATTGATGGCGCTCGAGTAATTTTGTATGCAGACAGTTAGAGAAAAAGAGATAGCAAGGAGAAAAAATTAAAGTATAAATGTAGATGTGATGTTTGACATTGCGTCCTCTTGTTAATATTTTGTAGTTTTGTCATTACACATTTAGCGTATAATATATTTATCATATATAAAATAGAGAAATCTATTAAAATATTCAGTTTACTATGAAAGATAGGTTATGAGTAACAACGAAGAAAGTAACGCAAACGATAATACGATAGAGGATCAGAATGACGTTTCGCCACCAAAACGAGCTAGAGATGCATCTTTCCAGTGTAAGTTATATTTATACATTTTATTATTATTTGTCTAATATAAGATTTTCTAACTTGGTTTTTTTGCGCTCAGCTGCTTTCAGTAACTTGAAAAAGTCCGAGTTCTTTAGTGAGAAATTGCCAGTTTCTAATCCTGAAAATTCCACACCATCAACTTCCAGCAGAACTAATTCTGTTCTCGTCAGTCCAAAGCAGGTAAAATATTATTTGATAAAATTGAAGTATTTGTAGGACAACAAAAAATATATAAAAACACTTATGTTTTAGAAAGGAAATCCATTATTGAAGTTTGTAATAAATGTACCATGGGAGTACTCGGATATTGTACCAGACTATGTGATGGGGAAAACTACATGTGCTCTTTTCTTATCAATTCGTTATCATCAACTGAATCCTGATTACATTCACGAAAGACTCAAATTGCTGGGCAATGCTTACAACTTGCGAGTGCTCCTAGTACAGGTATATAAATTATAAAATACATTCAACTAATTTTCTTGGATATGTGATTCTCTATTTCTTTAGGATTTTTCTCATTCTTGCTGTTTTAAACAATAAGATTTTATTCTGACATAAATAAGAATTCATACAATTGTTTTAATCAAAGCTCTTACACAATTAGGTTGATGTCGCTGATCCTCATCATGCTATAAAACATCTCACAAGAATTTCGATTCTGGCCGATATGACAATAATGTTGGCTTGGAGCGCGGAAGACGCAGGAAAAATTATTGAAACTTACAAAAGATACGAAATCAAACCGGCTGACGATATTATGGAACGCAGCAATACGGCTCCTCATCAAAAGGTAATTATTAAATCTACATATATATATCTCTTTAGGATATTTGTATAAAATGTAACAAGTATTTGTTAAAGTTGGTCAGCGCTTTAACAACAGTAAGATCGGTCAATAAAACCGATGCGACAACTCTTCTAACAACTTTTGGCACATTGAGCGACATTATAAGAGCGCAACCGAATACCTTAGCCTTGTGTCCCGGATTTGGTCTGCATAAGGCTCAAAAACTTTACAAAGTTTTGCATGAACCCTTTTTACGCGCAAAATCGACAAAATAAATAAAACAAATCTCGTCTACATAGGGTGTTTTACAATTACTGTGCTGTGATTTAACAAGCATTATTTATTAATTCTGCGACATTGATTGATTGATTACTTGCTTATTGAATACAATCAATTCGATGTTATTTACATGTAATTTGTAAAAATACAGAGTTACAGAATTCTCGATTACATTTGTACAATAAAATTGTCTTGCAAAATGTTATATACAATTAATGTTTAATTAATTATAATAACATTGTTATATATACACAACTTACGCTTTGGTGTGGTGCTCTAATATAAAATACAAGAGTCCGTCTTTTACAAATTGATATATAATATTTGTGGTTTTCATATTTTATAATAGAGCAAAAAGATTTGTGTGGTTTTTTCACCTTTTGCATTTTTTATATTTTATATTACATTTTTTATTTCATCTCACATATTTTATATTGTGACTAAAAGCTTTGGCAGTGTGATAATATAAAATATAAAAAATGCTCACGTGCACGTATATAGACATACACACACACACATACATATACACACGCACACACGCACACGGCTAGACATTTTTTATAATTTTTATAAGTTCGAGTTTTTAAAATATAGAAAATGTATACAAGACGCTTATATATTTTATATTTTACATTAGGTCTTGTGTGTTTTTCGTATTCTTTACATCGTGATAAAGGACAGTCATAAACTTTTCTAATTAGGCCAACAATCAATTGCTCTCAGTTTAGCCATTCCTCTAGAAATCAATAAAGGTAAAATTAACATGCATTGTAATTTTAAATTTCCTGCGATTTTCAACTGCATGAAAGACGCAAAATTTGGGCTAATTGCTGTATACGTTTACGGACAAATTTATGGAAAAAATATACCATACTTTTATCGTCCTTACGCATACAGGATGTTCGACAGTAATAATGTAATACGCAAGTACTGGTGTTTTTTTGGTACGCACACCCGACGGTATCGTGAAAGTTCAGTAGATTTTATTTCTAGCAGTTTTTTTTATAAAAAATTATTTTTGTGCAGCATTTTTACATACAAATATTGTCAAGTCACCCGCAATGGGCTGTGCCAGATTTATTCACGTGTTTAAATAAACATATAACTCTTTCATATTCACAAACTCGATTTTCTCGAAAACCACGCGTCGGTAACAACACAATTTATTCTATTTTTTGTTTGTATGTGTTTTTCCACGAGAGATCATCTCGACGGTGGTGTACTACATTTTATTCAGACATCCCGTATACGGTTATTGATTAAAGAATATTGATTTAACCAAAAACACAGAATTCGCATCGTAAGTTTCAGCAAGCTAAAATGTATATGCAAAAGTTTTCAATTTATACAATACTTCAAACAACATTTTAAAAAATAGCTATCAACAGCTATATTCAAAAATGTCAATATAAATATTTAATAGAAATATATTTAAAAAGAATCTTAAAAAACTATAGTAAAAGCTTTGCAACGCACTCAATAATCTCTATTTTCACAAAAATATGATTAAAACATATATATTACAAGAAAATATATATATTATATATTATATATATAAAATATATATATATGTATATATGTATATTTTTGGGTGAGAAGACAATTTGGGAAATAAGTTACGATTTGGTATCGATTAGTCGAGGCACCACTCGAACCCAACGCTAGCTAAACTTATCTATTGATTGTATTATTAATGAAACAGAATGAGAATAGCCAGATGTATCGGTAACAGGATAAGACTAATCGATGCACGGTTGACGAAGTTTCCTGTAAATTAGAAGTTAAACCATATCAGAGCGGAAAAAAATAAATAGAGATAAAATCATTTAAATCATATTATTAGATTAAATTGAATCAATCTATAGTGTTTTATAATTAAAAAAAACCATTTGTTCACACACACACACATACCCACATATCGTTTCGTTTTTAAAGTTGAAAGAAATTATTTCATTATTGAAGAAAAAGAGAACTGTCACTCTCCTCCCCTTTCTTTCTCGTGGAAAATGGTTACAAAATGTAATACCCGAATATTAATTTTAAAATATTGTCAAAGTATAAAAGTTAACGGGAGCAAAGCGCACAGGAGCATAATATTAAATTTTATGTTCCGAGAAAATATCACTAAATTGTTACTTATTATTACGTTTTCACAACACATTCAATTTTCCTCTTTCTCTCTCTTTCTCTCTCTTTCTCCCTCTCCCTCTCTCTTTCTCTCGGATTGTTGGTACAACTTTCTAAAACATAAAAACGTGTTGTGTATGTGTTCCGCGCAACGTTACCGCTGTAACGTAATGAATTCGCCCCCTTCGCCTTTTCTAATATGCCATATATTTCGTAATATAATGAAAAATGTTCTTTATACGTTTGAGCATTTTCCTAAAATTAATGGGGCCAATAATTGAGCGCGTTACAACGGCCGCGGGTGAGTTTCATAAATATGCATAACCATAATGAAGGCCACTTGAGCGGAATGCATATGCATTAATGTGTGCATAGACATTAGTATATATATATACGAGGGGTGCTAATATTGCGCGAGGATAATTCTCCGCTGAAAGGTATAATACTAATGGGCTTTCGCCTGCTTTGACTTTCATTGGATAATACGTGATATCAAAGCCCACATTAATGCGTGGAAGAGTCAGTGCAAGAAAAATAGAATTAATGCATGTTACTTAACGAATAATGCAACAAGTTTTGTACACAAGATAACAGTGAGTGTGTTTGTGTGTATTACAAAATATTAAATAATAATAATAATTTTATTGAAGAATTATATTATTTTTTATATAAAACTAAATAATATATATATATATATATTATATATATAAAATATATATAATATTTTTATACAAAAAAGCATAATATAAAAGCATTATATACTTACATGTACATGTAAGTATATAAACACTTGAAGAATCACAAAGATTCGATAAATGCCCTGTAAGCAACAACTGGAGAAAAATCAAGAACTAAAACTATAGTATAATTTCAAAAAATCATTTTAAAAACAAATTCAAAATAAATAAAAAGTGCTATACAAAAAGCGCCACACAAATGCCATTAAAAACATAATGGCGCGTTAAAACTCCATGCGCGGCATGCTGTTAATTAATGAACAGGAATCGGGATTCAATAAATACGGAGCTATCGCGAAACACTCGGAAATTCTCGGAAAAAAAACAAAAAAAAACAATGAGCATGAAATGAATACGGATCTCGTCGGGACTGCCGAAAGGCCCGTCTGATAAGAAAACAGTGGCTAATGGTGATGATTCGGTGCAGAACGTACACATATATATCTAGCAGAATTCACGATTAATTCGGTCTTACCACCACCATTACCGGGATTTGAGCTGTCTAGGGCCTGGATATCCATTTTATGCTGCGGTATCGTTGTAGCGGATGAAGTAGTAGTAGCCGTTCCTGCACAACACAAAACCAAGCATAGACACATTTCTACCAAAAGCCAAGAGATTAAGTGGACGACGGGCCCAAAGTAATGTAGAAACTTCGAACTGTTAAGTGTTAGTGATAAAAGCGAAACATAAATTTTGACGGAGTGTGCGCGTTAGTCAAAAGTGTATTAAAGCATAAAAATACATGACTTACCGGAATAATAGATGGTCTTTCGGGACACGCTGTAGTTCGCTTTCGGGATGTCAAGAGTGCACTTGAGCTCTGCAGCTTCCGGTAGTTCCTCATCCAGCAAGTCTACTCGTGATAAGATATCATATAATCCATCTTCACGAAGTGTCACCGTGGGCTTTGCAGTTTGCTTCTCGGGAACGTCTCTTTAAATAAATTGTCCATTATTTTATATATTATCGAATACGGCGTTTTTCTTTTAAACTAGTTTTTCCTTGCGCGAAAAAGAATCCGATAATTTATATTTTTCGCATCCAGAAGAGATGCTTTGTATGTAAATTTAAATTTTAAACGAAGCCAGGATAAAAATATGTGCAACAAATGTTGCAGCGCACAAAAAAGTTAGCAAGGTCTCAAGATCTCTTGACCCTTACAAAAGACTCTTACTTGACTGAGATATCGAGAGTCGGCTGAGGATAAAGACCCTCGGCTTTGCACGTCGCTTCCAGCCCGTCTTTATCATCTATACTCTTTTTTCTGTACTCGAAATCGAACTTTTCCGCCGTTGCTGTAACAAGAATTACAATACAACGTACATATAACGCGTGTCATATAGTATAGATAATATTATAAAAACTACACACTAGGGATTTTTGAAAAAAATATCAATAATTTATCATTCTGTTCTGTACATGTTCTAAATAAAATCATTGTACTTATTGTCTTTTTTAGTTTTGTCACATGTAATTATTAGAGCTAATATATAATAATATTTTTCACATAAATAAATAGCTAAAAAACGGTTTTGTAATTAAAGTGATTAAAAAAGGACCCAAAAACCATTTGTCCACTGATGGCGGTATCAAACACAATAATTCAACTCACAATGTCGTCACGGGACGTTTCGATTTGTATTTATTTGTTTAGATCATCTTCAGCCAAACTAAATGATAATATTACACTCAGTGAAACATTTTAAATAACTAGTCGATTACATAATAAATGTAAATGATAAGAATAAACAAGTACACATCTGACCTATCTGACAAGTCAGCACACCTACTTATTTTTATTACCTTGACACTTTTTATATCTAGTTGTTATGTAAGACAGTCATGTTCGGTTCCGTTTTTCTTGTGTATTGGCGATTGTAAGACTGGCGTTTTTCCAATTAAGAGTAAGTTACTCTTATATTTTCTTATTCTTTTCTTGACATTTTTATTATATTATTAATTTTGATGTTTTTTTTAATTTCTGACTTAATAGTTTTTCATTTTATTTTTCATTACTTTAGTTTTGACCATTTATTAATTAAATTTATTTATTTTATACGGACTAACTTATCATAACATATTTATTTATTTAATTTATTTTTATAAACTTTCCGTATGCATACGCTCTACATTTCTACGTGTTGTTTATAACATCAATATTTGACTTTCTTTTGTTGCCAGCATACATTAACGGTCATTGTCCTGACTTGTCAGGTAGGTGTGTACTTGTTTATTCTTAACATTTACTTCCATTATGTAACCGACTAGTTATTCAAAATGTTTCATTGAATATAGGTAATATTATTATTTAGTTTGGCTAGAAGATGATCTAAACAAATAAATACAGATCGAAACGTTCCGTAACGATATTGTAAGTTGAATTATTGCGTTTGATACCTCCTCCCCCCATCAGTGGACAGTCAATTTTGGGTCCTTTTTTAAATTGTTTTAATATTTTTCACATTTATGTTATTCTATTACTTATTCATCTGTCAATTATAAAACTTTGCGATGCACAATTAATATTTAATTCATTTTAATATTTAATTTATTTGCAAATTCATTCGTTTCATTCTTTTATTCCCTGATTCCCTGTGAGTTTTCAATTTTACATATTCTATTCTCTATGGTTAAAAACGCGTATCTTCGAAGTACGAGGTATGAGATCGCAAAGAGGATATTTCCAAGAAAAGGAGACGCACGTAGAGCAATAAAAGTAAATAAGAACGTAATAGCAATGGATATACTTGCGTTATCGTAATAATGTTGGAGCTTTCTTGGTGCTTTTGCTGTGTTCTATTACGAGAGTGACTTTTATTTTCGAAGTAGCAGACAAGTATGTGTGTAGAAGTACAAGACACGAGGAGAAAACAAATAGAGCACATGTCGTTGATATCAGACAGCAAGAGAAAAAAAAAAGAATATTCATTGGACGGTTAAAAAGTCATTGAAATATTGATTGAATAAAATATTATCCGTTATAAATGCGAGTTATAATAGCTCGATGCATGAATGACTGATTTTACATAAATGTATAAATATGTAGAAGTACTTTATAAATATGTACGTTATCTAAGTAAAATTTTAATGTTTGTGTAAATAATTTTTTGTTTATTTGTATAATTAATAAAATTTTATATATATATATATGTAACAGTGAAAAAATGTTCTTAAAAAATCATAAAAAATATAAAATAAAATATAAAAATAAAAATATGAAAATTTTAAAAAATATAAATTATACATGTATATGTAAATAAGGCTTGAGAAACACATAGAGAAAGAAAGAGAAAGAGAGAGAAGTAATATCCTAGTTCGTAATATAAATTGCAGAAAGATACAAAGATACATTTTAATAAACGAAAGAGTAAATTAAGAGTAAAAACAGCGTTAAACAGCATTAAAGCATTTCTTCTCTAACGGGTGTAGAAAAGAAAGTATTCCGTTTTACCGCGTAAATTGAAACCTCTGAGCGTAAAACAGGAACCACGTAAATAAAAAGTGCCCAGCGCAAATTGAAGGATTTGTGAACGCGTAAAAGTGAAACGACGGCGAGGAAAATTTACACCGTCGCGTAAATTGAGAAACGCATTTAGAAGGAAATAAAGCCATCTTATTTTTTTAATCAACGATAAATGGAGCGCACTTATATTTTTAACGGATGAGCCAATCCTTTGTGTGTATTTTCAGCGGAGAAAACCAGAAATTACAAATGACGTGACATAAGATAATGGAATTAGAACATAAAATGATTAAGTAAAATTAACAAAATCCTCTAAAAGTGGCATAAATTTGAAATGCTATAATCTAACGGATAAAAACAAAATAATGGAACAATTATTATTATATACCGGTAATTTTAAAAGGATCGAAAGAGAAGGTCGAGACAGAGAGAGAGAAAGAGAGAGAGAGAGAGGGAGGGAGGGAGGGAGGGAGGGAGGGAGAAAGAGGGAGAGAGTGTAAGCGGGGGTGAGAAAGACTTAAGGTGGATTGATGGAGTTGAGGAGGTTGTAAGGAGGAGGGTAGAGGCTGTGGAAAGTGGAGGACGCCTCTGCTTAAGACAGAGACGAATGGAGAAGAATTGTCGGTGAGGTCAACGTTCACAATAGACAAGAAGGTTACAAAAGCAACTGTTCGTTGCGTGTAATAATGTCGGAGTGTAATAATGTAAAAGTAATTGAAATTCCGACAAATTGGATTTGACTATTTTCATTTCACACGCGTTATCTGCCATTCTATTAATAATATATGACGATATAATTGGAGGGAGAAATTGAATATCGCGTGGATATTAAGCAGCATTAAAAAAGGATGAGTATTGATTAACGGTCTTCGACGGTATGTATATTTACAACATACATTAAATTGATCTAATTTTCCCGTAACAACATAATAACAATTTCAAACAAAGGTTCGATCGGGTTTCTTTTCACAAAAATATATGTGTTTACCGTGGAAAATATAGAAATATATATGTGATAAAAAAAAAATATTTTTCTTTACAAAAATTGTATTTGTTTTCAGCGCGGAATATACAGCAGAGAATGAATGAAATATTCTATTGACGCGCGCGATAGAACAATAGAGGAAATTCAGAATATAAAATGAAAGAAAGACTCACAATAGACGATCATGGAGGCGTTCGCCGACCGCTCGTCCTCAAATGTTGATATCACGCACTTGTAATCGCCCGTTAGATCGATTCCTGGCTTCTTTAGCTTCAGAGCCCGATATTGGGTGAGAGGATCATTGCTAACCATGTACGTGAGATCAGCGTATTTCTTGGCCGGTTCGTCAGCCAAGGGTTTATGACCGTAGATCCATTGGTAGACCACACGATCATTGACCACTTCGTTGTTCAAGAACCACTTGACCACCAACCCTTTACTTGACGTGTTCTCCAACGCGTAGTCACAGTCAAGGATCACGTGATCAACGTCACCGATCCTCACCGCGGAGGTGACGTTGATGCTCTTGATGGTGAGTTGATGGGATTCTGAAATGAAGCATCAAAGGTGGTTTATGTGTTTGACGTTCCTTCACGCGCAATGACAACTTCGTGCTGTCTCCTGGCGTGATCGCGCGCGCGCGCGCGAGAGAAATAAAGATTTTTCGTATTATTCTGAAATATTATGTTTTGTTGTTTGTTTTTTTTTCTCTTAAACGTATAAATATATGTATGTTTTATATGAGTTTTTTTTCAGTGAAACATAATTCCGAAACAAATTATTCGTGCGCAAACAAGATGTCATTTAAAACGTCATTATATTTCTGTATAATCAGTATATAATTATAATTAATACACGTAGTAGCTGCGGATAAATGGGAATAAATGCGGTACGAATGTCGTCATTACGGTAATAATACGATAATACGGTTTTGCGTTTCCTGGACGCAGTTTTGCCCGGTCAACACAGAGGATGGACGGTGTATAACCGTGGGGTAAATCCGACCCCTGGTATTACACGTGGACACGTGTACAGAGGAGTGCACACAACACCGGTAACGAGCGAACAGCGAATAAACATTGCGGGCATACAACGAGAGCGTCGTTAAATAATCACGTTAATTGTAGCGGATTCTCTACACTCTGTAATGCAACTGCAATAGCCTGCAATAGTACGCTTGTTCGACTCTGTAAACGATATCGACCACGCCACTTAACGGAATTATCCAATCCTCGCATGCAACGACTAATTGATCAACTTATTTCCCAGACTCGCTGCCTTGGAGTCCACATTTTTCATCAGGCGAAAAATCGGTCCCGGCAAACCGCAAAACGCTATTGTTCGCAACTGTTTCGCCGTCTGTGTTGTTAATACCGCAGCTTCATCCGTTGGTTACTCCTCCATTTGCGCATCTCGCACAGGGGATATAATCCTCATTATGAAAAAATATTCCCGCCGCTGTCTCTTTACGCGCGCGCGCGCGCACGCTAAGGGATATCTTTCAAATAAATTTTTGTCGTAGTATATTCAGCACGCCGAGAGCAATAACGAGAGAATATCTTGTCGTTATAACGTCCGACACTGCCGCGCGCCGACTTAATTACACACCCGCATAAAATAATACCACGCTCGTGCTTAAGCTGATTTCTCCGACTGATGACCATACCCGCGCACACGCTTTCTGCGCGGGCACACGCGCGCGCCCGCGCAGCAAATTTGCGCTTTGAACCTTGACGCGAGAGAAGCGAAAACGCACGCAGCTCTAAATACGCGTGTAAATTTCAAAGGAGAAACGGAGGGAATAGAGCCTAGGTGCTTTGTGTAAATGCACACGGGTCCTAGAACCAAATAAGCAAGAGAAAACGTGACCCACTTTGAACCTTCTTTGTACCTCGCGCTCCAAATGCCGGCTTTACGTGCTTTTGAAGGTTTCGCAGTTCGCCTTTTCATGCCCGGTTCCCGAATATAATGTTTGTTATACGGGAAATATATAAAGTGATTTAATTTTATTATGAGTTTGTTACGTGTAAACGTTACGATTATATTTGCGCTCCGTTCCCGCGTGTGTGTGTGTGTGTGTATGTGTGCGCGCGCGGGCGCACGCGCGAGCTTCTACTTAATTAGAGCATTATTTGTTTAATTATCTGTTTCTACATAGTTTGCATGTATCATGTAATTTTATTAATACAATTTGTTTTGATTAGTATCGCTCGCGCATTGCGCCTTCACCGATGTTCCTACAACATCCCGATACAATTATTTCGTCTGTTTAAGCAATTTGACGTGTGGGAATTTATTACAATTTGTTCTATGCTCGCGCGTATATTTATTAATTGCAATTCGCCGATGGGGCAACTTTTGTATACTTATTATAAACGCGTGTACGGTATCGTATCACACGTTGTGCGTTTCTATTTGCTCTTATTATTCTATATTATCCTTTGCATTATCCTTTGCACACGAAGCTAATAATTACAGCGTTTGCAATTATCTTTGCTTCTGCTGCTGCAGAAAGGTCGGGACGCGCTGAAAACAAAGTGCACTTCATTATGCAATATTTGGAGCCGAGCTCGTTAACGATGTCGCGGAAAACAAGCCCGCGGCAAGCAATCGAACAAAGGAAAGTTTACAGCGCTTGAAAGAGAATCGCTGAAGAACAGAAGTCGTCACCGGAAACCCGGAGCGGCAGGATAAAGTATCGCGGGTACCCTCTGATAAGAACTCCTCATTCTCTGATAAGAAGAGGGAACGAATATCGGAAAACAAGATAGCTCAAGCAAGTCTTTAAATTCATCTCGTGCTTTTACTACGTCGGGAGTTTGGATCATGAGAGGATTACAGTTGTTGCGCGGGGATTGAATTGGGTCGCTGCATATGAAATATCGGATTCCGAAAGTTTCCGCTCTTGCGCGCCCCTACAAAGTAAATGTCTTCTGATAACAGCGCGTGCATTATATATCACGTTAAGGTGACACAACGGAACGCTTCGGTTTTATGACGGTAATTCTTTTCGTGTTACAGTAAATTTCTCTTCTCTCTTCTCGCGTTACAGTAAATTTCTCGAAACGCGGCCGGCGATGGAAAAGTGGGAAAAATTCGTATAAGATCACTCTTCGAATTTCCAAGTGGAATATGATGTCGCGGAGGAAAACAGTTCGGATGATTCTTTTTTCGTTTTCCTCCATCTCTCATCCCCTTTTCAGTCCTTCGCTATTGGAACACCGCGAAAAATGGTTTAAAGAGGATCGTCCGCGATCTATAAATACCCCATCGCCGCGCGCGCATACCCCAAATTCGATCTCCGGTTAACACGTGCTGCACACGTTGCAGAAAATTTCCAGAGGGAGAGAACGAGAGAGTCACCCTCCGGACGAAAATCAATACAATATTTTTAAGTGTGATTAATTATTACACGTGAAAATCAATAAAGCAGTTTATTGTTTCGTGCCACGCGATCGGCGATTTATCAGAAACTTATGTTTATTGATCGGTAAAACCCTCTCGCGTAGTTTTAATCATTGCCAGATCGCAACGGAACAAATATGTTTTTGTATACGCTATACGTTTCTGCGTATATATACAATATAATATATATATATACAGCAAATCAATTAACATCAATTTACATTCATTTACATCAATTAACTCGTCGCTTACAATTAGATACAATACTGCCTCTCACTAAAATAATAACGCTACGTCTAACCGAATGACTGTTAAACCCGAATTCTTCATTGTTTTTTTCGGCATACACACGTACACGCGCACACACTCAATGCGCGCGTATATAACAAAATCCGTAATAAAAATATTTGCGAATGCTGGAAACGAGGTTTCGTATATCTCGACGGTATGCTCGCGTTTTTGAACTTTACAGGCAGTCGGAACTTGCGTTCCACACATTTCGCAAATATTTGTAGGATTGTGCGGGAAAATAGACAAAGACCCATGTTTCTACACCTCCCTTTATTTTTATTGCGTTTTTTTTTCGAACAAAATTTTATTACATCCGTTAAAATTCGAAGAGTTAGAAAATTCTTGCAACGCAGTTAAATATTTATTACTGTGGATTATATCACAGCGAGCGCGCGCGCGGAAGAAAACGGACTCAAATATACTGCTATAATGTGCGTAAGCGCTATATTAAGCGAAGCAAAAGCATCGGGACAGAAATAGTGCACGTGGATAGGCTTCTCTCGCTATGTTTCAAAGTAATTCAGGAAGAAACTCGGGGAATGCTCGCTAAATGCGCTCAGCGACGAAATAAGTCAGCAACAAGTCCTCGCAAATTGTAGACTCTTCCTTTAATTAAATTGTATAAAAACAGGCTTCCTTCCGGCATCTCTCTAATTTAAAGCACGGACGCGAAGGAATATTGCGCGAGCTAAATCAAAAACAAAAAAAAATAAAATAAAACAAAGAGAAGAAAGAGCGGCAAAGAAATAAAGATGAAAAGCGACCGTTGTCTCTCGCGGGGGATGAAATATCTTCGATATCGTCTCTAATTATACGCAAGACGAGAGAGGACAGATAATCAATCAACAAACCTGGTACGCGACCAAATATGAGCAACAGTGTGACAAGCAGCATCCAATGATAACTCGTCGTTGTCATGATCATCCATCCACGACGAATTGCAAAAATTTATAACCACGAAGAAACAGTAACACACCAATTAGGCCCACTTGTCACTTTGATCGCTTTTTTCCTGTTGCGAAATAGACACGACACGCGATTAACGGCACGTCCTCGCAACCGGCGCGGCGTTTTATTTCTCTCTGCTGCTGCTGCTGCTGCTGCCGCCGGAGAGCGAGGAGAGACACGGACGGCGACGAAGATGACACAGAAACCAAACAGGCGAAGGAGGAGGAAATTGGAAGCGGAGGGTGTCCCGGAGGGAGTAACGTGCGCCGGGGGGTTGGCGACGGGTGACCTCGCGCAAGGTCGTACGAGAGCAAACTGAGCCAGAAGTAACTCCCTCTCCGAGTAACTCCCTTTCTATCAAACTCTCCCCCACCATTCACCTTATACACAGGGTGTCCTGTTAACGGCGTCGCCGACGACCGTGCGCGTTCTCTCTCTCTCTCTCTCTTTCCGCGCGCGTGATAAAAAAATCAATCGGGGGAAGGAACGCGCGCTATAAAATTTCCTTCGCGTACGCACGCGGGTTTCACGCCGCGCAAAAGCTCTTCCCTCGTCGCGGAAATCAAATTCGGCAACCCGAGAAGGCCGAAGGTGAAATCCAACCGGACGCGCGAACGACTAGACAATAGCCGCGCGAAACAGGAGACAAAATTGTTCTGCATGCGTAGGTCTTCTAGAAACTGGCCCCGAGGTTCGCGAAGCGTGAGGGGTCCTTTACCCCCAGCCGCACGTGCTCACCGTCCCGTAACTCCGCCTGACGGAATGGAATTAACGGACGGTAACGCACGATACCACGAACAGCTGCCTCGCATGATGATTTATGGGCGGAGCCTCTTGCGATATCTGTCCTCTTTTTTCTGGGTCTTACGCAGCGATGCGACGCGCTAAGCAACAAACGGGGAAAGGCGCGTTTTGCTTTGTGAATCGCAAAAAAACTCTCTCTCAAAGTACGTTATCGAAGGAGAGAAAAGGCCGCCGGTCTAAAAATACCGCTTTATTAAGATGTTGGCTGGAAAATCGAACCGCGCGTCCACCACTTGGTGCATAACGTGTTGGTAATCGCGCGTTTGCTCGTGTTTTATTACATACCATATATATTCTATTGATTAACTGTATCATAATTTCTTCTTTTTATACGGTTGCCATTTTACATGGCGTTAAAGTCGTGCGAATATTTAATTGAGTGGTAACGTCGCATAGAGAGAGAGAGAGACAGAGAGAGAGAGAGAGAGAGAGAGAGAGAGAGAGAGAGAGANAGAGAGAGAGAGAGAGAGAGAGAGAGAGAGAGAGAGAGAGAGAAAGGAAGAGAAAGAGAAAGAATGAGGAAGAAAGAGAGAGAGAGAGAGAGAAAGAGAGAGAGAGAGTGACTATATATTGATCTAACGGGTTTTTCCTCTTTTTCTTTTGAGGAACACAAAATCGATTTCGGAAAAATAGCGAGAGAATATTTAACACTTCGACGGGGTGTATACTGTAGCGGCAAGGGAGAAAGACACCCTGTAGATTAACTAGAAGATAACGAGGAACTCGGAACATTACTCTCTCCCGATAAATCAGGAAGAACAATTATTTTCACGGCGCCTCTTTCATTTTAAGTTTTGTTTCCGAGGAGAGAACATTGGTGTTTTCAATAAAAATATATATAAGTATACAGATGAGTAGAGAAGAGACAGAGAGAAAGAGAGAGAGAGAAGGAGAGAGAATATAATGAAACAAGGTCTTTAATACTCTCCATAGTTGCGTTAGCGATGGATTTGTGCGGTTTCGATTATCTCCTAAATTAAATTGTGTTCGTATCGAGTCTCAACGTAGGGTTTATTAAACACAAACACATGTTGTGTGTTTTACACACAAAATACGTGCAAAGAAAAACCTTTTCTATGTACATAAAATATTTGTATTTCTATCCGTTTGCTAGTTTTTTACACTGTTCTTATTTTTATTGATTTTTGTATCTTCGTTAATTATCGTATCTTTTCGCGCGTACACATATTATTTTACTCATTTACTTTATATTTATTTGTTATTATTATGATGCTTATAGTTCTAATTAACTTCGTTAAAAATATATACAATAACGAAGTGTAGAATATATTTTAATATAGAAAAGAGCGGAATTCGATTGTATGTGTGTGTGTGTGTGTGTATAGGTTTATTAAACCATTTATACGTTCGAATTGTTTGAAACACACCATACTACTTTTAAGCTTGGTTTCAACTAATTATATTATTACATCAAAAATTGATTTTGCATTTTATATACTCTACAATTTGGATGTACAAGTTAGTTCTAAGCTTCTTCTCTAGATGGACGCACCTTTCACGTTTGCGTCTATATAAATATAGGCTGCGTTCCGAGTTACGCATATGCGCGCATTTATCTATATTATACGTAACGTGTACTATAGATAAATGCGCGCATATGCGTAACTCGGAACGCAACTATAGTCACACTTGGGTATAAATTCATGAAGGTTGGGTAGAATTAGATCGAGTCGGTTTAGGTTAGATTAATAGTGTTTGAAATAATGCACTCTGCTGGAATATTGTTAATTTCTACAACGGTTTCTATTCTGCGCGAATAGCTATATGAAAAAGCAGATCAACCATGTTTTGCTTCAAAAGACGTGAAAATACATCAGAAAGAAAAGGTCACTTTAAATATATAGTTTTTGCATATTAAATTTATAAAGTTTTTCTTAAGAACACTGTTAATTGATACTTTGTATATGTGTACACGTAGTGATGAATTTAATAAATAAGTTTAAAAAATTAGAAAGTTTTGTACATGTGCAACACTTGAAGAATTTGTGATTTGTTTGTAACTTTGCATGTGATTTAGCAAAATAATTTTTTTCGACAATATATACTTTCAGATTTTTGTGTTTATATTCTGCCAAATCAGGAGAAAATCTTTGGGAAATTAGGTGACATTAAACTGGAGGGAGATGCTACTATCAGCAGAAAACACGCAACAGTGTCTGTGCAATTGACAGATGAATCAGATGTAAATCTTTTTAATCCTTGTTCCTTATTGTCTATATTTTTCCTACAAAATGTACAAATCAATATATTTTACCTACAGACACAATATAAATGTGTTATAAACGACACATCAAAATATGGGACATACATTATGAGAAATAATGAGAAGAAGCAACTACTTCCAAATGAGAATTTTCTTCTAAAAGCTGATGATATAGTGCAGTTTGGTCTGAAAGATACTACTTTTGTGTAAGTGCACAATAATATAATATTCTGTGAATAAATAAGTTTATTTATAATTATTTTCTTTTTGCAGTGTGTCATTCCATATGTTTGTAACAGCAAAATCTAGTCTAGATGTACAAAATGTGGAGAAATTAAAAAATGTTATACATCTTATAAAAGGAAGAATATCAGAAAATTGGGAAAATTCTTGCACACATCTAACAGTAGATAAAACTGTTCCAGTTACAGCAAAAGTGAGAATTTCAGACATTTTAAGATTTAAATTATTTAATTTTACTTGTTTGATATACTGTCTCAATATGGTTTCTACAGATAACTTGCGCTTTGGCTACTCTTAAGCCAATTGTCACAATTGAATACTGGGAAGCGGTAAATATAGCTATCAAAGAGTTTAAAGAATTGCCAAAAATCGAGGACTTTCTGCCTACAATAAAGGAGGAGTTACTAAACGCTTCTTCAAATTTGCTTTTATCGAATGAAAAGCGTAGAACACTTTTCAAAGGATTATCATTTGTTCACTTTTGCGTGAAACAGTATTACGCGTATGCATCAGTAATCATTGCAGCAGGTAAATAATTGTAGACACAAGAGGCATCTATATGAAAAAAAAATAAAAATAATTTAAGATATTCTACAAATATAAGATTCATTTCGAGATAATATTTTTAAATGGTTTGAATTAGTTTAGTTTTTTATTATAGTGTATTTTAAAATAAACTTCTGTTGCAGGTGGCAAGTCGTGTGTATATCCCACAAAGAGACCTTTGACTCCTCGAGATCTCACTGCAAAAAATGCTATTGTTATACAACAACCTGTTAGCGATTCCTCGGAAACTCAAATTATCCCACCTGATTATCGAGTTATCTGTGAGTAAATGATCGTTATCTTTCTGATATAAGTAAAAACTAATAAACAGACTAACACAATTTTCATATTGCAGATCGTAAGCTTCAAGATATCAAACGCAGAATGATTTCTGAGACCGAGATCCCGCTCGCAATTCTCCACTGTAGCACGGAAATATATTGCAATCCCTTATTTAAATTTGGCACGCTATTGAAATCAAAGCCTCACGTAATCGCAACCAACGTTATGGTCGAGGATACTCAAGACGTTGTCAAAACTGATACGAGACAAGTAAAGAGAAAAATTATTCCCGAAACTTACGATTCTCAGGATATTCAACATTTGCCGACAAGAGTTCGCTTTTCTGACGAGAGCGAGCAGAGAAATATCCCGCGCGCCAGTACAAGCGGTAATGTAACGGAAGACACGCAAAACGCCGTTAAGAGAAATATCGGATGTAAAATAATTCCCGAAACTTGCAGTTCCTTGAACTCTGACAAAGTTTCAAACGAAAGCGAACAGAATATCTCGTGCGCCAGCGCGAAAGATACTTCAATGATAGTCTCGGAAAACACTGTTAGGAAAGATAATAGATGCAAAATCATAATTCCCGAAACGTGCAATTCCCCGAACATCGAGAGCGTGTCAAAAAACTCTTCTTCGTACGAAAGCGAACAGAGAAATATCTCGCGCTTTAGCAAGAGCGGAATTGCAACAGAGATCGGGCAAAAAAACAAGAAGAGAGATTTTGAGTATAAAATAATTCCTGAAACTTGCACCTCTTCAAACACTGAGAGTATTTCAAAAAAATCTCAACTTTTGAACGAAAACGAACAGACAAATGTTGTCAATGTGTCTTCCGACAAAGTCAGTAGAAAACTCCAAGTTATTTCTGACGAAGCGTGCCGTCCCCCGAACGTTGTCATCAATATGTTTTCTAGCAATTCGACTAGGAAAAACAATAATAAGCAACCTCTAATGATCTTTGATAAAAACGATATTGTAAACAAGCCTGCAGAAAAAAAGCAAACTATTAGTTTGCATCAGAGAAACACTCCCAAAGAAAATATTTTAACTCCTTCAACAAATACTCAACAAGTTGAAAATCTGTTTCGGGAAAATGAATTCAATCTTCAACAGCGAGAAAATATTCTCATGAACGAAGAGGATAATGTTATTTTTGAAAACGTTAATTTATCAAGTCCTAAAGAGAACAATCTGATTATTGAAAAAACTATCGGTAACGATAAGCACAAAAACACGAGTCAAGAAAAATTTAAAAATTCAGCAAACAAACAGATCATAACAATAGACGAAACTGATGACATTTGCATGGAACAAAGAAAAGAGAACAATGTACCAGGGAAACGTGCGACACATCAAGAACCGAAGAAGTTGTTGAAAGAGCGACAATTGGATTCGGCTAGCAATTTGGATAACAATCGAGAAAATAATAGAGCGAAAGAGAACGAAACAGAAGAGAGGAACAAGTCTAGAAATACATGTCTGGTGAGTTAACAATTGTTAATAATTATAAATTGAGATATTAGCAAATATTTTATACTACGTATTTATGACATGTTCAGGAAGGAAATCGGCATAAACGTTACCTGAATCAAGAACGTACGGATAAACTATTTCGGAAAGATGGACCGAACGGCAAGAGATTCAAGAAGGTTTGCAAACACATCTTACGATATTTGTGTTATGACGTTACCATGTCTCTGAAAATATTAATTTCTTTTATCTCATTTCAGGCGCCTGTTATAATCCCAACAAGAAGATTGAAAGAGGATGATTTTTATTAGTAATTAACAAATTAGCAATTAACAAATTGTTTTTAACAAATTAAAATGTTTATATTACTTCTTGTTTATACTCTCTCGCATACACAATGTGTAGTAAAGACACTAATAATATAAAGATCGAAGTTTACTTAAAAACAGTAGCGAGATTAAACAAATTGAAAAAGAGAATATTTTTATTTAGAGAAAGAAAAAGAGTATAATAAACAAGCATACTTGTACACACATTGCATTGTTTATATTTATATTCATAAATAAATACTATGTTTAATATAAAAAATTTTAAATTTGTTATATTAAATGTGTTTGAAATGTTTTATCTGTGACTTTTAAGTTGTACGTGTAATACATGTCATTTCGATGCAATCTATCTACAATTAATCTACAATTCCTTCTTCGAAATTTACGACAAAATTCAACTTTTCCAAAAATCTCGAATATAAAACGAAACATCGTTTTTTTTTTTTTATTTTTTTTTTTTATTTTTGCATTAAGCGATATTTGTTTTCTGTCAGTTCTTAACTCACGAAATGATTCCACCGTGGCGAGTGCTGTTTTAATTAAACCAACAATCATAGTACGTACGATGTGTGATAACAGCAACCGAACAAGAATATCGGATCGTCGTAAATCTCGTCGTAAAAATCGAACGCGCGCTCTAGCAGTGGGTCAGTATGTCGTAAATCGTTCGTTTGGCGAACAAGTTTTGGACGCGCGTAAAGCTTTTAAAGATATTAAATTATTAAAAAAAACACATGAAATGATGAAATAGTGTAATAGATTCCAACGTGTGTGAGAGAAAAATATAACATAAACTATATACGGGGAGAGAAATACAGAACCCCCCCCCTGTCTCTTTTATATATCATTCCAACATGGTCCGAGGATTGTACGTAGTTTATCAAATATTGATCCTTGTCACACTGATTTATGGGGCAAAACACTATGATAGGTGAGTATAAAAAAATAAAAACCAATATATATATATATATATATATATATATGTGAAGTGACTCAAAACTGTTATTCGGTGAACGTTTTATTTATGCCAAAAAAAAATTCTCTGCAGTATTGAGATTCTTCATCGTTTTTGTCTTAATTGTTTTCCGATGAGAACAACATTTTGAAACACTTTAGCTACAAATTGTACGAGGCAATTCCGGCAAATTCGATTCAAAAGTGGATATTGACGGACATCGAGAAGTTAGGATTCGATGTGTGGAGTCGATCCGCGGACAGCACCAAGATTTTAGTATCGCCAGACGCTGAGGAAATATTCAAGAGCGTAATGGATCACTCAGGAATCCTGATGAGAGTATATAAAACACATATATATGTTTTATATGATGTAAAATATACAATAATGACATTATAATGTTTTCTTATAATCGCAATTTATTCGCAAGATGCTTGAGAAGAACGTAGGAGATGCAATACGGTTGCAGAAAGTAGTTCAGAACACGCGACGATTTGGCGGTCAAACAAACGACTTTAATTTTGACCGATTCCCACGGTACAACGAAATAGTTAATTTCACGCGCAATTTAACAAAACACAGCAAATACGCGGAGATGATTAGCATAGGAAAGAGCTTCGAGGGAAAACCGATTATCGGCCTGAAACTCGAAGGATCCAAGGACAATCCTGTAAGTTCATCTGTTTTTGTTAGTATTAGTTAAAAAGCTCATGAAATAAAAAAAAACCCAAGATAGAAACATTTATCGACAAAACGATAGAGAATAATAAAATACATGACTGTAGCGATAAATTTTAATATTTTATACTCGACTGAAACGACACGCAAAATAATTTTGATGTATATTGCGTAAGTTGATATATATTTCTTTGTTAGAAAATATTTATCGACGCCGGCATTCACGCTCGCGAATGGGCGAGTCCGATTACAGCGTTATTTCTGATGAAGAAAATAGTCGAGCACGAGAATACGTTGCGTCGGAAAGTCTCAATTTACGTTATCCCGTCATTGAATCCGGACGGATACGAATATTCCCATACCGATGATCGTCTTTGGCGGAAGACAAGATCGAAGACTAACGCCACTGAATGCGTCGGGGCTGACGCAAATCGCAATTTTAATTCGCACTGGGCTGGTAATTAATATTCATTTTTTCGCCCTTCTTAAAAAACTTAAACTTCATTAGGACAATTCGTCGATCAATTTTGTCAAATTATTTCCGGTTCGAAAGAATTCGGAGCCGATCGAGATCCCTGCTCGGAAACGTTTCCAGGATTCGGACCGTTCACGGAGCCGGAATCGCGAGCTCTGCGCGATGCTCTCCTTAGAATCAAGCCGGATATGTATCTTACCCTTCACAGTTACGGTCCGGTACGATGCGCAAAAAGCGGTTTCTTGCACATTTTTATATATATATATATACAAAAAGGCACAATTTTAAACAATTGTTTTCTTGTTACAGCTTCTTCTTTATCCTTGGGGTTTCACAGAATCCTTACCGAGTAATTGGCAAGAATTGGTACGCACGCGTTTTTCTATTCTCTTTCTGTAAAATTTTTTGTGGAACTAACAATGAGATTTAACGCGTTGCATTTTAACGTTCGAATAGGACAAAGATTGTTTTCAAGATACACGGTGTCTCATTACTGTGTTTTGAATGTTTATCGAAAGTTTATCTTGAGATTTAATTCTAATCTTGTGTGTATGTGTGTTAATAATTATTATTTCAGGACAGATTAGCGAAAGCCGCGGCAAACAAGTTGAAGCAGGTGAACGGGCAGGATTACGAAATCGGCTCATCAACACGTGTTCTATGTAAGGAGCCACAGAATTTACAATACGTCTTATTTTTCTCGCGACGTTTTTATCAACTCGATTCATTCAAATACGTATTGAAACGAAACAAATTTAGATAAGGCGTCGGGAGGAAGCGACGACTGGGCGATGCAAGTGGCGAACGTGCCGCTGGTTTACACAATGGAATTACCGGATTACGGGCAAGGTTTTATAATGCCGGTGGAGAAGATAAAACCGATGATCAGAGAAACTTACGAAGCCTTCAAGGTATTTGTGAGATACGTCTGCGCCATTCGCAATAACAATTGTCGTAATATATTGTAATTCTCTCTCTGCACACACAAACGTTGCTTTATATTGCACACATTATTCGGAACAACTACAGCTATTTAGACATATAATGTTATATTGTTTAGATTACAGAAGTAATTTTATGATTTTTCATGGTATATTATTTGATCAAAGAAAAACATCCTTCAATGTAATGTAAACTTACGAATAAAAGTGCAAGCGGTTTTCGCGCTAAATAAACAAAGCGACTCTACTACGTCTGTCGTGAGTTGTTTAGCTTTACATCTCACATTAGTATTCCGCGTTTCGACAAACAAGCAAAATTGAAAGGTTGTTTACGCGAAATTTAAGGATTAATATTGTATCAGCACGCCACTCTGACAGTCGTGTTCGATATTTTTGGACGGTCGTCTGAGTCATAATGGAACTTCGAAATTTCGCGATTTATCGCAAAATTTACCGCCGCTATCGGACGAAAAACGACGATGCATTATTCATAAAAACTTCACGAGCGTTTCGCGATGTGCTTGACGTCACTATTTTCCAATGAAGAACGAATTGCGCTTGCGGTCGCTAAACCGAGAGATTTTGTAAAGTAAGTTTCAGAATGTTCGACGGCGGCAAACACAATCAGACTGTTCGCGATTAATCGATTTGCACGTAAAAAATGTGCGAGCAAAAGAAGTAAAAAAGCGCGCACAAATAGAAAAAGGAAATGAAAGAAAAACTACGTATCAGGCGAAAAAAAAAAAAAAAACATTATTGCGAGATCTTAATTCTCATGCGATATATGTACAATATAATACACATCGAAAGATGTGATACAAATCGTTACATCGAAATATTCTATCTTTTGCGTATTTTATAGACGCGCTGCACCTATTTAAACTGACAATTCGCGATATTTTTTTAACGGTCGACGCGTAAATAAAACCGCTAATCGATATGGTTAAAATCTGCGCTGCCTTAAATCCGTACGAATCTTTTTTCATCTATTGTTATAAATTCTAACAATTCCGAATCGATAAACTGATTGATCCTCTATTTTTCTAACGAATGAAAGAATAACAGAAAAGAGGACTGAAAGAGGGCTTTAGTTAGAGAGAAAGAGAGAGAGAAAGAGAGAGAGGACGAGGCGATGGAAGGGTCGGAAGAGAGCTTCGGGTAGTTCGGCTTCTTTACTCAGCTGCATCACGTGCGATGTGCGCGCGAATTCAAGCGATTATGCAAATTTTGCATTAAAATGCATTCTATCGAAATCTCCGACTATTCGGCGAAAGACGACACGAAAGGCGTCGAGATGCTTTTTGCATTCCGCAGTCTGCGGTTTGCTCTCTCTCTCTCTCTCTCTCTCTCTCCTCTTCCACCGCGCACCTAATTCGTTGCATGTAATTGCGTCGCCGATGTTCGATACATAGCGGCGCGACGGGAAATGAACAAATTCTCCCCGGGGCGATTCTTTATATCCGATAAAAGTTCGTTTGCGAGAATTTGTTAATTTACCATCCATTTAGAATCTAAAAACTCTTCTATATTCACTCTCGCGCGTAGTTTATTTCGCGATTCGTCTTTCTGTACGTCAGTTGTTGTGCTTCAACGTTTGTTTACGTCGGAGCTTCGATTAGCGCGGGCATCGTAGAAGAAAGTTCCCGCTCGTGAAACTTTGCCAAGTTGCACAAAAGATTGCCAATGAAATGCCGGCTGATTTCCCGCGACTGACTTTGCTCTCCGTCTGGAGGAATTTGTTTACCACCGAGAAACCCCCGCGAGTGTCCGCCCGAGAAGAGCAATTGAAGTCACAAGAAAGGTTTCTTTTCTTGCGCGAGAATAGACTCAAGAGAACATTTTATATTTTATATTGATAAAAAAAAAAAAAAAAAAAAAAAAACCCAGAAGAAAATATCTGCAACAAGAAAATATTTTCATCTCTTTTCCTTTTGTTGGAAATTTTTATTTCTCTCTTTCAAGATAAACTTTTACGTATTATTCCCGAAAAGATTTGTCCGGTCTCCGATAGAGATAAAAATTTCTTCTTCCTCAAATCAACCAGCACAGAAAGTGATATATAGAGAACGTGTTAAAAACGCGCGACTCTATTACAGAGATATAAAGACGTTCTCGGACACACGGAGCAAGAGAGCATTCCTTCAAGATACATATATTTTTCATGCTCGCGACTCTTTCCTCGCGCCCGGTCGAGTCTCCGAATCGTCGTCGTCAATTTCGCGGTTTTTCCCGGAGAAATACACGCACGCCCGACGAGAATCGATATGACACGAGCGAACTTTCTGAATGTCCATTCACGAAGAACCTCTTTGCGTCCGCAGAACTGCAGACGAAGAAAGTCAAGAACGTTGTCGAATCACAAAGAGATGATGACCGTTGAGAGTTGATTTATAGCGAAGTGCAAAAGAAGTCCGTCTCTCCCCCGCCCTCGAATAAATATATATTCGCTCGTCGAGTCCGGCTTCTTGCGCGATTTTTATCCGCATTTTGCCGTACGCATATATGGACCACTCGGCGGAACCGGATCTTTCTTCGCTGTTTGAGTTTTTTTTCTTTTCGCACTGACAATGCTGATCAAATGCATTTCTTCTCCATCCTGTTCTCTCGGCTTTCCACGAACGAACGCGAGGAAAAATAATCCCGAACAATTCTGTACAAACGTTTCTTTTATAATGTGTGTTTTTACTTATTCTTCATCCACACATCGCTCTGAATTTCAAGTGGAAATATTAATAACACGTTAAAATTTAAATCAAGTTCTGGTTTCGAGTATTTTTACGTATGAGAGTAAAATTTTCCGTACAAAAACCAGAGTAGATATGTGCACCTTTTTTTTGAAAAAAAAAAAACTTACTTCTATTTTAATATTGTATAAATGTTTAGAAGACGATTTGTTAAAAGAAAAATTCTCGGAATGAATAATCGAGATTTGCGGATGCATGGCGGCGGACCAGATGTTCGTCGAACGTCTTCGGTGGCATTAGCAGGCTTGAGATCTGCTCCTGGCAGCGACAGCAACAGGATCAGACCGACCTCCCTTTGAAGGAACCGATTGGCGCGCGCGCGGAGAGAAGCGACGGGGGTGAGGGTATATATCCTGTTAATTACACGATCTCGGATTTGCCTGTGACGTTAGACGTCCCGAACAGGACGTCTGTTTCCTGACAGACAGATTGAGTTACCTTCCGCATTATGGGCGATTAATAGTAATCGCCTTCCTGGCTTCCGATCCATAAATCGCGATAAGATTCCAACACGCGATTCCGATTCGAGATAACGAGAGGTCGATTCTCGTCATCCAATCTCGGTCTGTTTCATCAGAAAATTATATTCAATTGAACTCCGTATTGCATAAAGAGTAGAAATATCTGAAAATGCACGAAGACATAAAGTGGATATAAAAATTATTTCAATAACAAAAATATATAATTCTTATAATTTCGATTTCTCTTCAATTTTCAAGCATAATAAAATAGTAACGTAATGAGGATGAGATAATTGTATAACGGAATTTCGGTTATTAATAGTCGAATATGTGTCCTACCTGACAATTTCGGTGACCGATCATAATTTATGATCGAGATGATTTTGCAATTGATGATTTTGCGAATAACGGAATCCAATGTAAAATGACAAGCTGCTTTATTACAACAGATAATTCGGTTTTCTGTCATTAATCTATATATATGTGACTATTAATTGTTTTTTATCAATCTTTTTTTTTTTATATTATCGCTAACGCTTGTTACACTTGCCGACAACGTGGCCAAAAACAATTCGCGATCAATTTGATGGGAAAAACCACGACACTCGTACCTTCACGGACATTCGTTTGTTAGATAGACAGGCCTGCGAAATTTATTCGCGATCTGGAAACCTCCGGCACGTCTGTCAGCCGCAACCGCGAAAATCGGGAAAATCCGCGAGCGCGGAAAAAAGTGCGAAACGAGTTCGTGAGATTTCGCGATGTTGAAGCGGCATCAACAAAAGCGAACTCGACAGGCATATCGTTCTGATTATCTCGACGTTAATGTGACATTAATCGACAAGGGTCAAGCAGTCTGCCTACTAAAAATTTCACCAATCTGTAAAAATCATTAATACTAAAAACTATTAGTAACCGCAAAAATGTATAACAATTGTAATAGAATTTTCGTTCATACAATTTATCAAAGAGAAACAAAATCTGATTCTGAGATACTTCATTATTTATTTGTAAAACAAAATAAACAATAGTATTTTTTAGAATGTTAATATTGTTATAAAAAATTAGGAATTATAAATAAAAATAAGTAATATATGGAAAATAATATCATATATAAAACTTTTTCTTCTGTTTCTGAGAAATTGGCCGTTTCATTAACTTAATTGACAAATAAAAAATTCGGTAAGATTGTTTTGCTACATTGTAAAAGTGTAAAGTAATTGTCGAATTATTTTCACGATTTTCCGACGCGCCTCGTCGCGCCTCGCAGCTCATCAAATATTTGCGTGACTTTTCGCGCCTTAATGTATCCACCGGATCTTCGCGTTTGTTGTACTTGGGAATTTGCGGTTCCGCGTAACTTTATTCGCCTTTAGCGGCGGCTTAAACTTTGCTTCTCTTCCCTCCGCACGGGAAAACTTCCCACGAGGAAACATTAACGATGGATTTCCCGAGAGGATCAATAGAGACGGTATTCTTTCTTGTTCTTTAATAAGAAGACCGATCGATAGTCTGACATACATATTCCAATTTGTTACGTTCAATATGTACAAAAATAAATTCGTATATTTTCGTTACTTAAAACTTTACGTTTTATTGTGTCGTTTGTTTTTTTACTTCGAATTAAAATTTTATTTTATCAAATATATTGATATATTTATAATAAAATTCACGTGATTTACTGAATGTAAGACAAAATAGCGTAATTTTTGTTTTGTGTCTCCGCGCAGTGCATACTGTGGAAAATGGAGTAGAAAAGGAAGAAACTTTCCAACTTTTCTTCGCAAATAGACGTTGCGCTGTGTGAGATCGATCGTCTAACGAGGAAATCGGCCAACTTCTCTCGGAGTAACAAAAAATGTGACTTTTACCTTTTTCCGACTATCCGACAACGAATTGAACTTCTCGCTAATGAAGTCGCGGAAGGCGCGACGATTCCTAACTCTTGAAATCTGTTTTAATTAGGGAAAACTCATGGGAGAGAAAGAGACCTAGGACATTTTTTTAATCAATAAATCTGTGCTTCGTAGATTCAAGCAGCTGCGATTCACATTTCTCACGGCCGTTTTCTCTCTCTCTCTCTCTCTCTCTCTTTCTCTTCTTCTTCTTTTCCTAAATAAAATTTAGACGTAATTACAACTCTACGACAAAATACTGAGATTACAATTCAGTATGTTCTCTCGTGTGATAAAAATGTGAAAGAAAAGGGAAAAAGGAGGACGTGTAATAAAAATAATTATTTTGAGATGATATAAGTTGCAGTTTGTCTTATTTTTGTTTTTTTCATTTGGTTGCGTTTTCTTCGCGTACAGGTGCATATTTCACGAAACGTAAAACACATGCGTATGAAAAGCACACTTTAGAAAAGCTCTCACGTCTTTATACACATGCAAGCTTCACACACGCACAACATTACTTACATCTTCCCTTTTTTCACATTTGTATTTGTACATCTATTATATTTATACTGTTAACCCACATTTTAGGCCGTATATTAGATATATATATACTACAAAGAATTTTACAATATAAATAACAATTTTATGTAATTATCACATGATATATTAACGAACATTATCATGATTACTAAGTAATATATCACGATTGATTTTACTTTCAAAAGAACTAGTATCAGAAATAATTGAATAACTGAACAACTTGAATAATTGAACAACTTAAGTTAATTTTTGTCTTAAATATACAAAACTTTGGCCGTTAATGGGTTAGGAGCGTTTTTTTTGGTTATTTACAACAACACTTATTGCACGCGCTTTTTTGATTATCGCCAAGTTGCAATAAATTATACACATATGTATATAATTTTATATTATATATATATATATATGTCTAAATATCTCATATAATAATATATAATAATATATACAACAGCCTCTTTGTGTATATATATATATGTATATGTATATATATATATATATATATATATATATATACATATACACGCACACACATTGCACATTGTTTTTATAAAACTGAGAGTGTCAATAACGTTTTCTGTGATATGTTTGGATGTTTTTCTCATAACAACAATCTCGTAACAATAAAGATACTTTTCAAAGAATTTTCAAAAACGTTAATTTGCAACGTTAATATTACTTTTAGTAATAACAATAATTAAAACAAAAAAATTATAGTTATATATAAGTGTATCTATATTAAATATAGACATATTTAAAACAATATTAACTTATAAAAAATATTATTATCTAAAAAAAATCATTTTTTATTAAAAGTTATTAAAAACAACTAGTTATAAAGAATTGTAAGTTCTTTCAAAATTTTTCTCTCTTTAAATGTAAGTTTTTGTTAAAATTTAAGAGAGAAGAACGAGAGTTTTCTTTTGAGAACTACTTTGTATTATACAAAGTATTCTTTCTTTCAACTTAAACTTTATAGATCGCAATTTAATATCACATAAAGAATAAAAATAAAATGTAATCTCTTCATAAAATATAACAAATATTTAATATTTGCGTAGTTGGTTCACCTGCGTATTTGTATGTTGCTAAGTCGCTTAAATCTATTCTTTGAAACCTCCTTATGCTTCAGCACCCGTAGGAGAAAGAGATCCCTATACATTTTTACATCACGATCAATTTAGTTCGTGTTCAAAGGCTATAACTTCGATTCGGTTTTGTCACTTAGAACGACTTGCTGCGATGAATTTTCGCGTTCTATACAAAGTCGGATAGCCTTCAGAATGATGTCTATCCGCCGATCCAAGGCTTCCAGATGAGGTTCCCATAAAACCGGAGTCACGGGGTCCCTCGCCATGCTCTGTCGCATAGCAGCACTTAGTGGCATGGGTCCATTGTGGAAACTGCAATCAAACATTATGTCAACAAAATGAATTTTTATAAATTATAAAAATCTCACTACACATATATTACTTACATATTATACAATAATAACATATTAATATCTAAGTTCTTAATATGATTTTTGTGTACAATTAGTCACGCAGCAACAATGTTAACAGACATCGCATTCTTTTTGCTTCAATTAAACGGAACCATATTTCATCTACTTTGTAACTTTCTTGATTTGTCGTATTTTCATGAGTTCGGAAACACTTTTCCCGTCGAGAGACTTTTTCCGCGCGCCACAAAAGTACACCGTGAAGTTGGTCGCGTCACGTGACTGCGATTAAACGCCAACGTCACGAGGTTACTTTGTCGAGTCGGTTGGTCGGTTCATCGCTCGTGCGTAACTAATCACGATCGTATTGTTTTAATCGTCTTAGCCAAAAGTTTTGCACAAACAACTACCGGGAGTGTCAAATTTATCGTCTTCTGATATAAATTACTTTGCGCCAAGTGATATCGCGAGCTCTCCGACCGGATAAAGACAAATTTTTCGGCAAAAGTAAGTAGCGCGCCTCGGAAAACGTACGCGTCGACTAAAACTACTCATTTTTTTTTATTTATTAATTATCCCGAACAGTTGCGGCTATTAACGTTTTTCTATTTGAGTTTTTCTATTCAAATTCATAATTGACACTCGATATTCGCGCATGTTTCGCGCATTAATCAAGCGAGTAATCAAATCATCGCGAGTACATCGCGGGGTTATCGAGGATCATCGAGAGATCGCCGCGGTGGATTAATCGGGACGGATAAGTGCTGTACTAGTATTTAGCATCCACAACACACATTTGGCGCTGAAGTGAGTATTCAACTTTTTCAAAGTATCTAAACACACGAACAACAACCGACAACTTAATTACTCGGAAACGTAATAAGATATAAGAATCGACGCGAATGTGTCTCTAATGTTTGTTTTTCTTCTTTTACGCCAATTTAAATCGAATTACCTCGGATTAAATTGCTATTGAAAATTGTGTTTCAAACGCGTCGATGTTGCGCGCGTCTCGTAAATATAAACCCTCCACTGTAATAAGGAATAATTGCGTAAGATTACACCGGCGTGAAATTTCTAATTACACACTTGGATCTCACCGGGTAGGTAGGTTATGGATGATCATCTTTCAGATGCATAAATCCTTTGAAAGGTGAGTCTCAGACATTTTAATTACTCGAGAAACAGAACCACCCCCTCCTCTCTCTTTCTCTCTCTCTGTGGATTATTTCGCTCTTTACATGCGTTTAATTTCGAACCTACGTAATCGCGCGCGCCTCCGCACAGCGCGAGAAAACACGAGTAAACAAAAGCCCCACGGGGATTGAAAGGCCGCTCGGTCTCCGGACTCATCCTTCCTCCTTAATCCTAAAAGAAAGTCCTCCGTGAGGACTCCCCCGTGAGTAGCCAGCCGGTGGCAAAGCAAAGTACTCCGCGAGAGTCGTCCACTTTTGCCGCCCATGTGGGCGGGATGTGTGTGCGTCGGCGTATGTGTGTCACCCCCGTATAAATAGAGTCCCGGAGTCGAGTGTCTGCTCAAGCCGATACTTTATTCATTGGCAGTCCCGTCAGCCCGAGAAGGCTTCCATTATCGTTCTGAAAGCTTCCGACCGCGTCGGTTGTTGATCTAAAAATCCACGTCGCTCTGAGAAGCGCGTCCCGGGGCTATTATCAATCCCGAAAAACCTTCCACCTCCGATATTGTTTCCTTGAGAAATGTTTGATTATTATTGGAAATCCATTTACGGTCGTAACCGCTTGTTTGTTTTACCTGATAACGTAGAAATGATTATTATTAATCAAATAGCGCGAAACAATAATGTGCGTGGAATCAGAAAATTACACCGGTTTAACCTAGTTGTTCTTTTTCTTCTTTTTTTTTTCTGCTAAGTAGCAATTCAATTTCCGTGCTTTGTTATTCGTTGAATGTTTTACGTTCGTTTTGTTGCCACTTTCGGAAACACTTCGCCGCGTGATGCTTTCAAGTGCTTCAATAATTTTACAGACAATTTATTTTTCTCGCCGTATTTGATCGTATTTTTTCGTATTATTTTTAAAAATGCTAAGCTACATCTGTTCCGTTTTATTTTCCGCTGTAATTTCGCGAACGATCGGACGATCAATGCAGATTATAAAAAACGGACCGACAGAAGAAGAAGTCACAATCAGCAGTTCACGCGACAGCGCAGCACGAAGCAATTATCCTGTAATAATGCGCTTAATGATCGATAGCTGGCTGCTTTTAATTCTGTTATACGCGCGCGCGCGCGCATCTCTCTTTCTCTCTCTTTCTTTCTCTCTTTCTCTCTCTGTTCATTTTCTATACGCTTCGATGTTTCATGTGTATTCATGTTTAAATTGACGTTTACTTACTTCTCAGAAACGCTCCAAATTGAACTCTACCTAATATAGAAATATCAAATCTACAAATGTGTGTCTGACTGGATTATAAATAATTCGCGAAATTGTATTTTATTGTTAACTGAAAAAACTCGTATATAATGCGATAACACGCGAATGGAACGTTGAAAAAAATGAGAGCAATTGTTTTGATTCGTCGAAGAATCGTTGAACCGCGCGATGGACGATGTCAGTCGATCCGCAGTCGGATTTGCAATTCAGAACAGTTGACAGTAGATTCGGGCGCCGCGAATTCGATCCCGTCGTCGTCGGAAAAAGAAAACGCGGCGGGGAAGCGTTCCCCGCGATAAGGCGGATTTCGCAATCCGTTTTATCAGAATTGCCGGGGACACGCTCGTGAATCTTCGCTTTGATGCGGAGATTCGCGTTTTTACGAGGCCGCGCGATAAATTCGATGTCCGGTCGGGCGGGCGGGCGGTATTTCGCGCGAACGCGGTGCGAAGTAGTATCGATTGTATCGAAAACGGAAAACCGATAAATAATGTCATGCGCGAGGATTAACACTAATATGCAGATTAAAACGTTACCAATTAAATCGCACGGTTTTACGTTATCGATACTGTCTGGCTGTCCGAAATCACGAAATCAGCGAACATTTGATATCTCGGCGCGATTGAACTGTGTAGATAACCACAATATACATATATATTTTGTAACGATAAATTCAATTATCGTTGGTTCTTCGATAATTGATGCTTGATATTTGGAACAATAAAGAGTTGATAATTCTTTCAATAATATTTGAACAAAAAATTCCCACTCACCGGAGTAGGGTGGCTAAAGTGGTCTGTCGGATCATGCAACATTGCAAGAGAGGCGCCAGAATGGACGTCTCGTCGTGGAAAGGCTTTCCGAAACCTCTTCCGTGATCCAGGTGTAACGTGAAAGTATCATTTCCGAAGATCCTGAACGTCTCGTAATGATGGCGATCCATATTACCCGTTAAGAAGTCGAACACCGCCATGTCCATCAGATCGAGTAACCGTCGACCCTCATCATACGGCGGGATTTCTCTCACAACGGCGCAGTAGTCGGAGTCTGCAAGTTTGCGGTGTACCCAGGACATGGTATTAATTGTTAATTAATTAATTATTCGTCCAGGAATACCGAAACTTTCAATAACAGCCGCGCGTATAGATAAGTTTGACAAACTATAGGAAAAGAGGAAAATAAAAAGTGGGCTACGAAGAGAACAAAAATTTTACATATTCGCTGATTCCACATTTTTCTACGATCGATGAAAAAATCGTGTCCGCACACGAAATTATCGTTTTGAATTCTTTACCGTGTTCCCATTGCGCCTTTTTCCGCTTGTGATAACTTCTGCGCCAAGGATGTCGCCAAGCCTTCCTGACCGCGAGGGCCTTGTCGGGCAGAAAGGCGGCGAAGCTGCCCTCGAGGGTGTCCGGGTTGCCGCAAACCGCATGTGCAGTGTCACAGTAGTAACTGCACTTTCCGTGAAAGCACAAGTTGCCGGCTGGACTGACGAAGAACGTCTTGAGCAGCTCGCCGTCGGCGATTTGATAAATTTCCGTTGTAACGTTGAGCGTTCGACCGGTCACCGGCATCGCTCTGCGAAAACCTAAGAGCCTGCAAACGTAAAAACAACATTCGTCGTCAATATAACATGAAGTTTTTGTTTCTGTTGAACGTTGTATTTCGATATAAATATAAACGTATATACATTACGTTACCTATCTAGATGAAAGGAAGCGATTTCCGCAGTGTGTCTTTCGAAATCCGTGAAGTAGAAATGATTCGGCAGAGTCTGCTGCTCCCGTGGAAATCTACGCGGTTGACACAATACATACGTTCGATTATCAATGTGACAAAACCATTTAATATTTGATACACAAAGTTGTGTACTTTGTTTCTCGTATAAATCTTTATAAACATTAATGACTGAAGTTCAGTTTTTTCTTTTTTTTTATTATAATTATAGCTTCCAGAGGGAATTTTGAAAGGATATATACGATATACGGTCTTAGAACATCCTCTATAATCGTAAGGACGATATGAACGTATTCCGAAAGAGACTCGCGTGTGTAATATTGCAGGCATTAGGCGAAATTGCTATATTGCAGAAGATTAAGGCGAATTGCAATCGATCGATATCTGTCGCGTGATTTCGTGTCCGCATTACGTATATATTGCGTAAACGCAATAACCATGTGTTGGTTATTACTATATTTTATCATTACTAGAATTTTTATCGCGCTACTTTTCACATTTTTTTTTTTTTTTTTTAATATAATCGAAATAAGTTGCAAAGCAACTAAATGTCTGTGCATATAAAAGACTTTTCTGTATTTTCTAAATAAAAAGAGTACATATATATATATATATATTTTGTATATAACAAATTTTCACTGTATATTAATTAACAAAAAGAAAAAATAGAAGAGAAACATTCGTGTGTCGTTCTTGCTCCCAAAATTAAATATAAAAGAATTCATATTGATTTCATTCATTTATTTCGTTAATTTTACGCGCGCGCCTCATTTATGCTAATAATTTATAGTATATTCTATACGACATGATTATTCATTTAGCGGATGAATTAATATAATTGAACAATACATATGCATCGATCCTAATATAATAATTGTTACAAATCCACGCTCGTTATCAGTCGCTCGTGTTGTTTGATAATTATCCCTCGCTCTTTGGCGCAATCGTTCGCAACAAAACGAGATTATCAAAATACTGTACGAAAGAGAGAGAGAGAGAGAGAGAGAGAGAGAGAGAGAGAGAGAAAATGAGCGTTTCGCTTAAAAATTATTTTAAATACAAAAACAAACATGTAACAAACTTTTAATCAACATGAAAATACTTCAGTCCGGCTTCAGACAAAATATACGATATCTTATCTGTACTGTCTCCTGATCCCATAAATTTCACCGTATGCCAATGCACAGGTGGAATACCAAGTGACAAAAAAAAAAAAAAAAAGAACACACCAAAATTATTCGCCAGGGAAGTGCAGCAAAGGGACAATGCGAATGCCCGGGCTTTTATTGGTCCCCGAGCTTCTCTCGAGGATCTCTCTCGAGAGGAGCAGAGAAAGGAAAAGAAGGACAGATGGGTAGAAAGGGAGAGGAAAGGGGAAAGAGAAGGGATGAAGAGAGAGCTTCAGGAGTTCCGCAAACTCGAGCGCGATCAAATATTTACCCGGTGATCTTGGTGCGGGTTTTACGAGCGGTATATGTATATACATATATACACACACGTAAGACAGGACAATAAGCACGAGCGTGGAGCATGAATCTCGCGACCGGGATCCGATCGACCCCTGCGGAAACAAGGGAAAAATTCACCACGCGAAAATCAAATCGATCGAGCAACTGACTAATTTCAGATCTCTCTTCTAATCGAATACATTTCCCATATCTTGTCCACTTTTTTTTGTTGTAGAAAAACATGAATTACTATGAATAATAAAACGGCAAATGCTTGCGAAAATATCAACGGAATTCTCTAGTGTACCAAAAATACGGATCATTACCTCGCGCGCGCAAGAAACGTTCCATGTAAAATATCGCGGCTCCTTCGAATATGATTACAGTCTGTAATGTGATTATACCGATAATATTGCGCGCGCGCGCGCGAATTTGATGCAAGAGAATGACGAACAAAAAAAAAATTGCCGTAACATATAAAAATAACGGTCGTATATATAGAAAGAATATACGTATCATAAAAAAAAGATGCTCTCGTCCTTTTCTCCGTAGATTGAGCAAATTTTGTCCGAGCGAGTAACGAGAGTTTATTGCGGCCAGTTCGCCATCTCGCCGAAATTCCCGCCGCCCTCGCGGGTCGCAAACTTTCCGTGGAACTTATTGGCGAACTTATTACCGGAGTTTAAGCCGGCGCGCGAGCGGCGGCCACTTATCGTGGAATCTTCGGCCCACTGGAAGTTTAAAGGGCTCGTGTGGACCAAGAGAAAAAGATAAAAAGGGAGAGAGGAAGAGAGAGACGGGCAATATGAGGCTTGTTTGAAAATTTCGCTCCTTTCCCAGATATTGCGCTGTTGCTACTTCCCTACTTGGCGCGTCCGGAGCTTTTTCGGAATGTTAACTGTTACAAAGTGACGATTGAGAATGCAATAATTGATACAGAAACGTCCGAGTTGCTCGAACAAAAATTAATACATTTTAAATTGACGTTTAAAAAAAGCACATTACTGACCTTTTTAAAAATAAACACCGAAAAGATGAGTCGAGTGATTTAAAAATTATGAATACATGCAGTAAGCTACAGAGTTGTCAGGTTTAAAAATGAAAGCGGGTCGAACGGATCAATTTCAATTGAAGTCGTCACGTCTTTGATGTGATGTCGCGCAAAAAGTCACGTGTAGTCGGAAATGTGAAACAATGGTGTGTGTGACGTATCATTTGCAAGAAAAGCGATATTTAAGAAGGGAAAAGAAGACAAGAAAAGAAAGAAGAGAACGAAGCGGCGGTGAGAGATGATGAGGGAGGAGGAAGCGGTTGCTCGAGTGTTTCTCTCACGGCACGAGGCTCGCGCTCGAGACACCACTTATGTAATTGCGCTCGTAATCCGATCCGCGTAACTTCGTCAGTGAGAAAAAAAAGACCAAGACGAGAGAAGTGATTATGTGTCCGCTTCTCGCGGCGGACGTTATCAATCTCGGCTTTTCGGGGTATCAGAGATGACTCGCGAAGGTGTTCTGGAAATTTGATTTTTATTCTCTCGACATATCTAACTTTTTTTCCAAAATCTAATATGAAATCCGATTACGAGAATAGGTACGCTTAAAAATGAAATTAATAATTCAACCGTAGCAAAAAGTTTCCTCCCGAGAGTTTCACAAAAGTTCTCCGAGAAAGTCGGTGTTTATTTATTTAACGGAGAACATTTCAAAGCGTTGCATTTTAGACCGATTTGTCTAATGCTTTGGAAGAGCAAATTGGGCGGCTCGGCGGCTCGAAAAAGAAAGCTGCTCTTGTAAATTTGCAAATAGATTATGTGTAAATTCGAGCCTGGCGATTCACCGGCAATGTTTCTCGGCGTTAATTTGGGTGCTATCGGGGCAACGTCCCGCGGGAACGTCACCGACAAACTGCCGAAGTAATTTCGCGCGCTGCCTGCCCGCCTTGCCTGCGACCCCAAGATACGCCGAGAGAACTTTGCGACACTCTGTGGTCTTGCTGCCATCATTCGCGCGAGTCGCGAAAGCTGACCTCTTCCTCGTAATTTGCACGCGATCGCTGCTAATTAACGCCATAATCACGCACATCGCCGAGTGTTTATAATAGTGATGATAATAATGATTATTATTATTATTATTATTCGATGCATATATGCGTAGTACACGCACCGTACCGATAATTATTACTGTTTTGATTACGAATAATTCACGTATGTGTTTGATACAACGTTGAATTTTGCAAAACTTATCGGTGCAAATATTTGATTGATATATCGGGTAAAATTCGAACCATCTCATATATCTCAGACGATTTAATACCGGGTCTTAAAAGAGACTGAAGAGATGGTAGCAGAAGTGTTAATTTATTTTGAGTGTACTAGTTGCGCTCTTACCGCATTGGTTTGAACAGCGCTTGCATGTTATCGCCGTAATCAATGACGAGTTTTAATTGCGTGCCGCCCTCCTTCTGAACTGCAACAAATCAAACAGCAAACGTTTAAACGTATCACGAAGTTCACTTAATTGATAAATTAAAACGTCTACGAGAAAAAACAACTCAGAAATAAATCTACATAATATATGTGATATTGATAATGTCATAAAAAAATTAATGAAGCAATTTTTATAATACACGATATTGAGAGCCAAACAATTTGTTCGGTTTTTAAATTGCTCACGTGTGCTTTAAGAAATGTGCAAGTCAATAATTTGTCGCGGACGGCGATAAATCGTCGCCGGGCAAATGAAGCATTTACCGCGTCTGCGGCACGAATTAAGTATATAATATTTACGACATTGACAGACAGTCGAGACGCGCGGGAGAGATCAATACCCGGCAAAAAACGTGACGAAATTCATGCGAGCAAGTGTTGATCGCGTTGTGTTCATCGGCAAATAACATTAGAAAAAGAAAATATTTACTTTTAATATTGCAATTAAAAATAATCTGTAAAAATAACTCGTGAAATTGAGCATAGAAATTTTGAATATTTCGTAACTTCATTGATATTTTATATATTTGCATAATTTAAAACAATTTATTCTGCATATATAGCGATCGATTTTACGTCACTTTACGTTCATATTATATCTTCCCTTACAATATTTTACAATACATACATATTTTTATAGTTAAAATTCAGTAAAATGATAAATCTCATAACTTACTAAAATAGTGTGCCAGTTTAATTGCCATCATCTTGGATAGTTAAGCTAATTAACAAGGCTAATTAAATACGTTCGTTATTCTTAATCGACGGAATTGGGGCGGAAGTTTAATTATTTCGGCAAAAGTTTTCCACTCACTTGTCTTATTATAATTTTTGATTCTTCACTTTTCTTTGTTTAACTTCGTAATATCATTATTACTTGCAATTCAAAAAGAATCGTCCGTTTCTTTCGCGCGATCTTCGAGACCATGGCACAGAGCCATAAATTATAGAATTATTACATAATTGTAACATGTAAAAGAAAATTGTATTCTGACAAATTTTGACAAAAATAGAAAATATACATATTACTTACCGACATGAAGTATCGGCTTCGTCGCCATCTCGTGGAGCAACTGGTCTACATATTTCGAGTCCGCGGGGTATAACTCCAACCTCGAGATTTGCAAGTGAAACTTTTCCAAAGTCGTGCTATTTTTCCTGAAGCAAAAATATTTTTTCCCCCTCAATACCATCTTTTTTTTTTACGTAAAATGCGCAAGATGATATACGACCAAAAAAGTTACAGTCATATAAATTTCAAACATTAAAATATTAATATTTCTTTCTTTCGAAAATAATTATTCAAAATATTTTTATACAGCCTTTTACTTTTTCAAAATATGCAATTTCACATAGAGATATCTATGTAAAACTGGCATATGGAAAGAAATATGAATTCTTCAGTTTCCGATATTTATTATAGATTGCAGTAGGTTTTAATAGCGAATTGGGCGATAACGTTTCATCGTGAAAAAAAAAGTCGAACGTAAATCGATTCTGAAAACACGCTCATGGTGTTGTAAAAATTCGCAGCAAATATTTCCGCGCAAAACGAGAACGAGCGATAAAAGGGCCATTCTCCCTTTTTATTCTTCTCTTGTTTTAATACGACACGGTAAAAGAATAAGACACGAGGAACGGTTCGAAAGAGATACAGAAAATGTTACGTGTGCATAAATACCGATATGACGTGGACATGAACACGAAAACTGTTTTTGTGGTTTTTTTCGTATAGAATTTATATAAAGAGAAAGAAAGACACAGAGAATAAAAAAAAAATATATATATATATATAACTATATGAATCGTGATACGTCATTTGAACGTACGAAGTTTCACTCGCGATCGTTTCCCCGAGATGAGACATTCCGCGAGAATAATCGTCGCAACTTTATGACGCGATATCGAGCCCTCAGGGAATAGAACGAAGGGAGACGAGGGTACATAGAGAGAGGATCAAAACCGTGAGGATCGTGAAAACATAATTCGTAGGCATTCGTTCGGCCGTTTTAAAATGCATGGAACGGCGTCCACGACGACGATAGCCTTCGACCTTCGTTTTATGATCCTAAGGGTGAGAAAGTAGTTACTCCGATATGGGAAGACATTCTTCGTTTATCTTCCTGCGTGCACGCGTAACACGCGTTCTTTCTTCAAAATGTTTCTAAATGTGCAAATGAAAAAAAAGAAAGCATCTCGCGCTAAACACAAAATTTAAATTACAAATACAACACACAGAGAAAGAGAGAGGGAGAGAAGGAGAATTTATAATAAAACTTGTAATAATAAACCATATTGCAGTTAAAATCTATACACATTGTTAACATGTATCGGTGATTGTGGAAACTTACAAATAATGGTTTTTAAAAACAATTTGTTATTAAATTCCTACTGTGAAAAAACTTCCCCAACGGCATCTAACTTAAATCAAGTAATTTACTGCCGGGCACATCGGCAGTCTTTTATTAAAATTCATCTCATGACCTTTTCGCTGCCATTCCTGGTACCCCCAACCCTATTTTCTCCTCCCAACTTAAAATCCGAGCACTTGTCGATATCCAGTTACGACGTGTTTCCAATAAAAATCCGCCACTTTCGCTAAATAAATCATCATATCGTCGCGTTGCTGAAACTTTCAGCCACGTACCGATTTTTCGATTCTTCCATCGGGTGCCGAGAAATGACAAGTAAATATATTTATAAGTAACATAATATAATGTTACACATAATTAAATTTTAATTCACATATTAATAAATTTAATTGCACTTTAATTTTTATGTATAAATACCGATTAATATTTTTTATTCTTTATCAATGTTTAATCAAATTAATTTATTGTGTTATTTTTATTAATTTCGAGGTACATGTATAAATTATCGCGTCTTCTGTATTTTAATTCACAATAGCGTTTGAGCCCTGAATAGTGGCCCAAGAATAACACGGAAAAGATTTATATCCTGCCACCCCGAGTGGTTAGTATGCCACAACGACTCCGCTATGATGCTCCTTCATCTTTCTTGAAGGCGGAAAGTTGATACGACACTTCTAGGCAAGGATTTTTCACCGTCGCGAATTATCCCCCACAGACACGTTTTTATATAAATTCATACAAAACACATACACACCAACTTTTTGTTACATATATTTTTTTTTTAAAAAGTTGGTTACTTTAAGAAAATTTGTATTCTTCAAAATTCTAATTTTGAGAGAGAGACTTTAAATGATTGTTTGTGTGTCCGATTGAGACTTAAACAAAAAATAGATTTTCTTAGACGGTAATTAAACGAGTAATTTACTTAAACCGAGTTGACTTTATCGGGGTAGTATAATAGAAACATTCTCGCGCAAGAACTGTGTGTTGGATTTCGTTTTAACTCTGAAGTGCGGTGTCTAGATCGGAAGTCAAATATTTGACTAACTATTTGACAAAATACTCGGCAAACTTACGTTTCAGATTTTGAAACATATCTGTTTACCAAAACTATCTGTTCTTCTCTCCGTTCGAAATCTAAAAAAAAACAACACGAAAAAAAGAAAGTAAATAAAATATTTAATTATAAATCAGTTGTTTAAATTTCTCAACTTAAAGCTCTAAACTTAATTTTCCCCGAACGAATTATTAAGCCTGAAGTTTCGGAAGCCGTCAAAGCCGCGAACAAACGCGACGGCTGATTAGGGATTTCATGATTAGGCCACTCTCTCTCTCTATTTCTCTTCCGGGACGCCTTCGACATCGACGGCGACGACGTCATCGTCGTCGTCGCGACGTCGTCCTGTCTCTCGAACTGCAAACCGAATCTCTAGATTGAGTTCTCGACGAACACACGTGCGAGCGAAACTAATCCGCGAATTCCTCTTCCCCGCGCCCCTTTTCGTCCTCCTTATTCCTTTCTCGATGTCGATGTCGAGAACTCCGTCGAGACTAAGTCTTAAGCCTGGTTCTCATGTATAACGCGTAGCGATCCCGAAATTAGCTCAGAAACGAGAGGTTTCCACTGGTAGTGTTATTGGATTCGCGGATACTTAGATCTCCTAGTTTCCGGAGAGTTTTCCAGAAGATTCTCGCAAATCTCGACGAATTCTTCGAGATTCCCATTAATAAAACGTGCAATTAGATAATCAAGCGATAATGAGAGTGTTCCTACGCTCGTTTGCCGCGCCTCTGATGTGACTAAGACAAGCGCGCGCAACCGGAAATGTAATCAGAAGCGGGAACGCACGCGGAGGATACGAAGGGGGTGTGCAAAAATATAAACGGCAAACCGAATTAATGCGAATTGCGCGCATGGACAAGACGTAATCAGTCGCGGCGTGTACACATGAAAGGCTGACCTAAGCCTTCGTTATTGCACATGCATGCGTCCGTGAAATTGCATTAGTGATCGCGTGCATATTGAGAACGAAAGCGAACGAGATTGTACACGCTGTCCCCCGGCGTAATTCGTTAATACGAACACGTACCAATAAGCCGGCGATCTTTGAGTTTGCGAATTTATTAATTTATTAAATAAATAAAAAAACTATATGTAATATATTTAATCAATATATAGAGGAAAGATAAAAAAATGAATATAAATATACATATATATATATATATAAATATTTACTAAAATGAAAATAAATTGTGAAATAACAAGATTATATAAATACGCGTAACTACTCTTTTTTTCTAAAATAATTTATTAAATAACGTTATGTTTTTAATGTAATTCAATTTTTTTATTTAAGTACACGGCGACTTTTGTTTTTTTTTTTCAAAGTTTTCTGAGAACCGAATGCGCGATCTCTAGTAGAATTTCCTGCCGAATAAAGCGATTTTATATAGTTTTCCGGAAAATAACGCGGTCCACGTCAAGAGATTCTCAAGTGACGTCCATCCGTCCGTTGCTGCGATGCATAATGCATACGATGCACTTTCTCACGTGATCTCGCCACGGTGGGAGGAAATATCACCGCAACGCCACCGGAGAGAATATCAATCCCGTGAGAGGATATCAATGGCGAATCGCGGATTCCGAGATGTCACTTCCTCAATTCGTGAATTCTATCTCCCGAATATACGTGTACACGCGCGCCGATTTCTGCCGCCCAATCTGTTCCTGCACTTTTTATTTTAAATCAGTTGTAATACAAATTTTCATTCAAAATAAAGCGACACAATTAATTATTACTATACGTATATATGTATATTCGCTCAACTTTATTAAGTTTAAAAAAATTGTCTTCTTTTATAGCGTGTATTCATAGTAGAGTGCAGATTGTGAAAGAACGTTTAGCAAACTATGATTAGCGTTGACCGACTTTTTTAGCGATTTTAATTATTTCAAGTACTATTATTATTCTTTCACTCCTTGTTATTGATGTGGCTCATATCTCGCAATATGACGATATTGCGCACCGTAAAAATTCTTAAATCAAAACGTCATTAGTACAAAAAGAGATATATATATATGTATATATTTATATAATATATAAGATATAATAAATATAATAATATACATATATAAAACAAACATTATACGTAACACTTATAAGACAAAGCTGAGAAAATTGCTGAGAAAATTGCCGAGCCTGTAAAATTAAATAGAAAAGCAAGCTGCGTTTTCGCACGAATACAAGTGCACACATACGCGAATTGTCAATGACGGCGGATACGATACACACAAGTGTGAAAGGAGAGCTTGCCGTTCCCGGTGAAATAATTTAGCGACCATACCTCACACTCACGTCTCGAGCAGGTGAATTCAGGTGACAGGAAGCGTTGTTGCAAGGCGTATTTAAATCCTTTAAACGTCGTTTTCTAGTGCCTTTTTCTCTCCGGCTAGCGTCGAGAGACACAGTAGATATAAGAGAGTATATTTTAAGAACAGATCTTACGCGCAGAAAAAGAGAGAGAGAGAGAGAGAGAGAGAAAGAAAGAGCAGATAAACCAAGTCAAGAATCTCAAGTCTCTTTTTTTTCTCTTCTCATATTTGACGAAAACGTGATTATGAGCGGTATTATATAATACTATTATATTCTCTTTCTCCGAGATGTACCAAAAGAAGGTCAATTTAAATTTGCATGACACGATTTTCACCATTTTGCACTCAATTATCGAGACGTTAATTCTTCGAACTCAATTTGCTCACGTTTCAAACGAAGAATATGGCAGACG